TTAATTGCACATTGAAGTCTCACAACAAGATAATTTGCAGTGAACGTCACTGGAAGACGATCCTGGTGGAAGTAAGCCCTCGCACTGACGCCGACAACTGTCCTCCGGGATACAGCCTTTGGCGATGGTAGTCCCAGATGATGGGGAATGATATTCCAACATGGCGCATCGATCAATGCCAGCTGGGCATACTGCTTCCTTTTGGTTCTTAATGCAATCGTCAATAGAGGTGTCGCTAAGGCATTGATTACAAGAGAAGATCTCTGCTGAACCACCTACACAGGACGATGACTCCATGAACAATGATATCACGTGCTAGCTTTGTTATGTAAAGCGAATAAATCTAGTGTCGTATTTAAGGCAAAAATATTTTAAATAACTTCATCGGGATGCTGATAGTAAGGTTAAGCTAGGCTACTGAGCTGAACCTTCTGAGATTGGTGTGTACCAGTATAATATTAGTCCGTTAAAAACCTTTATGTTTGTCCGCTACAGAAAGAAACTCCCCAGGGCAAGGAAAAGTGACACTGAAAAGATGCTGATTAAGTATAACGGCTTTTATATCTTGAAAATTGTTTTGAGTTTTTTTAAATTTCAAACCTGGTGGATCAGCGAGATTTTCCGAGAATTAAACGATAAGCTCTTTATTCTAACACACCTTCTTCTTCTCCTTCTCCATCATCTGCGCCATTGCATAAGTCACCGTCACAGTATTCAATGTTACATTTAACTCCCTCTTGGTTACAGATGGTCGGCTGTTTCATTGGATCAGCACAGGCTTTGGATGGAGCACAATCAATTAATCGAAATTAAATGAATAGATATCGTAAATCATTAAAGGGGCTATGTCAGCTGGAGAGCATGCGCTCTGAGGTTATGCAAATTACTTTCAACTGTCAAAATTCTATTAAAATTGTGACGGCAATTTTACTTCCCTTTTTGAAGTAAAAACGCATGCCATTCATAAAATAGAGCGCAAACAAAAATTCAACAACAACATAATTATTGTCTTATTCAACAAAATAAATCGAAGTTGTATTTTACAAACGAGCTACAAAAGACGCTAGACCGAAGATAAAGACCAAGACTGTTTCAAATCATTAACAATTAGACGTGTCTGTCGCTATTGATTTTATAATTTAGATGCTGATAGAACAAGAGAGATCAAGTCTTTATTTTGATCTTGGGGAAACATACATTATCGCGCAAAATTGTTCGATCGTGCCGAATCACTGCGTCGTCGAGAAAAACAGAACCAAGCATCATTGGTATACTACTCCACTATAAACAGTCCGTTGATAAAAAGGGAAAGTAAACTCTGCTATTTTCCAAAAATATGCGCGAACACAAACAGTTCAAAAACATGGCATTTACAGGATCTAACTCATACTAAGGTGCCTCTCTGACTTTGAAATGGGGAAGATTCCATCAAAGATTCCATCTCAAGTCATTAACTCTGCCATTAAATTTTACGTAAAAACATTCCACAGGCAAACGGGGGTATATTTAACACATAGAACGTATACAAAAGAACGTCTCAAATCTGGAAAGAAACCTTTTAGTCCCGAAATTTTGTCCTTGACGTTGTTATTATAAAAACGACGGGGCCAAGTCACGTCACGAAGGGATCATCAAAGAGTGGTAATTTGGTTCATTCACAATAGTAATAATAATAATAATAATAATAATAATAATAATAATAATAATAATAATATAATTTATAATGGTTTATTAACATCATTTCCATAAAAAGAACACTTTGTTGGCTTCAACCCTTACTTTAATTCACCTGGCCTGAAAATAAGAAATATCAGCCAGTCAAATTACCATATATTTTGACACCAAAATGTCAAATTATGACGTCATATTTGCTGACGTCATTCATACTTAAGATCTAAACTTGTAAATCTCCCAATTTTTTTTATAACATTTTTAAAAGAACTATTCAGGGGAAGTTGAAAGGTGAAAAATGTTCCCAAAGTCTCAGATAGGAGCTGAGATTTGACATTTTGACTTTGAATAAATTCGTACTACAAAAACGGGTACTCCCTTGTAAAATTAGTCCAAATGTAAACGTTATATTCTCGTGTCGCCATTGCTATTTAGAACAAACACAACACATCTTTATTGTCAAAAGCTAAAGGAACAAAGAAATTTTGAAAACTAAGATTCCCTACCGCCCAAAAAGCCCAAAAAAGTTTTGTGACGTCATAAAATGTCATGTGCGTTTTTTTGTTTTTCTGAAATTAGCGTTTTTAAGTCCAAAAAAAAAAAAACTAAAATGATGCGATTTATGTTACAGGAAAATTAGCTTATTTTTGAAAAATGATACGGATCGTTTTTTTTAAAGGAAAATTACGGTTTCAGTGGGTCACTTAAATTAATATCTTAGCAGTCCCATGGCCATAACTCGAGTTTATGTGTCGTAGGAAGAAACGGTTTTTAGTGTTGTACTCCCCCTCTAAATCTCTTTGAGATGATATAAGTTTGACTTTATTGAAATTAAAATATTCATTTAAACCATTTTTGTGACGTCAGCCGGTGAGACGTCATAATTTGACATTTTTGCGTCAAACAAAGTGATGAAAAAGAAACGTAAATTCAGCCTTAATGATTTCTTTTAAGCTTTGGTTGGGCCCCACCGTGAATGAAAAGACAGGTCTTGCATCGTTTGCGCGGCCTCTCATTATATAAAAGTCTTAGGTTGTTAATGAGATTTTAGGGTGCTTCTTACAAGAAAGTTGCCGATGTTCTCGTCCCATTTAAACGAAATTAGTGGTGGTTGTGAAAATCAAAATATTTAGGGGTGATTTCGAGATCATTACACCTTTCATTATTCAAAAAAGGAAAATTGGTAGAAAACGAAACGTCCCTGAATTTTGCCAAATTGATTCTTTTGTGTCACAACGCAAATGACTTACCTTTCAGGAAAATGTGGCTAGAAATCGCTCCACTTTCAATCAGTATGTCCCCTTCAGCACAGACGGCGTTTGCCAGATCACTAGGACACGTGGTTTTAACCGCATGAGAAGCGCAGTCTTCTTTAGATTTATTACTTACGCACCTGTAACACTGTAAACCCATTACTATAAAAGAAGGACACACAAAAATATTTCTGTCACCTTTAGTGAAGGGCAACGATCAAATATAAAAAAAAATCAGTGCGGCTTTGAATGTGTGATACCGGCCTAGTATTAATTTAATTTTATCGTTTTTATCGACTGAAGTTAGAGGTATTGCTCTATACTAATTAAGTTACATCTGAGAGTTTAAAATATTTAAAATATTTTAATAAAAACACTTAAAACTCTTAAATCAAAATTCTTGTCCAAAGAAAGTCTTTTTTAGTGATTGTTAATATCTCTTTTAGTAACGGTAATTTAATCTTGCGAATTTAGAATATGGATATATCCTGCAAGTAATTTCAGTTTAGTTTGTGATTTTGCAACCGACTTGAGCGATATGCTAAGAATCCGTAAATAGTCGTAAAATTCATATGTCGACTGAGTGAATAACAGCAGCCTTAAGGTATTAAGAAAGATAATCGTAGTCTTAAGACGGCTGTAAAAAGATGGTTCAATTTACCGGTTAAAGGTCCTACGACCACTGCAACCAGAAAGGCAGTTAAGAACTTCATAGTAAAGGAGCGAAAAGCAGGAGTTCTTTTAGTTTAGCAGCGAGCCGATCTGCTGGAACGATTATCTGCTTTGCCACATTTTAATAGCAGTCTATATTCCGTTTGTTTGACTAGCTTTAAATGGGAAAAAGCTATTTCATGTTTTAGTTTTAATTGATTTTTAACAATTTTCTGCTTAAGAAGTGTTGATGATTCTTCATTTTGCTTGAGAATAGGCTCTTGATCCAAATTGAATTAAAACAAGCCTTGCGCATTGTATGTAAGGATGCACCTGTGAATATAAGCAGGAAAGGATTTAAACCTTAGAAAAAAAAAATTGAGTTTGCGGCTTGAGGGTTATTTGAGAGTTATCTGAAAAATTTCGAAGCTGTTTATCTTGCGGATGATTCTAAATTGATTTTTAGAAATTGATTTCATTTTTTACTGCAATTATTGTGCGTGGATGTCACCAGTGAAAACCAATGTTGTCCATTTTTGCTCTGTTTTCTTACTGTGTGTGTTTTTTCAGCCTAATAATGGGTTAATTGCACTGGAAACTCGCACTGTAAGACTTTGAATAAATGTTTTACTCCTTAAAACCTAAAATGGTGTGTGAATCCTATCAAAACGTACTGATTTTGCATTAAGGCGCTAGTTCAATGGGCAGGGAACGAAGGGATCATGTTGATCATGGATTTAGTTTGTAAATTTCATTTGCTTTTTAGTATGAAAGACGTTTTGCAGTCTTTTCTAGAAATCCATTAAGTTGGCAGATGAACCAACACAGATTTTGTTAATGGCTCAAGTGACTGCATTATCAGTTAATGCACTGTTTAATTAAGTACACAGTCACTAGCTAGCGTGCGATGAGTGAAATTTTGTAGCAGCGCAGTAACTGAAAGTAAGACTCTCCGAATCTCTCTCCTCAACCACCACACCCCCTACTCAAACCCAAAATTTGATTGAAAAAGCATACATTATGACTAATTGATATCCTTTTTCCCCTTCCACAGTTGGTTGCTAACCAATAAGGATTAAACTCAAGGCGATTTTTATGATTTGGATAAGCAAAAAGTCCTGTCCGCCATATGAATCAAACCGATGTCTCTGAATCAACAGGTTTAATATCATAGAGATCCAACTAGGTCAGAAAATTTAAAGCAGCTAAAAATTTCAGACGTTTAAAAAAGTTCAAGTTGTTTACATTACAATTCAAATAATGTCAAAACTACGCCAAAAGTTAAGAAAAGACTGGTTTTAAGGTTATAATTTGTTTGTTATTTAGAAGACTAAGGCACTCAAACACTTAAAAATTCAGTTTACATCCATTTTGCAAAAAGGTAAGGAAGATTAGTTTATTAAATATACAAATCTAGCTCATGCTTCTTAATGTTGCTTCTTAAAACTTAAGGCGTAACTCTATTACCAAGATTTGGGTTACTAAATTTTAACAAATATTCACCTAACGCGAACTACGTGAATATCGTTGAATCCTCGTGACAAAGCGGAACTACTCTTGGAAAAGCGTTGATACGAAACCGTTAAACGATTGATCCATTAACTGAAAAAAAATAATCAGATTTGTTTTCATATCAAGTTAATGACAAGCTTGATGTAGAAAACACTATCGATTAAGGCAACCTTAGAGTAGCAATTAAAGAACGCAACTTTCTTTAACAATTTTTTCATGCCGGCCCGAGAGTGCGTATATCGAGTTTTGGATGCACACGCACGAGTGATGCGTAGTGCGAAGCTCTCTCATAACTTCCCAATTAAAAGTGCAAAAGTCTCTTTGGAAAACTGCAAAACTCTCTTGACGCGTGGCTCTGAAAAAAAAAAACGCTTCCTTTACCGGCTGGTTTCAAACCCACCACATTCGTCCAGTTTGAAGGGGAAAAGTCTACATAAATGTTAGAGTAGTCATGCTTGTTAGAAGAAGTGAAGTATATATGGTTAGGATTCGTTAAAACCGCGTGACGATGTTCGTGTTTTGCTTTCAAAAGCGCAAGGGAAAGTTTTTTTTTTGCGAAGACATCTGTCATTTTACGTTGTATTAATTTGCGAATAGTTTACTGGCCATACGGCTTTTTGAGAGGAAGTTTCTGCAGTTGTTTTTGTGAGTAATAAACTTATGTAATGCTTATTGCAGAGCAATTTTCCCGCCTACAGTGGGACAAGACAAACAAAGGAGGTGACCATTTTGAATTATGTAAGACCTTTTGTTTGTCTTTGTTCTAGTGCGTCCCTCGTTCTCCAGTATGGCGGTTTTGTACCACGTGAATGGCTAGTTGTAAAAGGCCTATTTTTTGCTTATTATTATCATTCTTTATTTACCCTGTACTCTTAAATACAGTTTACGTGGTCCATTCCCTTTTGACAAAGTGATATAGGTTTAATTCGCGTTACCTTAGCCCCTCTTTCTTAAATTCGTCAAATTTGACCCAGAATGAGACGTTGGTTAGACTCCAACACTTCTTTCGTGTAATGTTAGCCACCAGGCCATTCAGCCAAACTATCAGGAAAATGCCTGAAGATCCCTACCTCTTTCCATTATTCCTTGTGCAGCATAAGGTTTATGATTTGTCGCGCGCGGATCGCGCGTGGATTATAGCGGCCTACAAACTCGGGTGACCCATATTTGTATATAATTATTATCTCCTGGTGTCCCTAATCGCGACATCGCGTGAGAAACTTGGTCGGCGTTGTTTTGACTTTTTATGACCGTTTTGGTGATCAAGAATACTTTTGGCGATTAACTTCGACGGCAAAAAAAATTATATAGAGAACATTGAAGCAATTTAGACCTAGTAGTTTCAAAATAAGAACGAACATTGAAATACAACAACATTTTGTGAGTGTTTCTCACTGACGTGTTTGCTTAGGCGTCAGGCTATGAATGTTTTTCAGAGGTGCGTTTCAGTTCGCCTTTTTATCGTCAAACCTTAATTTTCCCATGCAGAAATCTGCCTTTCGATTCAAGCTACATTGAGACAAATCCACAATAGCCCAGGTTCGAAATTTTCAATGACTCCGAGGCTTTCTGGGCAATTTTCTATAATGGTTTGGTTTTCTTTGAGCTCAAGTCTCATTCCACTAGGTAACTGTTTTTCATACATTTATTGCGATTAAATTTATATGTCAATACCTTTTAACAGATTGATAACTAAATAAATTGTTACGGAGAGCAATTTTAATTGACTTCAAAGAGGTTCTTACCCTGTCAAATAGAATAATTGTTCTGATTGCCTGAAGGGTCAGGTTCTTAAATTCCTCAAAAAAGTTATTTCACTTGTCTGATGAAACAGGGTTGAAATAAATTAGCAGGTAAGTTGAATTAATAGCACATAAAAGCTGTTCAAATAAACAAAGCAGTGATAAAGTTAACTTCAGGGCATTTCGCGAATTCCAAGTCGTTTATTCCTCAACGCTTGACGCTTTTGTATTCTAAGTAAGAATGACGTTCCTGGCAGTCTTATTTGTGATTAACATCCTGTCGATTCATCTGGGTAAGTAGTAACTAAAAAAGGTTGTGCAGTATTAAATATAATTACTTTTGAAAGGAGGGTATAATTGCAAGAATTTTGAAGGCCGAAGAAAAACAGGAGGAAAAACTAGAATAATTGCTTTTAATTCTCCGCCAATAATGCCCGTCAAATCAAATCTAAAAGAGTTCTTTGTACTGCTATATCAAGCTAATCGCGGAGTAAAGAAACATATTAACACTTCAACTTGCCACGGAATTCCAACGACTTTATCACCCTCGTCAACTTACTTTGCAGGCCTTTGCTTAAAATTTCCTGGCAATCTGCAACATTAAGTTGCATGATGTTGAAAAACGTAGAGGGGGAAACGTCCTGTTTTAGCAAGAATGTTGATGTTTTGGCAGCTTGATTATATTTTAGAAAAGGCGTGTTTTTGGCAGGAAAGTGACGGCACTTAGCTTATGCATGGATAAAATATACTGACCTCAAGGCCACAAAACTCGATTTAGGGACCGTGACCTTTCGAAAACTTATGGAGGGGCGGGCGAAGTACAAAAAAAATATTCGCGCAAGGCAAAATTCAATGAAAAAAATTCATGCACGCCAATTAACCCTAAAAAATATTCATGCTGAGGCCTAAAAAAAATTCATACAAGGAATTTGATAACGAAAAAAAATTCCTGCGGCTCAAAAATTCCCCTCCCCCCCATAACTTTTCTAATGGTCCGTCCCTTAAGTCCTGCTGGTATCCTTTGTTTTTGTGACGTCACAAAAATCCAAACTCTAATATCGCAAGGACTTTTAAGGTTTTATCTCCAGCTAATAAAGGATCCCTTACAAATAAACTTCTGTGCAAGTTTTCAACGTGAAGGTTTTTTCCGTTTTGAAAATATAGCTCTTTCTAATTTCGCAATTGGCGACCGAGAAGCCGTCAGATATGCTAAAAAAATAATTTTATTGCTTGATATTATGCCCTTTGAATGGTGAAAGTATTAGAAAATGTGTTTAGGGAAATAATTTGCTCGTTCGCAGTGAACAATTGATCAAATTTGTGGCGATACTGATTCCAGATGTTTGTATTATTTCTGGCCGCCATATTTGTACCCCTCGGATGAGCACAAATATGGCGTCCCCATAGTGAGGCCTATAAATTTCGGTTGCACATTTTGAAGAACAACTCAGCAGCGGAAAACTGCACAGACGTGAGTCGTGACCAAGTTGTAAATTTATCGATATTCTATAACATCTAAAATAATTGGCTTCAGACATTCCACGGTTTTGAATTTAGTTTTCCATAGCGTGATAGTGAAAACCACCCATAGGCACTGAAGTAGTTTAGTCGGGATGTTCTAAACCGTTTTATGCGGGGAAAATCTCATTAACTTACGGGAAAATAGATTAACCACTAGGACGACATTTCTTCTCTTTAGGGATCAGAGGGGAACCCTTTTTGTGGGGGTACCTCATTAAAGAATGATGACATGGTCTATGTTTTGTGCAGTGCTTAGTAGTGATAAATGAGATTTATGGAGTAAAAGGCATAGAAATAATCCCTCGCAAAAAGGTCCTAAAACAAAAACCCTATTAAGCCACTGTGAGACTCATTCCAGATAAACTCACTCTCAGTCTTTTATGTACGTCTTTTTACTCTCTAGTGATTGCTGACAGCTTCTGCTTGTTTTTGTTGAAAAGGAGCATCTGATGAATTGCTGTCATGTTTCCATTGCACCAGCTACAGTTCCATGGGCGACTGCACTGAGAATCAACAGAAAGTCAATTGTCCCATAGACGCAAATCGTTGCGGGGTACTGTTAATGCATTCCCAAGGGATAAACCGATTTGGGAAAGGATGTGTGTCTGAAGAAATTTGTCAAGAATACCAGGCACCAGGATACTATGAGATAACTATGGCTCAGAGTGCGAATTGAAATGCTGCGGCCATAACTTGTGTAACCAATAGTGAGAGTGTATGTGTGTAAGAGATAAAATGTGTAAAGGCTGCATGTTTATCAAATGTCTCGATACCGAAATATCAGATTTTCTGGCAACTACTCATGCTTTTAACTAAAACACGGAAGTTTAAGTTAAGTGAAAATGGGCTTAAAATGTGTGGTAATCTTTTTATAACAATATAATAGCGTTGCAGCGTACCTTTTTAATTTAACCGCCCTCCTTAATTGAAGACTCGACAAAACGATCTTCGCCTTCGTCTTCCAGTAAACCACTCTTAGCTACTTTCGTTGCATTCTATTTCTGAAAACCCACTCTGATAAGGTTTTCAGATGAAATACTTTCGATGAAGACAAATAAAGTAAGAAAAATTGTCGAGCTCAGTCTTAATTAATAGCAGCTCTCGGGCCCTAGCTACATGTTAGTATCATTCTTTCCGTCGAAGGGCTTGCCCTCGAAACATCAGTTGATAATACCAGCTCACTTTCTCGACTTCCCATCGTCTTTCTGTACCCTAACCGAGAGTGCTTACCATGTACTGGTCAGAACTGGCCGGCCAGACCAGTCCAGTCGATAAAGAAAACTTCACTATTAATCAGGACTGTTTAACCAGCTAGAGCAGTCTAATTCGGTCCGATGCACGCGTGATAGGTTTTTTGCGAAAACTCTAGAAAAATGCGTCCCTTTCATTTTCAAAAATACCGCCGGTCCGGCCGGACAGATCTAACTTTTAGTCAGCCTCGCTCCCAGTCGTTCTCGGCGATTTCGGATGTGACGTCACCTGTCGAGCTTGTCGGGAAAGGCCTTCGATTGCGCTCGGTTCCAAGCCTCCGCTGGCTATTGAAAAGTGATCAAGGAACCAGATTTGGAGCACTAAAAAGCCCATGTTCAGTTTTTTTTTGATGCCGATCTTTTTTTGATTTAATGGGAAAATAATAAAAAAACATGGCACGACCTTTCAGTGAGCAATGTTTTAAATAATCGCCTCCCTCGAATAATCGCCCTAACACCTTTCTTAAGAAAAAAAAAACATCTTCAGTGAGTTTTGCTTTTTCCCTACTGGCTTGTTTTTCATTTCAGAAACATTTTACCAATAGCTGACATACCCCTGTTCAAGGCCCAGTTTAGTTTAGAAGGAAGCGCTGTTCATTAGACGCTGTATATGTGTCCTCCCTGACAAACGTCCAAAGCCATACCATCTTTTGCCGCTGTGGGCACATCGTGTTATGACCCACTTAGGCCAAATAGGGAAGTACCCCAGCTTCACATAGTTAGGTCTAGGGGGACACTTTTCGCCTAGCTGTTATTAATAATAAATATTTTTATCTGTGGAATGTGAGTGGTATTTTAGACAACACGAAGCATGAGAAAATGGAAAGCCCTGCCTTACACGCTAAATTTTCTTGGTTTTCACATGACGTAACCAAAATTCAACACTGAAGAGTTATCTATCCTCCTGAGTTTTTATTTTTATGAACTGTCGGTGCAGCTAAAAACTTATATTCTAAAAAATTTTCACTTCGAAGGTGTCCTTCGTTTTGTGATAGAGTACGCTTGAACCCACACGAGTACAGTCACTCGAATTTACTTGTCTCGATCGCTAGGACTTTTTTTTAGCAGTCGCCGCAATAGATTCTACCGTATAATAAGTTGTGCTTGTCATCGGGTGAATCAACTTACGTGCGGGCGAAACAACCACAAAAATTCTTGGCGAGATACTAGTTATCTTGGCAAGATCTCCGTCATCTCACCCAAGATCTTTTTTATCTCGCTGTGATCTCGCCGAGGGCTCAGTTAGAGCTCGTTTATCTCGCCGACATCTCTTTTATCTCGGTGAGGTCTCTTTTATCTCGCCGAGATCTCTGTGACATTTTAAGGTTCGACGAGATCTCGCCTACCCTGGGTACAAGAGGTTCAGTTCTCGCGTGCGGCGAGAATTTCCGGTGTTGGCCGAAGGCCGACACATCTTCGGCTATAGGCCGAAGCCGCGAAGACTCGCCAGAAACCGAAACCGCGCTAGAAAAGTCTCTGGTACCCAGGGTAGATCTCACCGAGATGTCTTTCATCTTGGAGAGATCTGCTCCAAAGCACGCTAAGATCTCGGCGAGATCTCATTTATCTGGCTGAAATATCTTTATCTAGCTCGTCGCAATCTCAGAGACATTACAAATCTCGCCTAGATCTCGTCGAGATCTCGTTAATCTGGACGAGATCTCTGTCATCTCGTCGAGATCTCGCTTATCTCGCCTAAATCTCGGTGACAATACAAATCTCGCCGTGGTCTCGGTTAAACTTTTGCACGGGTTAAGGTGTCATCAGCTACAGCAAACCGGTGTTCTTTCTGAATATGCTAACCGCATAATTTCATAAAACTTTGAATTTTTTTGACGTCACACTTCTCGTCTCTATTGGTCCAGCTCATTTCCATCTAGCAAGCAACGATGGACGGTATATCTGTAAGTGACTGAGACGCTACGAGGAGTCTGAGAACTTGAAGAAAAACATGAATTTAATTTTGTACAACAATAAAACAATTTTATTACTAGGTGAAAGTACTGCTGTTCAATTTTGAATGGTCGCATCATAGGATGTTTTTCTTCCACTGAATTCCAACTTAGAATTATGAATTCGTTGTTAGTTTAGGAAGTGAAAAGGATGAGTTAACATTAACAATTTCCAATTTCATCCGTGATCTGCATATCTTGTGCAGTTAATAGTCGCGCATAGTCTCGCGCAATGAGCTCCCTAAGAACGAAAAAACATTACGTCCAGTAAATAATGGAAGGAAATTACTGTTTGTTCGTCAGATTCTTTATATGTGTGAAATTATAAAAAAAAAATGATTTAAATTTGCTATCTGACGGTTGACATGGGCTTTGGGTAATAATAATAATAATGTTTATTTCTTATATTGCGCAGTCTAGCATGCGATAAAGATATGATCGAATGCGCATTACAACAGTAAAATCTTAAAGTAATAAATGGCTAATCCAAATAATGATATTAATAATAATAATTTACAATTTTCGGAAAACAATAAAAGTAAAATATGAGTTAATAAAAGAACTAATAAAAAGCTAATTTAAAAAGATGTGTCTTTAGTAAAACTTTAAAAATTTTCAATGATTGACATTGGAAAAATCCAGCCTCTTAGTCGCGGAGTTCTACTGTACTGATGTAACACCCTTACCAAACCATATGTATTTTGAAACTGATTTTAAAGTGTTTAAAATGTATTTTCAGTATTTGAATACTATTTTCCTGTATTTTAATCCTATTTGACAAAAAAATTTAAATTTTCGCCCCTGTTTGGAATATATCTTAAGTGTAGTTAAATTATATTTCATCAAAAGGAAAACCTCTCTCATCAATTTACAATGTATTTTGTTTAATAAATATGATTAAAATAGGGTATTTCAAATGTATTTTGGGCATAGAACCACTAACACTGTTACAAACAGAGTTCAAATAGACTATTTGAAATATGTTTTAAGGGCTTAAATGCGACTGTTTTTTAAATACTTTTAAATAGGGTGCTTTAACACTGTTTTGAGTTGCATCTACAATGTATTTTGAGGCGCATCCACTCACAAAGTTACAAACATAATTCAAATAAACTATTTAAAATATGTTTTGAGAGCCTAAATGCTGACCGTATCTTAAATACTTTTAAATAGGGTACTTTAACACTGTTTTGAGTTGTATCGAAAATGTATTTTGAGACGCATCCACTCACAAAGTTACAAACAGAGTTCAAATAGACTATTTGAAATATGTTTTAAGTCCTTAACTACTGACCGCATTTCAAATACTTTTAAATAGGGTACTTAAACACTGTTTTGAGGTCTATTTGAATTGTATTTTGGGCACACAACACTCTGACTATAAAAACAGATTGTACATAAAATATTTAAAGTCTGCTGAAAGACATCAAATGCTGACCTTATTTTAAATACTTTAAAATAGGGTACTTATTACTTATTATTATTGAGGTGCAACATTGTAATGTATTTTGGGATACTTATACTCAGACTATAAAAGTAACAATTGCACAAAGTTAATTTTTAAGCCTTCATCGTGTCACGAACTCATAAATGACTCAAAACAAGCTGTCATATTGTGGACCGGATTCTTCTCTCAATAAAGCTCGAGGCGGAGCCAAAAATTAAATCTCCCAGCAAATCAAAAAGAAATTGAAAAAAGAGAAGAAAATTAGGAATAGATTTTAGCTTTAACTGACAACACGTAACTGTGACAGTGTGCCGATAAAGGATCAATCCGTTCCTCAATGTTCATTACCTGCAAGCTCTCTGCGAAAATCTCCGCCTAGATTTTAGCCGTGATTCAATTAATGCAGCTACGGGACATTCCATAAGTTTTTTTAAAAGAAAATTCTTAAAATCACATTTTAATTTTCATGTAGAAATTTTTCGCAAACAGCCGAAGCCGCGGGCCGAGAACCGAATGCACGCGGTCAATTGAGATTTGTCTAAAATAAGTCCTTGAAATTTCATAATAATTAAAACAAACTATATCCAAGCTAAGATCTCACCTCGTATATATTGCACTAAGAAACAACGCTCAGATCTGAATAAACTCCGACATATGGTTATCTTTCTCTCATAGACTATTCCGCACATGCATGGCATATTATTTTTGAGATGTCACGCGCGACTGAAATCACGACTTCGCGCCGCGGTGATGTGACAAATGCACGTGATAAGCAAACCGTCCTTTGTCCTTTGCTCATTTCAAATTATTGAACCGGCGGTTGCTCCCGGGCGGTTGCTGTGAGCTTAAATGCGCTTGATTTTACTGTTTGTTACGATCTTACAAAATTACACTCCAACTCTGCGGATTGTCGGAACACGTAGATGTTGCTTTTATCACGAATCAAAAATGGTTATGACTCCTCAGCGACTGTTATGTACTTTGAAAGGTTCTGGTTCAGGAGAAGAGTTCAACAGTCTAATTGTAAGTATTAAATATACAATGTTACTAAGGCGCTTAGATATACGCCATATGAGAAACAAATGAGCGGTAGTAAACATTTATATAGTCGCGCCCGTATGGCAATTTTACTTTTTACAGGATTCCTTGCAGAGACTCGCTGTTTTGTATAAATGATCTCAGTCACTTGATGTCACGTCACCGGCCTCTTTCATTCTCGCGTAAATTTATTCGTATGCTGTTCTTTATCAGCCACTAATTAATGTTCAGGCGTAGCCTGCATTAAGCTTCTGATGATATTTGAGTAAAGCCGTGAATATAATAAACAATGTAAGTTACATGCATGTAGATTAATATTTACCGGTAACGTCAGTAACGTTATACCCTTTTGAAGCCAAAGGTTGATAGGCTGTGTACATATACCCCCCACCCCTCCCCTCCGAGTTTTATTGAGGGAAGGGGTCTGTACACAGGCTAAAGATTGATTTGAGCATTTCTGAAAAATTCCATAAGAATTTCCCGAGAATTCTTAGGGAAATCAACGTAAAGTAATCGGCTAAGAGATAATTCTCTTGAAGTCCTAGCCTAGGACTGTGTAGAGAAATTTCGCCGAGGTAAATCTTGCTTTTTCAGGGTAATTTTCGACGGTTTTGTATTCATTTTATTTCATGAATTTAAATGGTATTTCCATCCTGTTTTTTTGTACTATTTTTATGCTCTTTCGACCGATTTTTATACTGTTTTCAGACAACTCTAAGGCTATGTTCTTACAATTTTATACTGTTTTTGCATTTTTGCATCCTATTTTTGATGTATTTAATTCATAATATATGTGTGCTATTGCTTTTCTTCTTCTGTGGTATTATCGGTAATAGGGTAGGTAATAGAAGGGTGAAATCTGGGATAATCTCTAAATCTTAATGGCTTAATCCCTGTTTACAGAGTTTGACAATCATTCAATAAAGTAAATCCTAATAACCGGATAAATTTTACCGTGCTATTCCCTGACTGGTTGAAACCACGATTGGTGCTTGCTGTTACATCAGTACAGTAGAACTCCGCGACTAAGAGGCTGGATTTTTCCAAGTTAGCCTAAACAGGTATATAAATGGTAGTTAGCACGCGTTTAGGCTATTTAGGTTCTTAAATAGGTTCTTATTTTCTGAAGAAAAAAATACAAAAAAGAGTAATTAGTGGTTCAGCTTATTCCTCATATAAAATTTGCATTCTAAAAAAGAAGCTATGTAAAAATCACCTTAAAAAGAAGAACGTTACTATAGCATCAACTTCAAGAATTTTGAGGTCCTACTTCCAAAGAGGATTTTGAATGTTGACTTGATTCATCTTATTTGCCCAAGTGTAGAGAATTTTTTCATAGATTTTTATTAGAAAATAAGAACCTCTTTCAAATTTTAGGCTAAACACGTTCTTATATAGAGGGGGCTAACTGGCAAAGCCTAACAGGTTTTTAAAATCCGGGTTCTTTAAGTCGCGGGGTTTTACTGTATTATTCTTCTGCCAGTAAGTGTATTTCATTTGTTGATTAAGGTAAAAGGATAAACATAGTCCACGCTCAAATTGACCACCATTGGCACATGCAATTAGACCACCATGAAAAGTTTCTTCACTACCGTAATTGTATACGTACTAATCACCTTATTCGATACTGGTAAATGCCTCGAACGTTTTTAATATTAGATACTTTAGTTTTAAGTTCATTAGTTTTACGAATGCCAAGGATAATCCAGCTTCTTCCTCCTTGTGTATTGCTAAGTTGAGTGCAGTTTAATTGTTTGTTGGTTTTCCTCGAGACAAAGCTCCTTTAACATTGGTTTGATAAAAAAATATCAACAAGCAGGTGAATCAAATTGCGTCCGGATCAAAAGAGCAGGTAGTTTACTTAAGGAAACAAGTTTTTGATTCATCAGTCACAGGTGAACTTTTTTTTTTGGTTACGTTGCCCGTTCTTTGTTAGAGGTTATTTAAAAACAAATCCAAAGAATAGCCATTAACGTCACTAGCGGTTCACTAAATCTTTCATCAGTCACAGGTCACGAAGCTCTATTTTCCTTCGGATGCCAGAAATTTTTTTGGTTAAGTTGCTTGGTCTTTAATACGTCATTAACGTCCCTACAGATAGCAGTAGCTAGTGTTATTTATTGCTCAAGTAATCGAGTCAATTTAGCAATCACTGTCTACGGTATATCTGTACGTGACTGAGACTTGGGGAGAATTAAGGTAGATTTTAATCCAAAAGTTGAAGAAAAGCTACGAATCACGGATTTCATTTTGTACAACAGTAATATAATTTTTAGGCAATAGAGCCAGGTTTCAGAAGAACTACAGTAACTGCTCATTTGAATTGGTCTCAACAAAGCAAGTTTTTTTCCACAGACTCAAAATTTAAGAACGCAGCATCCTGATCATGTCTTGGTAATTACTTTAGGAAATGAAAAGAATGAATTAGCATTAACAAATTCCCAATTTTTTCCGTGATCTGCATATCTTGCCCAATTAATAGTCTTGCATTAGTCTCACGCAATGAGCCCCTTTAGAGCGAAAAACATCAAGCCCTTTAAATAATGAAAGAAAAAGACATGTTTGTTCGTCAGATTCTTTAAATACATTTGTGAAGCAACGAAACCAATATTTGTTATCGGTGCTGTCCTCACCTTTGGGCGGGTCAGTAATAGAAGGGAGGAGTCTATGATAATGTCTTAATGGCTTAATTCCTGTTGACAGAGTATGACATACTGGGATTAATATTTTTTCCGTGATCTGCATATCTTGCGCAATTAATAGTCGTGCATAGTCGCACGCAATGAGCCCCTTTAGAGCGAAAAACGTCAAGCCGTTTAAATAATGGAAGAAAAAGACATGTTTGTTCGTCAGATTCTTTAGATATGTGAAACTGGACAAAACCAATTTTTGTTATCGGTGCTGTCCTCACCTTTGGGCGGTTCAGCAATAGAAGGGTGGAATTTATGATAATCTCTTAATGGCTTAATTCCTGTTGACAGAGTATGACAAACATTCGATAAAACAAATCCTAATAACCGTGTAGCATTTACAATATTTATTGCTATTCACTGATTGGTTGAAACCAAGAATGGTACGTGCTTAAAACATTGAGTATTATACCTCCGTCCGTGTATAAATTGTCAGTGCACTTAACCTATTTCATTCAGTTGCTCAATAAGAAGGTCGTTCATTATATAGTAAGTTGTTCATTAAACATCAAGACAAGTACAAATAGACCACCATGAAAAGTTCCTTCACCGTCTTGGCTGTGCTTATCACCTTATTCAAAGCAGGTAAATGCTCAAACTTATTTAGATACTTAAGTCATTAACTTCAGATGAAGTTTTACAAATACTAACGGTAATCCCAGTTATAACTTCCTTTATGGGTATTTCTAAGTTGAGTTCGTTTTAATTGATAGTTTGTTTGTTTTCCTCTTCTCCAAGTACGCAATATTTTAATGATATTAAAACAAATCATTTTTTCTTTGAGTATTGATTTCATTCAACATCATCAGGCAGACGCCACAAATATTGTGCGCAGAAGCTTATTATCTAGGTACTTAAGTCTTAACTTCAGAAGTTTTACAAATATTGATGGTAATCCGGTTATAACTTCCTTCTTGAGTATTTCTAAGTTAAGGTCGTTTTAATCGTTTGTTTGTATTATTCTTCTCCAAGTACAGCAATATTTTAATGATATCGAAACAAATCATTTTTTCTTGAAGGATAATTTCATTTAACATCATCAGGCAGACGCCACGTGAAAGCTCTCGTAACGAACTCTCTACTAAACTCCGTTTCAACTCTCACAATACAAGCACTGTAGTTTTCCATTCGGAGTAAGCGGACAATTCCCATAGGCGACCGCAGACAATTTCAGGGTTTACGAGTTAGACTTTTCCTTTGTTTTTAGGCTCTCGTAAGGAAACCTAAAATGAAATGTCATTCGCCTCTGAATCGTTATTTTAATATATTAACTTCATATCGCTGTTCGTCACAAGGAATTCATCAGTTTCAGTGTTTTTTCACATTCACGCGTCCGGTTGACAGTGACTTCAAAACACCACTGTTGAATTTTATGATTCTGACTGAATTGCAACATTGTCGGAACATCAATATAGCCAAACACCAACAAACACAGCTGCAAACAGCTTTTTTTGCATTTCCAGTGTTTATTTGTTGTTGTGTAAGTTCCCGTAAGCGGCCATTTAACCCCTATATCCCTAGTGAACACTCGAGAACCATTCTTGTGAGTGGCAAGCTCCAGTAATGGACCCCTTTCTTGGGTCCCGAGGGAGGCCGCATACGAGAGCTTCCACTATATGTTATTTAATTGATGCGATCACTCCTTTCAGGCAATTCCCTACAGTGTTACAGCTGTCAAACTCAAGATGGTCAGCTGTATACCTCTGAGCAGTGCATCCATAACCAAGTAATACAAAACTGCACTGATGGAAATTTCACCTGCGCGAATTATCGTCGCACCAAAACTACTGAAAATAACGAAACAATTGAGCTACACGAAAAGGGCTGCCTCTTGAAAGAAAATTGCACTACTCTTCAAGCGCGGTGCGAGGAAACAACGAAAAATGGCGGTGAATGCGAGTCTTTGTGTTGTGATGATTATCTGTGCAACGACGACTTCATCGAGGATCCCGTTCCAGAGTGTTATCATTGCGACGGTCCATTTCCAAGTGGAAGTCTTGAATTAAGCAGCTTTTCGTCTTTGAATACGAGTTATGGATCCGACGAGTGTAAAAGAAATTTAACAACAGTCCCATGTCCTTATAATTATGGAAGGTGTAGCAAGTTCTCTAGAAGGTTTAAAAACGAAAATAATATGGAATATATTGTGGTGGAAATACGTTCTTGTTTATCAACTTCCAAGTGCAATGAAACCATGCAGTTTTGCCGCCAGGATCGCATGAATAGCAACGACACTTTTTGTGATGCTCGATGCTGTGATTCTGGGTCGTTCTGTAATGCTGCCCCTGGCCGTGATTTGATGTCCTTTTTTATTGCGCTTATCGGGTTTGTTGCTTGTCAATTGTGACAGGAAAAAATGTTTTGTTGCATGTAATTTGGATTTAGTATAGAAGCAAACATTTCCCGCAAATTTTAAACCTAATCAAGCCCAACCAAAAGGCGACAGAGCGCAGTTTTACATAAATTTACGGATTCTCTAATTCATCTAAATCTTATACCAACTTATTAGTGTGAAAATGTTAATATTTACCAGTATGAAAATGTTTTTAAACTTCGAATTTCGAATCAATTGCAAAATATAATGAAACGTCGACAGCCACCAGTGCCTTTAGTTTAGGCCTCGTCTACACAGTATCAGGACATTTGAAAACGGATTTTTTCCCTCCTTTTTAGCCTCCGTTCACATTTAAACGGCGTTTTCGGGCACCAGAATCACAGGTTTTCATAAATGGTCATTACAGCGGAGATTTTTGAAACCGACGCAGGTTTCTCGTTTACGTCGATGGACGGAGAACACGAAGGCTTTCGAATACGGGCAGCTAGGCCTGGAAACTAGGTTGAATGAAACCACTTTTTTTCGGGACCGCAAAAACTGGAAGATAACGGTGTACCGTAAACAATTTTTGAACAATGCTAAAACTGAAATAATTATTGCCAATATTTTACGATGCCCCTCAGTTCTGCATTGAACTAATTTCTAAACTCGAAAGTATCCAAAGACGTGCCATCAAATTCATTCTTTGCTTGCCTTTTTAAACAAATATCTCTTACAAAGAAAGGCTAATGTCCGTAAACCTACTTCCTGTGTGCTACTGGCGCGAGTTGCTAGATCTAGTATACTTTTACAAGACTACGCATAATATGATTTTTAGATCCGTCTGTTGTTCCCTTCGTGCGCGAATGCGCGTGAAGGACCCGTATATCCGTAACGAGCTCTCAATCTTTTGTGCCTTAAAAATGCAGGACTTCTACCTTTCAGAAATCTTTTTTCATTAGAACCACTAGAATCTGGAATCTGCTTATTAATAGATTTGACCTAGATAATGTTACTTTTGAGAACTTTAAATCTGTTCTTTACGGTTATTACTCGCGAACTCTCCAAGGAGCTTCAAAAGAATTTGCTTGAGATGTAACACAGCCAGGTTTTTAGACCAAGAAATTAGCTACTGCATGCGATTTAAATTGCTACTTGTATATCTTTTTATTTTTTGGGTCCGCAGTAATTGGCTTTAGCTGTTGCGGTGTCTCTGCCCAAATATTTAAGCTATTATTAGTGTATTGTTTCGTTCTTATTACTAGTGTTTGCATATCTTCAGGGTTTTTTTTTTGTATTCTTCAGTGCAAAGCTAATAAAAAAATAAAGTAAAATCTAGATCATTTTGAAAGGGCTCTGCCAAGTAGTGACGCAAGAAACTTGACTTTTTATGACTCTCATAATACTTACTAGCTGATGCATATACATGACGAAAATTTAGAAGACCAGAGAACTATTTCATTTAGGAGTTAATATTTTATACGCTTTGGCTCCCACTGTATAGCCATGTAGGAGCTTGCTGATTCAATAAAGTGTGTCTAAATAGTGTGCAAGAGATCAATAAAGAAAAAGTTCAGCTGTGTTTTTATTTGAACTGCGTATTTATAAAGATAGAAAGGATAATTCACGCTGGAAAAGTTTTGAACAAAGCGTTCCGTGTTTCTAGAACGTCACGCTTTGACGTCACAGCAAAATAGACACCACGCACAAGAAGAGATGAATCGCAAATAAGGACCGATAATAACTAAAGTTTCAAGCCATCGCTTTGGATAAAGGCTTATTGGAAACTATACTAGCAAAAAATTTCATATCGTGAACTACAGTGTTCAACCGTCAATTTGAAAGCCACAGAGGAGGGTAATATTAATATTAGACTTTTCTTGGCCAGTCTTGGTTCAGTTTGCACTCCGATACGGTTGCTGACTGATCCTTTGATATACATTATGCAGTGCAAATAAGCCAAGAGTATGATGCTCATATGGATTGATTGCTTCCAATTGCAAGTTATTCTTGTTTTTTTGCTATTTCAGCCTGCAATCAAGGGTAAGTATCAGCTTTATGTTTTAGGTCAATTACTATTTTCACTTCTGGCGAAGCCAGAAACATTAATCATAATTCATTAAATAAAGTTTTACTTTATAGAGTGCGAAGATAAACGCAAACAAAATGCATTCAAATTTTCCTCTCTATATAGCATTTGTCATAGAACACAGAATTTATGATTTGAAATGAATTTGGATTCGGCCAGAAGGGGCAAATTTACCCGGTGTAATCTCCGAATAATTTGCATCTTTCATAACTTTAATATAACTGTGACAATAATGTTTCCAACCAAATTGTCCATAATTATATTCTCCGTTAGATAACTATAACATGAAAATTTGGATCCCTAGGTTCATAACCTATTTCAGTCACGGTTATCCACTTAGCCCTGATTTTCACGTTTGATTTTCAATGCTAAAATTTTATGACAACCTCATGGGCTGAATACTCATAGCACTATTGAGAATGTCTGTCTCGAAGCGAGTGCGCTTCAGTAATTGTCGAAGAACAGTAAAAACAAGTTCATTATGTTTACCAACTAAAGAAGATTAATCACACACTTGGGAAATTTTTGTGCAACTTAATTTTGTTGTGTAACGACAATTTCAATACGAGTTGCACGGAGAAAGTGCTCAGTGGAGCGGGCAGTTTATACACAGTAGTATCTAAATCTTGCAGTCTCCGAAAATATTGCTAATATTCCGTCATTTTTTCAAAACCAAATGACACAAAATGGGGCCATAAATTGCAAGGCTCAGGGCCCGGTTCCTGAAAGGCTGATTAGCGCTAATCCAGGATTAAAATTTTGTCATGACATTTTGTTTTACCTTCCTATGCATTGCTTAGAGATTGTGTTATCATTTCTTTTATTCGAAGTAAAGGCACAACAGTATTTTGTAAGCTCGAGGTACATGTTCTTAGGCAAGGAATACCTTGCTTAAAATTTGGCTTAATCCTGGTTTAAATTTAACCATGTTTCGAGGAATGGGGCCCAGATGGCTTAAAAACAACGAGTTGCACGGAGAAAGTGCCTAGTGAAGCGGGCAGTTTATACACAGTACTGTCTAAATCTTGCAGTCTCAGAAAATATTTCTCTTATTCCGCCATTTTGCCAAAACCAAATGACACAAAATGAGGCCATAACTGAAAGTGCAAGACTCAGCCAATGGCCTAAAAACAAAGGTTTTCTTTTTTCACTCCTTTAATAGTTGACTCCCTTAAGTGTTACCATTGCAAGGGGCCTGACGACGGTCGACCCTACCCAATGGAGACATGTGAAAAGGAGGAGACAGAGATGACGTGCACCACACTAAATAACATGGAAATGGCGTGTGGCAGATATCATCACCAGATAAATTCAAGTGCATCAGTACATGAAGTAGAAGGCAGAGCATGTGTACCGAAGCAGGATTGTCATTGGATAGGAATGTCTTGCCGGGCTATCATACTGGCCGGAGGAGATTGCGAATATTCGTGTTGTGATGAAGACTTTTGCAATAATGTATCTTCGCTTTCCGCGGATAATTGTTTAATCGCCGGAGGATATTTTTGTGGGCTTCTTTATTTATATAAATTAACATTTAGTAACTGATCATCATATTTAGATGCATGATTATGGGTATTGTGATTGACAGCTAGTTTTAATCGTTTTCGAGTGGTCAGAAAACTTTGGCTCCTTGGCATTGTCCCGGATAGAATAGTCACTCGCCAACCCGAGCCAAGTTCCATGCATTCCTTTACGAAACTTGGCAAACTGATTACATGAGAAAAAAAACGTTGGCTCTCCTAGAAGGGTGTTGCGGCTAGACTTGTCACGCTTTTTCGATTGTAGGGTCATCCTCTTAGCCGGACAAATATTTCTCCATTAGAACACTTGGGCTCCCCCACAGCGGGTCAACTCGGTCAAGGCGAAACAATCAGAGCATGAAAAAACAGCCGACATCTGGCGACGCTGCCACTGGTTTTCCAGCTAAATGCATGACGTCTGAGAAACAAGCGTAGAAATTCCATACTGATGACGCGTCACTACCCAGATCTGGGTAGTGCTTCTGATCGGTTGAATCAAGTTTCCCATGCGGCACGACCAATCAGAAGCACTACCCAGATCTGGGTAGTGACGCGTAATCAGTATGGAATTGCTGCGCTCGTTTCTGAGACGTCATTTGCGGGGAAATCAGTGGTAACGTCGCCAAATGTACATGTTCGCTGTTTTCTCGGGCTAAGACAATCAGAGCGGGCGTGAGCGCTCTTGCCAGCTCCTGGCTCGGACTAAGGGGTCATTTTTATTTCTCAAATAGTAAACGCTCAATAAAGTTGACTCAGCTTGGAAGATGAATCTCTTTCCCGAGATACCTTTTCTGGAAAGAAGCGGGGCCTTATTCTTTTCTCGCGTTGTAAAATATAACTGTGATTAAACTGAAAATACGTAGTCACTGACGGATGTACAACCGAAACACGTTCGGAAATAACAAAAAGTGGTATGTATAGTTTTTAAAAATATCTACAATGTTAGAGAAGTTGTGAAGTGCACGCGTAAGGTGTTTCATCAATCAATGACGTGGGTTTTTAAAGAAGAGATTACAGCCGCCTTTCAAGAAGGCGCAGACCAAGAGACCGTCCAGGTCCTGTTATGATTTCTTGGCGCGGAGGACGCGGACATATCCCTGTGAAATGACTTGTCTGTTAATAAACAGTCTTCTCTAACGTTAAGAAATTGGCCACTTTCATCGGTTGTTTAATTTTTAGCTCAGGGTCGGTGTTCAATGTCGAATTGCCGTGTGGAACAGCTTTGAAGGACGCATTTTGATCCGGTTTTCTGCGTAACCTCCTAATACACCGCTATAGAGCGTTTTCACTCACGTGGCCCACATCTATGCAATTTTTTTGGAACAATGGAAAGTCTCTGCATAAGAAGAGAGTTAACTACCACTGGATTGGTTTGGAACATCAACATAGCCGCGGTTCATTGTTTTGGAACACCAATGGCCACCGCTGTGAAAACACTCTCTACGGAAAGGAAGTAACAATGTTCTCTAAAAAGTCCCTAAGTGCAATTCAACACAACTCTGACCCAGCCTTACGCGCATCCTCAAAATGAAATTGCTGACGTCATGGAGGCCATGTTGGGCGACAAAGACAAAGCAGTTTCTTTTCGCTGCGAACTAGAGTCTTTGTTCAAGCAAATTTGCGAACAAAAATGGTGTTGTTTTGCCAAACAAACGTGGCCGCCTTGTTGCAAACCAAAAGAAAACCATTATGCCTTTTTGGAGGCTCGTTATCAATATAAGGTGGCTCTGCGATTGCTGTAATGAATGAATGGCACTTTACTTCAATGGGGCGCATAATTACTGTCACACTGTAGTCTCCCTACTTATTATAAATAAAATTGTGACTAAAATACCAATATCCTTAAATACTAAATACTAAAGTCCTAAGATATTAAATAATTAGGATATTAAGGGAAAAAAGGCGAAGTAAGAATGGTGAACACTAAAACACACTATAAAATTAGTCTATATCTTCATCAAAGTCCACCAAAGAGATAAGCCGACCATCCACCAGGTTTTCCACATATTCTGCTGAAATGCAGAATTACAAAGTTCTGTGAGACAACACGCAATACTTGCGTCCCAACCATTCAGCTGCGCCTGTTCAAGAGCTCTCTGGAACTGATCACAAGTTAATTTATTGGCACAGCCTCTAAATTCATATTCGATAACGCTACCATCTTGATGTTTTTTCTTTTGATGCGCCTTGATGCACCTCTCATATGGAGCTTGACAGGCGAGTTCCGTTTGATTTTGCTCGCATTGCTGAGGAGTGAAAGATTTTCCTTCAATGATTGCCTTGGAGGGACTGCATGAATAACATTTCAAACAAACTCCTGAAAAATAAATCCACAAAATAGTGAAGTGCATTTAAGAAGGCCGTTCATTGCGGCTTCCGTCCTCACGTATCCGGTGAATCCTGCGTACGAAATCTGCTCTCCAGAGCGGAAATTTTTTAATACGCTATGAATCCGGAATCGTGTGGACGCTAAATCCAAATATTCTGTTATCCGGTGACGTAACAAGATTGAGCCCAGTTCTTTACCTCAGATACTGTATTCAAGAAAGCAACCTCATTCCCAGGTTCTCTCAAGGCAGAGCAAGATGCAAATTTCGCGCGCTTTACGACGCATGCTCTATTGTCAAGTCCTGGGTACTAGAGTGAATCCGGATACTTGTCGGATCGTCGGATACATGTGGTCGGGCAAATCCGATTATGGATACGTTTGGACGTGGAAATTCATGAATCCGGGAAAAAAAGTTGCGAATTCAAAAATATTCGGATACGTGCGTGCACGGGGCCTAAGTGTCTTAAAAATGGCAGCGACCTGATTCGACGACGAATCCTAGGCGAGCAGCTGAATTCACTCGGAGACGAGGCCCGAATGAAAGGCCCTTAGCCTTGGGTGGCTAAATATATAGTGCCATTTTCTTATTTAAAGGGTGTCGACCTAATATAACATGTAAAAAGAAAGGAAAAAAGCAACTGAACAGGGTCACGTAAAGGTCCTTGTTTCTCTGGAATCTACGCATATATATACACTATAAATAGAGGCTAAGACTTTGTCCACACCCTGCCAGGTAGCTCTAATGGGCCCACACGAAAACCCTATCGGATGGGCGCTTCTGTTCATACAGCGTACATAAGAACGGTGGGCAACTTTCTGGGCCACTGCACTCTTACTTGGATCCTCTTGATAGCAGTATGAACAGGACAGGTGTTCATACCAGGCCGGAGTATTTTTCATGTCAACATGATCATCTATCCGGCATATTGTATAGACATAGTAAAAATGGGTCTTAAGAGAATTTATTTTATTCATTGGCCATGGCAAACTCGAAACTGGACTTAACTTACTTTTAAAAAAATAACCAAAACGCTGCCCTGGTGAGTTTTCCACGAAATGATCGCGTTGAATCTCTGAAGTTCGCGTTGACTTGAGTGCATATGACACTGCTTTCTTCGCGATGACTCAAGTATAAATAATACTTACTGAGAATTTCGAACCAATTTCCTTGTAGATAAAATATGCGGGCATTAACATTTGTAAGGCTTTTGGGACGTTTAGGACGTTTACCCTCCGAAAAATTACGCTGAAGTCGATGCGCTTTCATAAAACTCAAAATGTATAGATTTACAAAAGCACGCTCAAAATATAATAGGAGAAAATATAAAGTGAAAAAAAAAAAGAAAAAAACCCGTTGCATTTACTTTACTTACTCACCAAACGAAGCCAACCATAGGAAAACGATTGAAACTAAAAAAATCTTCATAGGGCTTGCAACGGTGGCTCACTTCAGTTTCAGCTCAGTTCAGGTTTTTTATTGTTTTTCAAGGCGAACTTAAATTTATTTAGAGTGACATCTGTTTCTTGTTGACACAGTTGATACAGTAAATTTAGCTTGCCCCTAGCACCGGCACATGTTGGTAACATGTCAGCTCAGCGTCCTTAACCACTGAAACGGTTGCATTCATTCAGTTCCTACAGATATACAATTTGTAATTGTATATATGGACTAAGATGATTATACAACTTGAATGTTTCAGTTAAACACCTGTAATAAAAAACGGTTTAGTCTTGCTTTGGGATTGGACGAGGTATTCCCTATTACCCATATTGAGAGAAGGGCTGTGTAAAGACTTTCAAAGCACAAAAGCTAAGCGAACAAAATCGAACATTTTGACCAATCACTGAAAAACTAATTTATTGAGGAAACAAATATGATCTCTTTAAGAATATTTTTAATCATAGTTCTCATTTTGATGAACCTTTGTATTCACTTTTCTTACTCTCTAAAGGAAGCCAACCATAGGAAAACGATCGAAACTAAATTAATAAATCTTGATAGGGGTTCCAGATTTCAGTAACGGTGGTACGGTTCACTTCAGTTCTTTCTCACAGTTTTTTTATTGCTTTTCAAGGCGAGTTTAAATTTATTTAGAGTGACATTTGTTTCTTGTTGATACAGTTCAAGGGATCTAAAGTTCAGTGAAAGTTAGCTTGCGCTTGGCACCAACATGTCAACTCAGCGTCCTTAATCACTGAAATGGTTGCATTTGTATCCTATGGATGGAAATTGTATATCTGGACTAAGATTATTGTAAAGATTGAAATTCTCAGTGAGACACCTGTAGCCCAAAGCGGTTTAATCTTGTTTGGGGTTTGGACGAGGTAATCCCTATTATCCATATGTAAGACGAGGGCTGTGTAAAGACTTTCAAAGCACAAAAGCTAAGCTCATAAAATTGGACATTTCAACCAATCACTGGAAAACTAATTTATCGAGGAAACAAATATGATCTCTTTAAGAATATTTTTAATTTCAGTGATCTTACATTGTCATAACGATATTTATAACTCCAGTATTTACATGAAGTCAAGTAATTGAAATATTGTAAAAACAAAACCTCTCAGGCGAAATGGAAGGTCCATCCAGCTTATAACAAATTAAAACTCAAAACGTTTTATACACTTCACTGGCAGGATTGGATTATTTGACGAACGTTCAAGTCCATCATTTGTTTAAGACCTCGTAAAGCCTCGTAAAATTTATGTCATTTGAAAATCATATACACTATGTAACATAAATGCGGATGCTTTCTTTTTTCTTTTGTACCTTTTCAGTATCAATCGAATAATAGTTAAGATCACTACAGTCGGAGAAAAACTAAGAACAGAATAAGCCTGCAAGCCCATTGGACGCCGATAAAACATGTCTAAGGCCCTGCCCGCACTAACGCGTTTTCAAGAGTATGCGTTTTCGTTGTCATCGAAAACGCCGTATCGTTCGATTCGCGTTTTGATGCGTTTTCGGCTGTCCACACTAAAGCGTTCGAAAACGATATTTCGCTCATCATTTTCATTTTGATGCGTTTTCGACCGTCCACATTACGATATGTACGCGTTTACGTTTTGATCCACTTCCAAGAGCGTTTTCAAGTCGATGCATTTTCGATGAAAACGCTCTGCGTATTAGTAAGTGCGAAGGCATCGAAATGTTTGCATTTTCACTGGAACGAAAACGCATTTGTGTGGACGGGGCCTAATAACAGTGAAGATAACAAAAAGAAATGGAAGCACTGACAGATAAAATTATCACTAAACTTGTACTTCCTTCCAGTTGTGCAAAGTTTGCCGTGGACAACAAATATATGAGAAAAAGACGTTAAAAATGCATTAAATAACCTTTGGTGTAGATATTACATTATCCATGTACAAGAAAACACCATAAATAGTAAATAGAAACCGTTAACTCAACAACTATGAACAGTCTTGACAGTACACACTGACAGCGTGACAACGCCGAGAAAATGCCAAGGGTAACGCAGTCTGCTGAGTCACGTACAGTAGGACTGCAAGTCCGAGAGCACCTCAGTGAGTGTTTCTCGTAACTGTAAGAGAAAAGGAAAAAATAAACTAAAATAAACTTCAGAATCAATGGCGATGACCAATCACTTTACCTTTTGAAATGGGGAAAGATCAGGTAACCCCTGTCCTAGTTAGTAACTATAATCCTGGACAAAAGTCCTTGGGACAATACTGCAATATTCATATTTTTCTGTCATTTCCCGGTTCCCTCTTAAAACAGTGCATCCTGTTTGAGATTTTCTTTTAGTTCTCCCTCCCCCCACTCTATACAAAGTTGAAACTCAGAAAAAGATTCTGGATACACGCTGGTCCAACATTGTTTGTGGGGTGAGGGGACGGGTTGGACCTGTGTGAATTGGAAAACGCCCCAGAAACGCAAAAGTGTCCCAAAACCGCTACTGATTGTAGTTAACATTTCATCAGATAGGAATTACATGTAATGCGTGGCTTACCTCTCCTTTGGTGGCTCGAACGAGATTTTGAATAACTGGCAGTGATATCTAACAGGGTAACACAGGGAAATTAATCAAAGTAAGTCCGAGTATCAAGCGAAAATGGTTAGCTGCTGGTAAATTAAAGGCCGGGGGGATACAGTTACGTGAAGTGAAAGCATAGTCGCCGAATCACGTTCCAAAGAAGTCACAGTAGTAAGAAAAATTCTTTCACAAGTTGAAGTAGTATACCACTGAAATTCTAGAGGCATATTTCGTAATCGTTCCAGTGATAATGAATTATTTGAAAAAAGGGAGGCTGCTTACAGGTTGAGAAGAGGGTTTAAAGCTGCTTACACAATACAAATACCGCGGTCTATTAGAATGTTACTGCTACGATATAAACACTAGAAAATCCTTACATTGTAAAGCTACTGTTCACAAGGTTCGCTTGGAAAGTAACTGTACACCAAGTCGCCCTTCGCAATTTCACTGCAGGTGAACCTTAATCTGAAGATCTCTCAACCGCGACGGACAGATTTTCCGTAAGGTGAGCATTTGCGCATATTTGTTTATGTACTAAAGCTACAGTAAAACGGATAACAAAAACATGCAAATTGGTTTGCAGCTGCTGCGAAACTATAGCCTCCCAGGCAGGCCTGCGTGGGAGGCTACTGCGAAACGAGTTGAATGGCGATGTTACGCGTTTGACCACCCAAGTTCAAACCTGTCTTGCAACAAATCAGGTTGTCGCAAGTTGCCTGCTGAATACTGACTTCTGATTGGATAAGATTACGCAGGAGTCACACTATACAAGGGAGTTACGTCACTTGCAGCAAAACAAGTTTGCCTTGGACCGGTAGACGCGCAACATGCACAGATTTTGTTGCAAAAAGTACAACTACTTTCTACTTTCTGCAAAAAATGTTCGCAACCGGCAAAAACCTGAATTGTTGCAGGACAGCCGTTTGAAGGCGGCCGGTGGTAAAAAAGGCAACATCGCTTATTCAACTCGTTTTGCAGCAATGTTGCAAAACAAGCTGCGCGTTTTTTTGTTTCCTATTTTACCGTACCTTAAAAGATAAACTCACCGATTCAATGGCCTCGCTTGACAAACTGTTTGGCTCCATAACAATAGACTGAAGCAGTCTGAGGAGATAACAGCATTGATTGTCCTCTACGTATTCACAGGTTATTTAATGATTAAACTAAAATACAACTTTATAAGTTATTTTTCGCTTACCTCGCTGCATTTAGCCTTAGCTCTGAGTCATTCTCCACTACAAGAAATAATAATAATTATAATCATCATTTCGTCATCATCATCCGCATCAAAACAATCATTAATCATCCACAAAGATGAGCAAGTTATGAAGGCCCTATTCAATTTCAAATCACATGTATCAGACAATGAATTCAAGTCAGTAAAACAAATCGTAGCATGCGTATGTTCATTTTCAGAATCTGTAGCAGAATTTATCTAGCCAGTTATTATATGGTGGCATCTTTTCTTATGTCCAATCCTGTTTTCGAAAAACCCTGTCACCGTATTTCCCAGGGGAAGCATGCCGCAGATGAGCGGCTCAAATTAGCTTGGTAAATTCTACAAAGCTTCTCTGTACGTGTAATGGGTAATAGTACCTCGTATTACGTGCAGGAGATGTCCTAGTAGCTCTTGCTTCTTGATGATGTACTGAAGTCCAGAGAAATTGATGCTAAAAATAGTTCCAATTCAGCATTTTAAATACTTAACTGAATACTTTGTAGGACCAAATCTGACAGCACTTGAAGAACACCCGTACAATGCAATGATGCCTAGCTAAAAAGGTAATTTCGTTGTTTTGCTATAAAGTAAAAATGGGAAGGGAGGGGAAAATGTTTTTGAAAAGCTGTTTTATACCTTCTTAGGGACAGTTTCAACATGAAAACAAGTGTTATGCACGCTTTTTGTAGCCTAACATTCCGCACACTTAATATCGACCTAATACCTTATCGATGAAGCCGACAGGAGATCTGGGTACAGGATTACTGTAGTGCACCTATTCAATTTCTGATGTTCTAACCCTTGCAAACATTGTAGGGAGTTTAAATCACCCAACAACGACGGCGACGGCAATAAGAACGTCAGAAAAAAAAAACAAATTGCTTAATCGAGCAAAACAGCAGCTGCCGTGTTTTCACGCTTTTTGGTACATTTCACTGCCGTTGCTGCCGCGACTACTGCGTGAAATTGTCTCACTTTACTTTTTATATGCACAAGACGAAGGATTGTGTTTTCCTTTTTTGTTTTTCCGTTTTCCCTTTTTTTGGACACGGTTGTTTTAAGAATTCAACTCAGAGAGAATCCGCCCAAATGTAACAATTTGAATGAAATGGAATATAGTCATGAAGTTTCGAACAGCGTGAATTGACTTTTAAAGTGACGTTTCCGCTGCCATCGTTATCGTGGCTGAGTAAGCACCCTTCTACAAGACCATAGGAAATTGTTATTAGTAAAATGCAGAAAATTAAAATGGCAGTAGTGAGCGTCCCCAATAGAGTTCTTCAATTCCGTCATCCCGAGACAAATTTTCCCTCAAACCCGTTATCCCGATGGTCATTTTCGGCATCCCGCATCCCGCCGTGCATATTAATAGGCTGATTTAGCAGGTAAGCGCGCGGAAAGGACTAAACTCAACTTCCGGTACCCAATTTGCCGCTCTGCCATTGGTCAGTCCAGTTGTTTGATTTGGGCGTGCAGTCGTCAACAGACGTTCCCGTTCTGTTGCTAAATCAGCCTACTTTCAACCCCGAATTGCTCCCCCATTTTGCTTCGAAATCCCGAATCCCGCCCTTCAAACAGGGCAAATTCCCACATTCCCAAATTCCGAAAACCAGTTAGGGACTCTGTTGGGGATCCTCAATAGTGAATGCTTTAAGAAGGAAAAACAAAATGTTTTTTCGCTACGTTGATTTAGCCACAGAACGGGAACGTCAGTCGACGACGGGAAAGCGCGTGGAAAGGACTGAACTCGACTTTCGGAGCCCAATTTACCGCTTTACCATCGGTCAAGCCAGTTGTAAACCTGTAACAGCCGTAAACCTGAAGAAGCCTGGCACGGCCAGCCAAAATATTATTATAAAAAAAAACATTACACTTTGTTATGATCAGCTTAAGTTTGTTGTACTCTTCGGACTTGTCGTTTTTTGTTCTTAAATTTTAGCTGAGTAGATCTCTTGTAAGTAGCCAACATTGACAACCAGCGGGATTTTCGTCCACGGTTTTTGCACTTATTTTCTTTATCATCAAGCCAGTTGTTTGATCTCCGCGCGCCGTCGTCAACTAACGTTCGAATTCCCGTTCTGTTGCTAAATCAGCCTGTTGACGGAAACTTGAGCACGCCTCACCTTATGTTATACAAAGCCATAAGTATCAAATTTCTGAGCTTAACATTTTTCCCCAGTGTTGATGACGTCAGTACAGTAACAAAGCTGTCAATCAAGCCACGCCCACTGTCCTTGGACATTAAAAAGTCTCGGCCTTGTGCTGCTGCAGCAATGTTGGTTATAGTTCCTGTGAGTGCTAACACAAACTGGAATTCGTCGGACGTTTCCTTGCTCACTTCTTCACTGTACGTTTCAAAGTAACTCTCCACTGTGCGTGCGGTGATATGAAGAAATTCTTCAGACTTATTCTGCAAATAACAATAGTCAGTCTGTGACAACTAAACGGACTAGATACTTACCATTAATATAGTGATTCCATATTTCTTAGCGAATAATTACGCCTTGTAGGGTAAACACTTTTCACTTCAAATGTATAGCTTTGTTTTGTTTTGTTGTTTTTTTTCCTTTCACTTTTCTTTCTTTTCCACTAACTGCTGGTAGAGTGAAATATTTCCTTTCTCCTTTTCGTTCTACTTTTACTTGTTGTAATCTATTTCAAGTGTAATAAATTGCGATTGTTGATATATGTCAACAATCATAAAATAAAAAGCTAAAATCAATTGTCAGAGTTAACAGACGTTTAATAGAATAAAAGCGCACTCGAAGCGCGTATGATCTCGAAAGAGAAAATATCAGAGGGTCTGTTAATAGGCTATTTTTCTTTGTTGTCTGTTGTCTCACGTTTGCAATTAACGAATCACAATTAAATCGTACCTGAATACTGTCGAAAACACCGCATATATCAATAAAACATATCCACTCCCCTTTGGATATTTCTGGGATAACTTACAACACTGCTTGTGGGGAAGTTGTAATTAATGATTCTCAACTAAAAAACTGATGCGTCAGGCAAACTCTTCGACCAAATGGCCTCACAACGATTAGTTGTCGTTGTTGTTTTTACACTTAATTAGCGATAATACTACCTTGAGTTATTCACCTATCAAGAAAAGAATCTAAAACCAAGAATAAAGTTGAGTTGCATTCTTTTAAAAGTAAAAAATAATAATTACCCACCCCTCCGAGCAGTGACGCTACAGAGTCCTGCTGGCGAGACACTCTCCATAGCAGAGTACATACAGCTGCTCCCATGGAAGAACAGTATTCAGACTGGTCTCCCATCTGCTGATTCATCTCTGACAACTGACACTAAAGAATCAACACAATTAAAGTTAATAGACCTAATATTTAGCCAAGTGGGGGACGTCATATGAAATAGGAGTCAGGGTAGCAATTACGAGGGGCTGTCCGATCACGGCATGTCCATTTAATTTTGCCTTGTTTCTTCCAAATACTCGCCCTTAACGTTCGAGAAGAAATAACTCCTTGTAAATGGCAAAATCACGGCTTAGTGAAAAAAAGTATCTTCCGTGCCTTACTTTAATTTGAAAACAACAAAGATAACCTTTAAAAAGTTCAAGTGTTAGGCTCAATAGTTTTCAAAACCCCCATTACAAACCGTTTTAATCCTCGGCTCTTCAATTTCGTCGACCCATGCCTTCTCTTGCATGTTTCTGTCAATTTTGTAGCTGAATTTAGCCAGAACCCACGTTAATAGAAGTTTTTATGACTGAAATGGTCATCCTTTTAAAATATGCTGTTATTATTATTATTATTATTATTATGACATTTCATGACATGCACAGCTCCGTTAACAGAAAACAGACAGGTGTCTACTAAGGGTTACATACTTAAGAACGTTTCAAATTACTAGAGGGTGGGAAGGGCGTGATGATAATGCAAAAGGGGCAGAGGGAGGGGGTGAAGGGTGGGGGAAGATAAAGACAGAGGCAATATATTACATTAGTTACTTACAGGACTGCTAGTGACTTACAAAACAAACCATCAGTTCCCACATCCCAGAAACCAGACGACATGTTTTGCATACTACAACCAAAACTACTTGCTTTGGCTTTATAAGCAATTGTTTAATTAACAAATGTTGTTTAGAAAGTTGGAAAAATATGTATATGGCAACAGTATTTTGATGGTTACCTTGAGTTCATACTTCTCCTATGAAGAAAGAAAACAAAAACACAACGTTAAAAAGCTATGTGGGACTTGCAATGTGCCACACGATGTAGACTGAATAAATATAATTATGTGGAGAATATTGAGATACAGTCAATAGAGTGACCAATACTTGATGAATCATGCTTCTGTGAAATAGAATATAAACCACTGGGCGTAAAAATGGGTTTATCAGGACGTTTGTACACCACGCAATAATTACAACAGGACTCCTGGAGAGCACATTACAATTTGCACCCCAAAAATGTTTAATTTAGATAAGCAACAGTTGAGTAGCCAATTTGTGACAATTTTCATATTCTGTTAAGTTAGTTACTGTACTGGGACAAAACATCATACAAACAAACTTTCCTTTTTATGTTGCAGGGCCCTGTTAAATCTTCTGTATCAATACACTATAACATAAACCTTCCATAGTCACTGTTAACTTTGCATGTGGTTGCTGAAAATAGCCTTCTCTACGTGCACATTTTAAAACATCACAGACCGGAAAACAGCATGTTAATCGGTTTAAATACTTCTTACTAAACGATTTCAATGTTTTTATAGTTGGTTTAATACCCTGCACTCTTGGTGCTTGAACGAAAAGGAAGAGAAACTTACGGTACAGACCAACATAATGAGGTTAGTAACACTTACAAGATTACAAGCAGTGAATCTCCGAGGTTAATCGGATGTGAGGAGATCTCAAATTTAGCAAGGCATAAGGAAGAATATAATACTGCACCCAAAATTGACCAATCACAATACGCATACAAAAGAGAGTATATAATAAGAAATATTACGTTAGCTTAAACTCTTTATCTTTTTTAAAAATTGTTCGCATGCAGCCATAGTAAATACCTGTCGGTATCTCTCACAGTCCTCTAGCAGACTATCATTTCTCTTCTTCACTTCCATTAACTCTGTATTATGCTCCAGACTGAACTGTTCAAGTTTCTTTCTTAATCGTTTGTTTTCTGCCTCAGACATCTCAAGTTCTAGACAATTTTTTTTCAAAGAAAAAAAAGCTTTTTCAGTTTGTTATATTATACACAGTATACTGAAAGGGGTTGATGCACTTAATACCAACTAGAAAAATAGTAAAAATAAGCCTGGACTGTAAACAGGTTTCCAGTGAAAAGTGCACAACCTTGTCCGTTTGGTCATTAGAGGGAAATCTAAGACTGAGGCCTTGATGTATTGAGGTCAATAATTCAAAGCCAAGGTCTAAGATTTCCCTGTATTGACCTCATTCTTGGTTAATAATTAGTATGTACTTTCCACACTTGGATTGAGACAGTTAAGCTGTATTTTCCATACCTTGTTCACACCGATCTAGCTTGCTAAATATGCTGAAAAGGTCAGCATTTAACACCTAGTAGAGAGATATTAATTTTGAGTGAGAAGGAGTACCTGTGATGACAAACAAGACGTAGGGAATGATGGAGAAATACCATACCAGTATACATAATTCGGCAAATTGCAAGAGTCCGAGATTACATTCAAGATCGGGAGCTAGAGCCAGGGAAAGGGTGAGTGATATTAAGAGCCAATTATTCCCCTCTAGCCTAGATCCAATGTTGCAGATTTCAGTCTTTTGCAAGCATTTTGAAACTGTTGTCTTAGAAAAACTTAACTGCAGTTGACTTAGCTACCATGAAGCGAACCTAGGCACCTGCCTGGACAAAATATGTTGAATTATGTTTTTGTACAGATAAGGAGAGGGTATGGGGAATGATCAGAAACTAAGGGTTTTTTTTTGTAACACTGCACCAATTATCATTTGTCTAGGTGGCAGAGCTATTATAGAGAGACATCATACCTTAGGAAGAAATTCCTTTACTTGCATAATTTCAGTTATCAGTTGGTCCACATCAGCTCTTAAGACTGTGACAAATGGCTGTTGTCTGTCAGACTAAAAATGAGTACAGTTGAGATCTGTAAGAGGTTAATGCATTGAGAACTATCTAAAACTGGAATATTAATGTGACACAAGTTGGATTAGGGTGCTTCATTACACCATCATTGTAGCCAACCAATTAGGATTTTGTCATTGCCCTTTGCAGGAAAAAAATATCCCTGCGGTAAAGTAGATACCCATTGGACCATAACATATACTTACAGCAAAATTCGTTGTATCGCACTATGTATTTTGCAAACTTTGAAGGGATTTTTGGTTTTTCTGTTCCATCAATCATTTTAGTGAAGGCGGGGTTAATGCAAATTACTATGTAACGTGCTCGCTCAGCTTGGCTGTGAATGACTCTATACTGCTCAAGAATAGCGAAGGAAATGGCAATGGTGGGTGGATTTTCGTTCGAAAGAAGGAGGCAGACTACAGTTTGGACAACAAAGGCTGGGCCAGCAGATGTGGGCACATAGCAGAGTTGGGGTGGGGCTGGGAGTGGCTAAAGCCATATTGTGTAGAGGGAAGGGTACGATTTTGTCCTGCTCTAACTCTAATAAAAGTTGCATTATTCCTGTGGGTTCTGCTTAATAACGGTTTCATAGTATAGGTATCATTGGAATTAACTCAGTTTTAGGTTGGTAAAATAGACCTCGTCACAGTTTTGGAAGCCATCTTGATGGGTAGGCAACCGTGTGAGAAATAACAGTGTTTGTATGAGAATCTGAATGTTGAATTACATAAAATGGCTTTTCTGAAAACAAAATATGAATTCTCAACTAAAGCATCACTAAGGATTCTACTGAAAAAATTTGAGGGCATTACATGTGCTAGAAACACTTGTTAACATTTTCTATACACTTGTCTTTAAAAATGTTTCTTCTTGCTGACCAAAATTTCCCAGGATAAATTGCAGACAAATATATGGAAAATCTAAAGCAAGTGTCTGGAGAAATTTAAGCACAGGTACAGCCCCAAAATTTGTTAGTAGACTCCCTTGCTGTGCAGCCTTAGGTTACAAATTTATTCATATGCAACACTAGATTCTCATACAAACACTGCTGTTCCTCACATGATTGCCTTACACCCGACAAGAGGCTTACAAAACCGTGACAAGGTCTATTGTTAGCATGGGAAATGTTAAGCCTGTTCGTACATTGGCTCAACATCATCTCCAAATTTTTTTAATAATATCTAACTCAACAATAATAATAACCAGCAATGTTCATGTTGTCCAACCACTTTTTAAACTGACACAATAACTAGTATTCTTGCTAAGGCCATCCCCCTTTTTTTATTTTCGTTTAGCATCAAATGCGTTTCCTGATATTGGGTCGGTCGGTCAGATTGAAAAAAAAAAAAAACAAAAAAAAAATTCACAAGAAGTCTCAGAATAGGAGGCCCTGGTACCCCAGGATGACGTTAAAAGTTAACATTCACATATTTGGATTGACAAAATGCACAATATACTGTAAAAAATGTCCCTGTTTTTGTTCCTGTTTTTCTCTATATACGCTGTTACTATGTTCATTTTTCAGAATAAAAGAATTATTTCAAGTGAAAAATGGTTTGACTACGTCTTTACTTTTTTTTTTTGGAATATGCCAAAAATTTGGGTCGGTCGGACGATGCTAAACAGAGGAAAAGAAAGAGGATGGCCTAATGTTAACCTCATTGAAAGGGTTTAATTGCAAAATTTAGAAAACAAGTCATTGTGAGTAAAGATCACTCTCTATAATCCTAGCAAGTTCTGGGTAGAATCTAACTACAAGCTCTGCAGTCTATCTCTGAATATCAATAAATCAAACATTTTATAACCGTATTATTAAATAGGAATCTCTGTTGAAATTTCTTTAACCTAGATATTTTCCTTAACAAGTTCTCTTTCACAACGGGTCTCGCACTAGGCTTTGAAGAGATTGAGTGCTGATTTCCAAAGCTTGCATGTACAAACGTCTTGTTATATTGATATCAGGGGACGATGTGGTCAGGAAATAAAATATTTGGGAATGCTCATCATCTTTGATCCTTCGCAACTAGAGATTGAAGTTAAGTTACATAACACACTAAGGTTATATTATTTGAACTGTGAAATAGATTGGCTGCTAATTTCTATAACTTGCATAATTATAAACATCTTGAAATATTTATATTGGGGGACCATGTAGACAGGACATAAAATATGTGAAAAAGGCTCTTGTTTGATCCTTCGTGACTGAGAAATAAGAGGCGCAAGCTTTTCGCTACAATGTACATGTAATACACAAGTAACCTCTCATTGTTTATCGTTTCAGCGCCATCCATGCAGTCTCTTTAAACCTTAGTGCAGGAAATATAAGAGCACAAAGCGGGTCACAATGTGATATCAACAAAACCTACATCAGTACATACCGCATCTTTTTTGGTGTACTTTGCCGCCATTTTTGTTTTCCTCGTTACGTTCTCGTTCCAGGCCCCTCCCGATGGAATAAGAGGGGTTGCAAGTTCGCAAGGTATGGTGGGAATCTAAAAAGTGGCAAATTTCGGACTTGCTAACAACATATCTTTTGAAAACCTCTCATGGATAAGCAAAACACTCACAACATAAAACAACACAACTATATTTTACTTTATTTCAACTCGACTTTCTCAAGAGTACAATTATCTACATCACAACTATATAGGTAGTGGATCAAAATTATATGACACGACGCTGTTTTACCAAAAACTAAATGGCACTGTTAAATATTTACACTATTAAATATGATACGATCGTGAAAACGCTCAGCGGATATGTCCGTTATAGAGGAAATTCCACGGAAGTTCCTATATCTTTAGTTAAGAACATAAAATTTCACTGTCGAAAGGTTAATCAACCCATCAAGTTATTTTAAATTTGAAAATCAAGGACTGATAATTTTTATATAGTATAAGTGACGTGGCAATGACTCCAATTCCGGGATGGGTTGAGATTTGAAACAAAGAAAGTATTGAAAAGATCCCAGTCACAGGATTTTATGTGCGCTAGAAACAGGCAGGATAGCACCAGTGTATACCATCTTACTGGTCAGGAATACATCAGTGCCACCTCCGTTACTTGCGGATCCCTAGAGGTCGGTCTACAAAAACACAGTACCTCCGAAAAAAAAAAAAAAAAAAAAAACTTACTTCTAAGTGTTTGCTTATACAAGTATAAACGCTAGCTGCGTTCCGTGTTTACTATATCAAATAATCAAAGGGTGTGTCACTGGGAATATCCAAGTCCGAATTTTTTAACCAGAAATAAATTTTGCACTCTACTAGGGACAACTAAAAACGGATCATGAATCCATGCTGATCCACACTGCTTGCATTCTTCGGATCAAATCCAAACCGGATTTTTTAGAGTAAAGACCAGGCCCCAGTTGTTCAAAAGCTGGATAGCGTTAACGGATTTTTACCCAGTGGATTATTGAAACCAAACTATCCAGTGGATAGCAGATTTATCCGATGGATGCATCCAGCTTTTGAACAATCAAGGTCTAACTGTATATCAACTCAACCGTATTGGAGACCCCATTTTCCTATCCTATCGCGAAGAGCGAGAATTCAAAACAGCTAGGTTTCTGCGTCAAAAATCAAACAAACAAAACCTAAAATTAAGCAAAACTTAGGATTATATTGTGGGTGATGACGTCCGTCTTATTAGCGTCTTCTTCTGTGAACCTTAAGTTTACATTGAAATTTAGAAAGTATTTACAGAACTAAACAACCGCAGCAAGGTGCTTCAACGTGATCAGTAGGTTTGAGTGAAATCATGATACAACTAAAATACAGATTTGACCATCCTCTCAGACCCAAAGGCAGCTGCTACTTGGAAGCCGGTACCGGTATCATCATCCTTAGAACGGGACAGCCCTTGGGAGAGCCACTGGACACTCATGTTTATTGAACTAGTTCCACTGGGAGTTTTATACAAGGGCGGATTTAGGAGTGCCCAGTGGTTTATTAAATATTTCAGCATTACACGTTCAATATGGAATCCAGGCATTTGCTAGATTTAAGCGTCCAGAAAGCACTAGATTTCATCTCAGAGAACTTCAATCTCAAAAAACGTTTTTCACGGAGGAGCATGCACCCGAACCTCCCTAGAAAAGTGCGCCACTCGCAGTTCTGATAGGCGCTATCGCGCCCATAATGCCACTATATACTATATCTCTAGGCCTCCTCTATCACAAAATCCTCCGTCCGCCCCTGTTATAATTCCCTGCTCTGACTGACAAGAATGTTTTTTTTTTTGAGAAGTGAAGAACCCACATAATTCTGGCGGCAGGGGTATATAGAATGACTCTGACGTTTATTGATAAGGGTTACGAAACTAAGTGAATCGATTTAGCAGGACAAACTGAACTAGAAGTTGATTCAATAGGCCATTTGCTATTTTCAAAAACTCTTTCTTTCAAATCGAGGATATGTCGAAACCTATCTTGTGAAAATGAGTTTTAGTCGCAGGAGAATAGAAAAGCATTTTTTATCAATGGTTTCGCACTTTGCCTCGTTTTGAAACAGAGGCTTGGGGCAAATGGAAATTGGCCTATCCTATCAGTTTCCGTTCGGCTAAATATCTTTGGAGCTAATTTCGCCCCGATTAGCTGTCCCTTGGTTTCCGAGGATGAGTTTAAGGAAGTTTTCATGTTTCAGCCTTCTCCAACCACAGCAAGAAGGAGTTTTTTGTAGTCGCCACTACATTCGTCTTCAATCATTTTATACAGCGTCAAGTGGTACTTCTGCAGGAAAACCTCTTTGATTTCCACGAGGTCAATCTGAACACAAAACAAAACAGCACAACGTTGGTAAAAAAAAGACGCAGGGAAATCAAAACTTTGTAAACGACGAGTGCCCCTCAGCTAAATCATCATAGACTCGTTTGAGATCATTCCAATTTTCATAACGTTATAGGTGAACACTTAATTATTTAACGTTTAATTGCCAAATCAAGAGAAGCGACTATAGAGGGAGAAAATTTCAGACCTGAAGCTGGATGCATCATTTTGAGCCAAACGAAAACGAAGTTTTTGAGAAGAAGATTCGCTTTTGAGGTGGATAAACCGCTTTCTTTTTTGTTCGGTTGAGGCCCTGTTGTTTCAATAATCGGGCGTTCCATTCATATAAAAACTCAGGCACACACAACAACCGAATGTTTCCACATGTTTCCGTCAGAGGTGTCTCAAATGCTTTTCTCTATGATTTAGAAACCTGTTTGGCTAATTTGGAGCTTTGAAACTATTTATCTGTTTAGATGTCTCAGGGGAATTTTGGTCGTCTCCAAAGTTTAAGCTGGCTTTTTCGCCTCATCCGAAACTCATGTTACCTACCCTAATGGCTCCATTTGACCGTTCAAGGACATGGATCGGAGTGGCAGTATTTTCAGTAGAAAATTCTAGGGGACGTTTCGCCTCTATACCAAAATTTTCAGAAGACCGTCTTCGACAATAATCGCAATATTTCGGTAATAAAATGTGAAACCTCCGAAAATCTTAGGAATTTGGAAGAAATACTCCGAATATCCTTGAAGAATGGAACAGTTATTCAGATATTTTTAGTGGTTCTCGTTCCTTAAAAAAATTTCTGGGCCAAAAGTCGTTGGGTGCCCCTGTTAATCACGACAGACACAACAAATGAACGGAGCACATTAGTACTATTATTACTGACTCAGACTTTAAAAACGTTTTGCAAGGGGTTTCTCAGTCACATCCCAGGAGACGTAAGCCGAAGAAAATCTGACTGTACCATTAAAAGTAGGTAATATAAAAAGAAAACTCACTTCAGAACGGGAAACAACAATTCGAATCAAGGTGGTGTCATCGGTTCCAGCTCCCTTTGTGGAATTCCACAATCGATCAGCAAAGTATTCTGCAGGTTTCCTTGAACATTGTACTGCAAAAAATTTCAACATTTTATATGAGGCCAAAATCTAGCGTTAAGTTAAAGATGATTTGTGAAAAGGGCGGAAAAAGGCAAACAACAGTAGGAAGCCACTTGCAAGAATGACTTACCAATACACTTTAAACCAGCCGCGAGATTTCCAGACATTTCACGGTCAATACTGTTCAAAATATCACGTTGCGTCATCTGCAAATCATAAAAAAAAAAAAAATAGTTCATTAGGTTTAGTTGGTGGAGATGGCACCGTTTATCAACAAAAATGAAGGACTTAACGGTGGTCGCTATCAAAATCAACATAAGACACAACTGCTTAATTGTAAACGGTACATGACTGAATTGCTACGGAAAGAGATGGAGCACCATATAGCCAAAACAGCAAGGCCTTACCTAGAATGATCACGTTCCTTGGCGGTCAAAAGACTCACAAGTCTTAATTAATGAAAGTAATGTCGTGAAAGGCCCTGTTCAAGTTCTTGTAATATTTGCAATAAGTTCAGAGACTCCTCGCACTGAAACGAATTTAACTGAAATCGAGCCGTATCAAGAGAACTCCGCCTTCTGATATTCTTATTTTTTTTAGCCTGCGAGCAAGCTCTCGGCGGGTGGGGCTGAGGGAAAGCTGTAGGGAGCTCCCTTCACTTTATTGATTCACACTGTCACGACCTTGGACTTTAGGGCGTGCGCGGCCTCGCGCCTGGTTACTAGAATAATTATGTATGTGCTTAGCTTACCTGCACATATTCATCAAAAGTAGCTCTCAGTTGCGGAAAGCTCCTTGTGACGAGAATAACATTGAAGCGAGACTCATCTGTACCCCAAGTCGCCTCTCCTGCCTGTGAAACAACATAAAAAATGACGTAATCCGATCGCCCGTTTTAAGAAAAGAGAAACCGAAACAATAGCAACTGTCACTCACCAGCAAGGCAACATGTCAATTAAGTCTACAAAGGAGTGGAATGGGGTGGAGACTCAGGGGTAAGGACTCCTATTTGTGGTTAAAGTAATCTGTTCTGTCGTAGTCCACTATACTTACTCGTTCCAAGACGTTTGCTTGTGCATTATACATAAAATACAAGTGGTAATCTTGGTCGACTGACATTTTGGCGAAGTTAATTGTGAATCTATCACATGTTGGCTTCAGCTCGAGGTTTTAACAATTTCAGCCATTGGAAGGGGACGTATCGGAAAACTGGAGTGTTCTTCTTCCAGCCGTTAGTTGCTTTTGACAAAGATCAATATTGAATTTCCATGGGAGACCCATCATTTCGAAGAAAACTGAGACAAACACGGGAAGACGCCCGTCTATTTTTAACTTTACCTCAAACAAGTCCTTTGCTTCCTTCTTAGCCTTAGCAACGTCAACAGTGGTAGACTCGTCTCTGTTGCCCTTAAAAATACATTGATTAACAACATAATTATCTCACTTAAACATCATTTTCATTACTTTTTGTTGGACTGATTTGAGAATGCCCGGCGCTGATCGAAGATAAAATGCTGAAATTCACACCAGAGCTGCTCCAAAACGTCGAAGCCCTAGTAAGAACCTAACCTTGGAGGATTTCACACCTATTAAGGGAGCGCCCTCATCTATTACTTTTCTTTGCTCTTGAATTGTAGCCTGGGACCTGCTTGCACAGTGAGGGAAAGGCAAAAAAAATAGGCGAGCGAAGCGAGCCGGCCGTTTTAGGCCATTTCCCTCTACTGCAGAACGTGGTCCCAGGTTATCATAGCAGGTGCCGCACAATTGGTCGCTTACGCGGGAGGTTTGACTGTATAACTGACGAAATTTTGGCTGAACTTCTGAGAATAGAAGTCATGAAGGCTTCATGCTGCACGGTGTTAACTACTAATGTGGTAAAACGCATTCAGTCAGTTTCTTTTGCATGGCAAACCATACCAAACCATGGTACAGAGATCGAAATATTTGGTAAGATACTAGAACCGCCTCTTTACACTTACCATTCTCTATAACTATAGGAAGACGATTTGCAAGTTCTGCACCCTCATAACCTAGTATTTTGTCAAGAAACTCTTTCGCGGTATATCACAGAATAGCGCGATACCCCTCTCCATCTATAATGCCCTCCCTCCCGCACCCCAAGGCTTATCATGGTGCAAGGAAACAGGGCTACAAATATCACACCTTTAGAACTAAAAATTCATGTACGCTTGTTATTACCTGACACATAGAGACTAAAAGCTTCTTGAAATGACCACTGGTTTCACTCATGCAGTCCTGTTCAAGGTCACGCTCGTAATCTAAGCAGAAAATTCAAAAGTTAGAAACACTTGCAACGACAATTAACCTTGATTCATGAGCGTAAGTTAGAGAAAAGCAGAAAGACAGAAACAACAGGTTTAAATTAATCAAGAAATGTACTCGGATAGGTGAAAAAAAAGGCAGTCTACAAGACGTGAGTTTTTCAAATGCTGTAAGAATCTCGAAGAAATAACAATCAACGGAATATTTAAGTCTATTATTTAACGTTTACCATTTACTTTAACTTAACATTTAACAGTTTCATGATATGTCGCGCCGAGAACCAAAGCAATCTGGTACCTCTTTCATAGGAAGCCAGGTGCAATATCTTTCAAACAACTCACTCTTTGATTGAATGAGTTATGAAGAATTAAAAACGAAAAAGAAAGAGTAACACTCACATTCTTTGTAAGCCTTCTTAATATCAGCTATCTCCTGTTAAAACGAAACAAATAAAAATGAACAAAACAGACATTGCCGAAGCTGCAACACTAATATTGTCACCAAAACCAGTTCACGTTCGAAAAAAAAACTACTATCAAGAATCTTTTTCGTCCGATTACTGCTTTTCGAATCTTTGCTTTGTTTCGGAGAAAGTTTATGAGCTGGGTTGAAGAATATGAATAATTATAAACCCTTAACCACGAGAAAACGCCCTGTGCATTGCAAGTAGAGCACTTTAACTTTAAAGCCATCAATTTTACCCAAGAGACTATAAAGGGGACAGAGAGGGCATCCCCCATATACACCCTATTCCATAGGTAATTCGTCTCGAGTTATTTTTAGAATCGGGATAAAGTTACCTCGCGCGAGGCGTGGATGTTTCGTGGAGGTTTCGCATGACCAAACGCCGTGCAAAATATGTCGGGCGAGAGGCAATGAAAGCGTAAAAAGATCGAGAGCATTTCTGAATATTGAAGCGAAATGAGTCGGCGCTCACCTGGGAAAAAGGAATCGCTGGACTCTTTGACAACCCGTGAAATCAGTTTAACTCGAAGTTGTCGTAACCTCAGCGGTTTAATAAAATGTGAAATTTCGCTGGTCTATTGAAACCGGTCGTTTGTACAATTTAGGGAGTTTAAGATCCAACGACGCGGACGACAACTAGAACGTCAAAAAAACAATAGGTTTAATTAGCAAAACAACAACTTCGCACGTGCAACACACTGTTTTGTTCCTTTCTTTTCCGTTTTTGCACGACTACGACGTGAAAATGCCTAATTTCGCGTTTTATGGAGGCCGTAAATAAGCAACGACGAAATTTTATTTCTCTTTCTGAGCTTGAATATGATCCCTTGAAATTCAGCTTTAGGAGGGTTCGCCTACAATTGACAAAGTAAATGGGTAGGAATAATCGCTATAAAGACTGAAAAAAATAAACATCAAACCAGAAATTACTCTCTTCAAACTGTAAATTAAAAATGATCCTGAGAGAATATTCAGTGTGTTAAGGATTTCCCTGCTCTACTGTTAGCTCTATACAAGAGAGGAAGGGCGATTCTTTTTTAACTTCCGTTTCGCTGACACAGCTTTCGCAGAAATCTCGCTGTAGTCGTTTTCGTCGACAAAAGGAATAGCAAAATCGCTCTCCGCGTCTTCCCCCATTTCGTTCTGCGTCATTTCGTGAAGGGCGCGTGGCTCTCAGCGTGGGTCATACACGCGAAACACATTCGCGCTATGTGATTGGCTGTTGTCTAATCCCCTTTGAGATCTGTGGTGTTAAAAATAACTCGAGACGAATTACCTATGGAATAGGATGTATATGGGGGATGCCCTCTCTGTCCCCTTTATAGTCTCTTGATTTTACCGTATTACCGCTCAAAAGAACATACTATAAAAGTACAGCTCCCTTATAATTATTTTTTTTAGCAGTATATAATTGAATGAAATTTAGTAATTTTCTGGAAACTGATAAGAGAGAGGGGGGCTTATTAACTTTTTTCCTCTGAAAAGGGGGAGGGGCTCATTGGAGAGCGGGGCTTTAATAGAGGATTTACGGTACTTTACCCCCATGTATACGCTGTGCCACATTCCCGTAGTTAGAGTACAGAAGGGCACATGTGGCTTTATCATCACAAACCTGATTTGTACGAGTACATAAGATGTCAATCAACGCTTCTTCATCTGTTCCAGCTCCCTAAAAAGAGGAAGGCAAAGACTGGGAATCAATAATGTTTTGATTAGATTCAATAACAACTGAGTACAGAATGATATTCTTAGCCGCCATAGCTGTCAGTGCTGGAATGCTTTTCGGCGACTCGCTTTGAAAGCCGGGAGGTTTAATCCGGCTAGGGAATATTTGCTGTAATAAATAGCCAAACCCAAAATGCCATTTCGAGGTCGCGCATGAGGATACCGTGGGACCAATTTGACCCACAGTGCAATTCGAGAAACGTCGACCCCAGTCTTACGCGCATATGGCCTATGAATATGTGAACAGCCTCGTCACCAGGGTCTTCTCGTTTACCAATATGGCTGCGGCAGGAGAGAAGACCCTGGGGACGAGTTTGATATGTGATTGCAATGATCAACATAGGGAGAAGAAAAGTAGTTCCTTACCTCCATTGCTCGTCTCAAACACTTGGCATCATAGAGTGCAGCTGGTTCAAGTATCGCCAACAAACAATCTTCAAAGTTACCGCTGAGTTCTGACTTTAGAGCATCCATTAGATCCTAACAAAGTAACGGAACATTAACTCTCGACCGCTGCAAGACATAGAATTTAACTGGGGGGACAAAGAAATCACTTTTGAAAAGAGTATAAGACGTGTGTTGTGGAACCTTTCCTTTTGCGCGATGGCAAACATATTCTAGGGCCTTCTTTATGTAGGGCTTAGGTGGATAAGATTTAATACCGACCTCCCAAAAATTGGCAACCAAAGCAAAGTTGAGTATAGCAAAAGTTTCTTCTGACTAAAATTAACCAAATTTCGACTCTCGATCGAGTAAGCTTACAAATATATATATATTATGTATGCTTGCGCAAGCTCGCCGTTGAAAGTAGTCGTGTTCCCAGAGCTGCACTTGTGCAGTTGTATCATGGATCGATGTTTAAATTAAGTTTTATCTCTACGCTAAACTCACTAACCTCGCCAAACATCGTCTTGTATGTTTTTCTGATTTCCACTCTTTGAGAATTGGTTCGTTTCAAAATAATGTCCATAAGAGTCTGTTCATCAGTCCCTGAAATATCACGAGAACGGTAAAAATAAACATTTTCAATACCTTACGGATATAAAATGGGCCATTGATAGTCCATTCATAGCGAAGAATGCCATCTCGATTACTACGCCGGTCTTAAAACGGACCTAAAAGTCTTTCACTCCTGCGGCATGAAGCTTAGCTGGGATTAAATTAAATTAACCTTACCGAACAGCTATGGGGAAAACCTTCAGTTTTACTAAACTTAATCAAATGGAACTATTCTCCACAAGGAGAGTCTGGCCTTAAAGGACATACGCTCAAATTGGTCAAGAGTCAAACTGCTTAATATAGAAGCCCTTAAAACTACAACTAATATAATTTGACAATTCTTAATGATGTCTAAATGTAGTCTACCTGCTCCTTTCATGGCCTTCTTTAGCAACTCACAGTCTGCCTCGGCATTAAAATTGGAGGCTGGAAGCACAGTGGGGTTACCACGTTTCTACAAAGGAAACCCAAAATCAGAGAGCGCATTGTAGCACACAGGTTACACAAAAACCTATATTCCCTATTAAATATAAGCTCCTGAAACCAAATAAATCCTAATTTTCCTTCTTGTCCTGTAAAAAAAAGCACGACTCACAAGTTTCGTTTAAATGGTTCTCCTTGGGATTTCGTCCTCAGACTTTAACTTGATTTGATAATCTCATTGTTTAGGACAATCACTTACACATTGCCTACATCTAGCTGAGTCATATCGATAAATTAGAACTGGGTCAAAGGAAAAAGGAAGGGAATACGCTTTGTTAAGGTCGGTGGTGCAAATCAGTATTTGTCAGGTATATTTGACTTCAAGTCGACTTGATTTTACTTGAACCGTGAAACAGATACTAACAAATAGTGCAAAATAGCGAGAGGTAAACAAAAGAAGACAATAGAATTAGTGCATGATAGTGCGTAGTATTCTACTACCTATTTCACGGTTCAAATAAAATCACTCTATCACGAGCGACGAAGTCACAAAAAGTGACGGAATACTCCCCCGCCTTTCCCCCACCCCCCCAAAAGGGCTTTGTTTGATGAAAATCTAGGTCGCTAGGATGCGTGACCAAGAACGTTAGGATGCCAGTAAGCTGCCAGTCTCAATGGGTTCCCCAAATCTGGCCCATTGAATGGCGGACAAAAGGCGCCAACTTAAAGAACTGCTAGATGGTGAGTGCAATTACTACTAAGCTGACCAAAACACAAGGAAACAAGTCTTCGACGGGTATTCCTACAAAATACTTTAAGGGGTGGTTTACACGATACGACTGATTTGTCGGCGCGTTGTGTCCGCCCAACAGATACACGCTTTCCGATCTCTTCGGTGATCTCTTTATCTAAAACTAAGTGTAACGATTTGTAAAATCTGTTACAGGGGTACAGCGCAACAGATTTATGACAATCAGGCCGTTTGAGGGGTTTGTGGTTCCTGGTTTACATTTTTGTAAACCAGGATTCATCTTGCGTCAAGGGTCAGACCTAACTTAACAACGAGAAAAGGGGCAACATCTTTCCTTGATCTTGACAACCCTCGGGCAGGAGTGAAGCTTAGCAATCACGCTATGCTTGAAAGGTCAGAAAGTGTAACTATTGTTCATGTGGCCAAGTAATTCTTATCGGTGAGTCCGTTACACATTTTCGTGAAAATGAATGTTAAACTCTTGAGGATATTTGAGAAACAGAAATACTGGGATAAAAAGGATTAACTAAAAGACAAACAAATATTCATTGCGATTATTGGTGGGTTAGTTTATTAGTCATCAAGTCTGTTAACTAACATTGCAAAAAGAGAATTAATTCTACAATGTACATAGTTAAAATAAGTTAGTTACATTTAGAGTGCACATGGTATTCGTGTATTATGTTAGAACAAATCACCTGCACCAAAATATCTCACCACAAACATGTAACGTACAGTATAACCTCGTTAACACGTACGCCATAAAACGACAGAGCTAAACTCATGTACATTAACAGAGCATGAAAGTTGTAGAAGTCATGATCATGTAAATTATTGGTTTCTGCAGACGAGAGAGAACTGTCCGTGCAAAGGTTCGACTGTATCAGTTACACAAAGTGTGAAATAACTACTAATGGCAGTTAACAGGCTACAATGAGCTAAGTTTCCGCAACGTAAGAAAATATGCTGCACGCCTCTTTTTTAAGTCAAACCGCATGGCCTATTCTTTTTCAAAATAATTTGTTCCGAAAGGTAAAAAGTCTTGAGCTACGATAATATGTTTTCGACGGTTAGGCCAAAAAAGTGACCAAACAATTCAAGAAAGAATGCCTTTTCGTCTTATATTAATCCTTCTACTTGCCATATCAACAATTTAAGCGCACTGCCTTCTGATTCTATTAAACCCAGTTACTTTCGCCAATCTCGAATCTGTAAGTAAGTTACAAACGTACTTTTCGAGACTTTGAAAAACTAAAAACTACAATTTTTTTGTAAAAGCCACAAAATATTAAAAGTGATAAGATAGCCGGGCTTTCAAAACTAGATTAAGTTCTTCTAACTTGCATTGGCCTTCCTGTTTCGCATCCAGTTACGTTAGTACAGTGTATTAACTTTCAATTTCAATTTTTTCACACTTGTTAGTCTCAGTAGATTATAAATAGAATAAGTAAAGGTACATGTTATCACGTGTACAGTGAATGGTGGGAATTGTTGACACCAGACAGTATTGTGAGTAACTCATCATTACACATCTAACAGGCGACTAATTCGCACTCTAAGTGTTATTAAATGTTAAGTCTTTCTTTCGTTTGCCACTAACGTCAGACCAGTTAGTGAGTTTTCACACTTATTAACGCTTTACTAATAACAAAATTAATAACACACCTGTGTTCTGAAATTTGGAAAAGACCAAAGTCTCTTTCTTCAAATAAATTAACTACAACAATTTACATTTACCGTTCTCAGGAAAGAGGGGCTGGTAATAAACCAAAGTGTATTTACACCATAAATCTTCATTTCTTGAAAATCTTTGTGTGGGTGTACAATCAATTCATAAAGTAACACGGGAAATGGATATTTGCTTACGGTTCACGTCTAAATTTTATGGGAGTTAACGTTTGAAGATTGTTTTGGAATTGCCTCGTTTGAATAAAAAAAAAGTTTTGTCCGGGAAGAGTGGGTTTCACGCCACAAAACCCTGCCTTAACTTCTTTTAGTTGTATCCCCGCACCCACCCCCACCCCCCCCCCACCCCCGATCAGTATTTACACTGGTTAAATTCTCTTAGCTCACCGCAGGTTGCAAAAAGGCAATCTCTGAAGGGGGAGGGGGGTCATTATTATCCTCCCCTCCTGAGAGTGCATTTGCCTCAGCCTCCTGTGCCTTAATCTTTCGCCTCCTGCTTCGTCGTGCTCTCAGCTTTTCTTGTAAACCTTGCTCCACACGAGCCTTGTTCATTTCCTGTGCCTTCTCAAATTCAGCTAACTCCTCTTCGTGCTGTTTTTTAAGCTGATCAATATTGCCAAACAAATCTTCTTGCGTGGGAGCTGGAGTGTTTTCTGCGGGCGTGGTTTGTGCTTCTGCCTGGGTTGCCTCACCGGTATCAGTAGCTGACCCCTGTTCTTCAACAGGCGGGGCAGCAGGTACTCCCTCTTTATCCTCTGGTTCTGGAGCCTGGTCATCCCCTTCTTCTTTAGCAACCTCTCCAGGTTTTGCAATGTCTTCCTCCACGGTAGGAGAAGCCTCTTCTGTTTCTATCAATTCATCTCTCTTAACTTCCATCTGAAAAACAAATTACATTTACAAAAGAATTGATAAGTAAACATTTGGACCCTACTATTAGAAAACACTTCGGCCTGCAAATAACTTTTCTTGCCACCTCTTTAGTAGTGGGACAAATCAGATGTCAGACACACATATATACTTTTGATGACATGTATTATTTGGTTTCTCTTATATGTCCTGCCCAAGTAGAATTTTGTTTGGGCAATCAAATCAAACCGTCGCTAACAAAAATGATTATTAATGGAAAAATGATTTCTTTGGTTTGTCCATTCATAAAATGAATTATCAAATGTCCGATTCAATAATCAAATGTTGATTTGGTTTATAGAACAAAATATATTTTGTTGTTGTGTTCAAATTTGGGTTTAATTTCAAAATAATCGAATCAACATTCGATTATAGAATCGAGGCTAAATATGACTATTGGATTGTTCATTTTATGAATGGATTATTGAATCAACAAACGAAATCATTTTTCCGTGAATGAATTCATTAGTTCGTTAGCGACGGGAACGCTTGACCTGGTTTGACTGTAATCCAATATTGTCTAATAACTGATTGCAATAATTTACAGCTCTGAAAGCAAGCAATATAATTATCTAACAATTCCGAAATGCAAACTAAAATTACATGTACTTTGAAAACACAATGGCCTTTTTCGTCTGTGTGACTGAGCAGTTACATTTGATTCTTGTTTTAATTGCTCTTGCACAATAAGTCCTTTTTACTCTCTCCTCGTGGTGGCCATTGCAACAATTTCCAACAGTATTAACTTTTCAATAACACACCCACTTAAAAAATAATGCATTACAAAAAGAAATTCCATGTAAAACCCAGATACACACGTAAAGGTATAACCAATAACCAACATCATAGCAGGCTTTACAAAATATACCTCCAGCTCAATTCCAAGTGTCTCCTTGACTTTGATTTTGATCAAGCTCATTCTCTCTTCTTTCAGCTCATAGTACTTCTCATGGAACTCTTTCTTCACATCAGCTAAGTCCTTTGCAATGGTTTCGTCCCTAACACGACCCACCCATTGTTGCAGAGAAGAGCATTTGGAGAACATTGAAGCAAACAAATTATATGACTTCTGGTATCTATCTGGTATGTTCACATCATTAAAGATTGAATTGGTGAGTGCTTGTAGAGTCTATAACAAAAAAAAGAATAAACTGCAAATTCAACAGATGTCAACAGCAAAATGCAGTGACGCAATATTTCAATAGCTTTCCAAGGAGCATAAGCTAAAGTAGCTGGTAGTTTAAAATCATTCTGGAATTCTCGCATTCAAGTGATATCAAGGCAAAGTAAGGGTTGATACTCACTGGAACTTCAGTGGGTGCTAATATAACACTTCCTTTTTGCTTGAAGGTAAGTATAAGTTACCTGGGGCCGGTATTAAGGCAGCTGGTTCTGTTAGGTGACTTAATTAGCAGCACACACCCTGTGACTGGATCCATCATTCATTCATCTTTTTTTTATAGAACAAATCTTCAACTGGATCTGAATAAATCAGTTTGGTTTCTGTTGAAACTAAACGTGTATGATCCATGCAATGACTGGTTAAATTTCATTTTCTTCTTCAACAACGATTTCTTATGATGCGCAGACGCGTTTCTCATCTGTAGTGAAACACCTTTGCAGATGACAAAAAACAGACTTTGCACATGATAAATTAGCTTGCAATTACACAGTCTGTTTTAAGTGAAACAGATATGATGCAGTTCTGCTGGTTTCGAACAGGAATGTTCAAATTTGTAAAGAAAAAAGTCAGACTGCAACACATTAAAAATTTTGATTGTAACAACTAACCTGCAGATCCTCCTGGGTAAAATAGGGCACATTCACTGGTCTCATGTTTCCATGGGCACTTGTTATGTTTTGCGCTGCCGCAATCAAGTGATTTCTGGTTTCCGCAACCATCTGATATTTTATCTGTGAAAGTAAAATAAGTCATGATTCAGTTTTATTTGAGACTCATTTCAGGCCATCTGATAGAATACGATAAAAAATCAGAAATTGTGCGATATTTTCAGGGTAGATTGTGCGATAAGACAGGACTATTATGAGATAAATCATGCGATTTTTCAGGGCTAATTCACATTGTTTTACCAGGTTTCAAAGGAGAAAAACCACTTTAATGTTGTTTAACGGGCAATTTGAATGTAAGGAAATAATAAAACATCTATTTTAAAACAAAATAGTTGAATTTGTCCAATTATTTTGACCCAGAAAAGAAAAAGGACGCTTGCTTAATATTACATGATGTCCTTACACCGCTGACCACAATGCTTGTCTCTGAAATCAAAATGGCTGCACAGATACTGCGATTGAAGGTTTCAGATGTCTTGCAAGGCTTTCTTTAGTGGTAAATCACCTTAAATAACATTAAGATATTAGGAAAATGTTTAATTAAAGTTAGAACTCATTTTCAGTTTCAGTTTACTTTCCTTGAATATAGCATTTTTTTGAGGAATTATACGATTTTCCTCAAATTGTGCGATCAGATGTGATTTGAGGTCAATTGTGCGAAATCGCACCATCGCGTTAATATCAGATGGCCTGTCAATTTTCAATTTTGCATAATGAGCTTCTGAGAAACACAACACATGAAGGTCTGAGCAGCTACAGAGGAATTCCGCAAAAGACGATTAATTGGATCTACATTGAGTGGAACCTTACAAAGTTGTCAAAACTTTGTGAAAACATGTGAAAACAATGATGTCAAGACTTGTAAACATTTTATGGATAGGCCAGTCGCAGGTTAGGTTCAAAACAAAGGAGTATTGCCTGGCATATTAGTACACGTAGCCTCAAATCAAAGCTAATTACATTAATTTAAAAGCCAATTTAAGTATTAGGACAGGATTACACAAAACTTTTTCTGTCAATACCCTAGGATAAGAAAAAAATGACTCAAATTTGAGATGAAAACTTACCACCAAAACTGTTACACGATGTGAAGCAATTTGGGCCCAGCGCCTGGTGCTCCAACTAAGCTGCTTCACAGCATGATCCAGATACACATGAGCAGCACTCCACCGGACATGCGCCGCACTTATTCTCTCCTTTCTTTGACCCAACAAATCAAGTTCCATCTCCAACTTCCATTCCTTGTCACTACCATAAGAATCATTAAATATTTGGCCCAGTAACACTTCCTGTTTGCCTCGCAAGGAATTAAGTTCATCCATATCTTTTTTCGCAGTAATAACTTCATCATACAACTTCTTATACTGGGTTTTTAAGTTTTCAAATTCTTGTTGGGCAATTTCTTGTTTGTTGAGTGCATCAACATATTCTTGTTTCTCCTTTTCATATTCTGCGTTGATCTGGGCTTGGTTGACAAACAGTGCCCGCACATTCCATGCTGAATTCAGCTCTTCAATATCTCTATATTCCTTAGCACTAAAAAAAACACAGTATCTTGTGATTAAATTATCATTAACCATTATTCAGGGTCCGAAATTAACTTTTTAATACGGGCGCCAACTGGCGATCAAGTATAAATTTTTGGTCGCCAGAGGGTAAATTGTGGTCGCCAAAAATTCCCCCTCCCTTTTTTCCAATAATAGTTTAAACACGAATAAAAAATGCATGGTATGGACGTTTTTATGCTCGAAAATTGCACTACTTCCACTCCCGATATCAGAAAGCAACCGTACGTGTATGAAAGAAGTCTTTTTTTTTCCCGCAAATTACTTTTTGGAGATATAAAGCTGTCCGAATTAAAACGTAGGAACAGAAAGCTGTCTGCCCATGACTGCACTGATCATATCAAAACTTTATTTTTTTTCCGATAACTACCACGAAACACGAGGCATAAACAGGAGTCAAGCCGCCATGTTGCTCGTACCAGGCCACAACTGTGCCACATCAGTCGTACCAGTACACAAAGTACACAACGTTCTTACCGAACAACATGGCGGCTTGGAAACGTTCAACTTGTATTGATCGTAGCTGTTGTGGAGGTATTATTACAGGAAGATTCGTTTCACTTTTAATTAAAAAATATCAGCAGGACAAAAAGTAAGACACCTGTTGGCAAATAGCTTCGAGGTTTCAATTCTTAATCAGTTTCTCCGAACGTTAAAGTCAACAATAACAACCAGCTTTACAAGTCGCTAGCTGGCGACCAGCTATGAAATTCTGGTCGCCAGGACTAAATTTCTAGTCGCATTGGCGACCAGGAAGGCGCAATTTCGGACCCTGTTATTACTATAGCTAGTCAAGTCAGACATGAAAATGAGCACTTTGAATATACCAGCCTTTAGTTACAACCAGGGTTTATTAACATCCTATTTATAAAAAAAAACACATAATCTGTAATGTGTTCCTGCAAATCACTGTACAAATACATGCAACTATAGCAACTAGCGCTAATGTATATGGTGAACCCATCAGAACTCAGGGATGTACATGATTGTCCTTATCACAGCCAGCTTTGTTCTTTTCTTTCAAGACCCTAGTTGTGGCTGACTGGCAATCAGCTGGGTTCAAACAAATTTTCTTCAACCTCGTTTAGCACAAATTTTCATAACATAATAATTATGATACCCACCCTCCCTCCCCACCCCAGTTCAGTGCCAAAGGTTGCTTTTTTAAAAGTCTGGGGAAGAAATGTAAAAAGCTGTAAAAATTCGCGAGAAGTCACGCAAGAGCAGCATGTAAAAGGAGATGCAAGTGCAAGGGGCGGGGAAAGAAAGGGAGCTGCTTTCCTCTGTCCCTTGCGGCTCACTCACGTGGTCTCTCCCAACTTGCTTTGCTCACTATAAATGGAGACTTGGCTAGCAGGCTAATTGGTGCTATTTAAGGCATACAGGTGAGCCTGTTATACAGTTATGAGTTGGGATGAAGAATACCAAGTTGAGTTAGATAAGGGTAGTAAGTTTCTGGTGAACAACACGTACACTCGAACCCTGTTTTACAGACACCTTCTTCAATTTTACAGACACATTAATACTGACACTTTCTATGGCCCCCTCAGTGTCCATATTTATGGAAAAGAAAGTGTTACCTAGGGGTCATTTCAATAAGTCTCATGAAAGTAGTACAGAGTCCTAATGAGCTAGTGTGAATTGAAATTGAATGAAACAGCCATGACTAGGTAACTCTGGTCTTATAAACATGACCGTTGGTAAAGTATGCGGTTAACTTCTGCACAAGTTGTCGCTAGAATATTCACAGTTTCCACAGAAATTGGGTGGGAGGAGGGTCACTTTCACAATATGTGGAATTTATGGGGGGTCATTTCTGGATGACGTGGGGGTCGGTTTAAAAATCTTCCGAACTTTCTCAAAATGGCCGCCCCCCACCCATCACAAGTAATAAACTACCAGGCCCCAAGTACAATTTCCAGCGGAAAATTTTCCGTTAATAGTAAAAATATTCTCATGATACTTACGTCTGAGCTTTCAGTTTTTCCACGTTCTCATGAGAAGCAGTGAGGTTCTTATGCAACTCTAACAGCCTGCTGTGTTTAATTTGATAATTATTCTCTGAACCCTTTTCTTCCAAGATCTTCACTTGATTCTCTACTTCGACAAATTCTTTTAGGACGTCTTCGCTGAAGTTTGGTTTTTCTTGCTCTTGAGATTGCCCTTCACCTTGGGTTGTAGTCTCGTCTGCACTTTCTTCGACGTTCGTTGTTTCAGTTGTTTCGACCACCGTTGTTGTTGTCTGTACGACTGTTGTATTTACTGATGTCTCTTCGACACGGGTCACTGTTACCGACTGAGCATTTTCCTCCACCTTTGTCGTGTTTTCGGTTGTTGTATTTTCAGTAGTTGCCGTAACCTCCTCCTTCTTTGTTTCTTCTACAGCTGTCTCTGTAGTTTTGATTGATTTCACTGATTCTACACTTCCCTTCTTCTCCGGTTTCTCTGTGACATCAGCAGCTAACACAGCAACTGGTTCGTTTGAAGTCGGCGGTGCGTTCCCCAGGAGCAGTTTCTGGACGATCTTTTTTCGACTTAGCACTACTTGATCGACTAGAACTTGAGCTACTGGAACTGGAGCTGCTACTTGACTTTGCAGAGTCTTTCCTCTTCTTTTTTTCCTCTTTCACTTCGTCTGCTTTGGGATGGCTTTGTTGTTCTATTCGTGGCGGGGGTGATTCCCTCTTCACGTCGCCATTGCGAACTGGCGCGTTTTGCTGCGGAGCGACCGCTTCTTGCGATGACCCGCAGCCCATATCAAACACACTAAAACACAAAAATATCCATTAGATATGGATAAAATTGTCCTTTTCTAGGAACAAAACTTTGAAATTTTATTCTAACGTTTCAATGAAAACGCAAATCGCAAAGTGAAGCAAATTTAATAGCCCCAAGAACCCCGATCATATTACAAGACACTGCCGGTAGACCTTCAGCTGTTTTGAATTGCTTATCAAAAACTGCTCAGATCTACCCTCCTTCTTCTAAGAGAACCTTTCTATTTAATCACGAACCAGAGAAATTTCCTTTTCACTCAACGAATGGTGCTTTAGCTAACAAATACAGAGGAGGTTAATAAACAAAATGATGGCCGGCCATGGGTATATATAGATTTGGTCACCAAACATGCACGATCATCATCTTACGATTGACTAGAACAGAGAATGAATCACTCTTTAGTAACAAAAACTTAAAAATTCACATAGGTGGAAATCTACTGTCGAAATTTACCTGGAATATTATCAGAAGGACATCAATAAAAGTGAACCATATGCTTTACAGAGGCGGACTGTAAAATTTGCGAAGATACGAAGTGTGTACATAATAGATGGCTAGAACTTAGCAAGATCGTTGCCATAGCAACAAGTCAACATTTTTCCCGCCAGCCAGTCACAGAGTCCGATGAACAAAAGATTTTATTTCTTTGTGTAAGATAATGTTCTGTAAAACGCAATTTCACGGCATTTGATTCGATTTCTTTCCAAACATCATATCAAAAATTCGATTTCTATTTTACTGAACCTTTTCCCTTCCAACTTCTCGTTTCCTTTGCCATATTTTTTCACATTTATTTCATGATCTGGTCCCAGGTATTTGCCTTTTTACCATGGTGACCCGCCAAAACATATTTAACCAGCTATTGTTTTGAATATTAGTATAGTAATGTGTAAAGCTTTTTATAACAAAAGATGCATAAGGGCAAACTTTACTTATGGCTTAAGATGTCTTATATTCTTCGTGATCATGACGATAGTTCTAGAATAAAGATTGTCATAAAATGATCGTAAAGTGTGACTTGAGGGAATGCATAACCGGCTTTAGGTTAATATGTGTAAATCATTTTGTTATAAACAAATCCCCTTAGAACATGAACAGAAATTTGCTAGAGTTCTAACCCCCGGGGTCTAGCCATGTGCCTGTGGACGAAGAAGACACGTATTTCCGATAACCACTTCCCGAAAGCGACCGGAAATACGTCTTTGTACGCGGGCTAGGCTAGCGGGCTGCCGGACATCGCAACTTTTCAGAAAAGTCCGTTGCCAGCTAAAAATGTACATATCTCCCCCCGGAACTCGAACTAAAGGCAGATGACTGCTGGGCATACTCTCCCGTTAATACGTTTTCTTGCTGACTCCCAATAACTGGAACGGTCGTTAACTCGAACCTCGCGCTAACTCGAACCATAATCGATTTCCCAATTCCCCCGGATTTGTTTCATACATTTGTTTCATACATTGTACATTTGTTTCATACAGTGTAAATGGGGTTTAAACCCCATTTACACGCGCTCAAAAAATCGGCAAGGCACGCCAAATTTTTTGGCACCGTGCCTCGTTTACCCATGCAGAGACTACCTCCTGGAGGTAGTTTCGGCACCCCTAAAATTTTGAGCACTGGTGCCACAACAGGTAGCCCAAGCTCAAAATAGGAGCATCGGCGAGCATCGGCATTGTTACGTAACACTCACCATATAAGGATTTGTATGAGAAAAAAACCTATCGTTTCTGTCAACCTCGTCCCCAGGGCTTTTAGTGTAAAATGGGGTTGACAGGCCTACACGACTCCCCAGCGCGTGTTTAAAATAGCCTTTTTATAGTTTGGCTCTCACGAGTATTTCTTTGAGCGACCGCCCTCTTTTATAAGATACGAGGGGCGGCTTTTTGTAGATTTTGCTCAGTAATGGTTGTTGTTCTATCAGTGTAAAATGCGGTTGACAGGCCTACACGACTCCCCAGCGCGTGTTTTAAATAGCCTTTTTATAGTTTGGCTCTCACGAGTATGTCTTTGAGCGACCGCCCTCTTTTATAAGATACGAGGGGCGGTTTTTTGTAGATTTCGCTCGGTAATGGTTCTTGTTCTGGACGAGGTTGTGTTTCTGCAACCTAGGAAAATGAAAGGATTTCAATAAAAAAAAAAAAACCTTACTTAAAATGTGTGTCTCTCCTGTGTGCTCCTCTGGCCGATTTCTGGCCGTTTTATGGGTTTTTATGTAAACGGTTTTCTCTCTACAGTAAAGGTTTATATATCAGTATATAAGGGTAAACCTTTATATAGAGAGAAAACCGTTTACATAAAAACCCATAAAACGGCCATAAATCGGCCCGTGGACCACACAGGAAAGACGTAACACACATTTCAAGTAAGGTAAGCTGTTTTTTATTGAAATCCTTCCACGGTTTCATAGGTTACGGAAACGATATGTTTTTTTCCCATACAAATCCTTATATTTTGAATGTTACGCAACAATGCCAATGCTCGCCGATGCTCATATTTCGTAGACTACGAGTAGTCCCCCATTTTTCCTCAGGGATAGTAGAGCGAGCGAAACGCGAGCACGCGTGAAAATCACCCCAAGCGAGAAAAGGCGTTTTCTCTCTCCCCGCCGCGTGTCGCCTTTTCTCGCGTGGGATGATTTTCACGCGCCCTCTAGCCTGAGTATCAGGCCTTCCTAAGGGGCTAGGGGAGAGGAGATTTTCAGCTCTCTCTCTTTTTCGCTTCCATCTTTCCCCTTTTCCCGAGAAACGCCTGATACTCAGGCTACGCGCCCTCGCATTTCGCTCGCTCTACTATCTCTGAGGAAAAATGGGGGACTACTCGTAGTCTACATATTTCGAGCTTGGGCTACCTGTGGTGCAACATTACATTTGGGACCGATACGTTTACATGGGTGGCCATGTAAAGATTCGCGACGCTCCGGAATGTCCCAAAGTTGCTCACGAAGTGGCATGAGCCGTCAGATCAAACTGCTGATCTAATGTATTTTGTCACGTGAATATATCGTGCATTGGTGGGTTTCTTGCAGGAAATGGAAGAAAACGGACAAAAATAATCGTTTGGTTAAACAGAAAATGATTGAAACGACAAAATGGTTTAAAATGGAGCAAGTGGTGAAAATTTCTTGGTTTGCTGCTATCTTGACTTCTGGTTTTATTTATTTAAACGGTGGCCACATAGCAAACAAAGTCAAAGAATCATTATTTGCCGGTACAATGAATCTCATACGCACGTACCTAGCGACAGACGGCGAAATATCGTGAAATAATGAAATCATTATCTAATATTTCAGGAGATATGTCAGTTTTCCCGTAGTGGCTGCTGGATATGATTGGCGAGAGGCGTTTGCCGCAGGATCCCCTTAGCTTGGCCTCGTTCTAGCTCATTCTCTCTTGTTTCTAGTGAACAACATTTACTCATGCTAAATTGCTTTTTTGTTTTGGTTTTGTGGGGTTGCTACTGTTGTTGTTTTATGATCGACCGTAGGCAGGATCTCCTTGATTCTCCTACAATGACGTCAACAATCGGGATGAACAAAAGATGACGTAGCGTTTTAATGCTTGAGTTGTTTAGTGACGTCGATTAGTTTCCAGCTCGCCGCGGTTAGACGTGCAGTTGTGCAACATGGCGGATTTGTGGCGAAGCATGAATTTCTCTAGACTCGCTATTAAGTAACGTCCGGAAGAATTAATGGATGCAATTTCTCTAGATTCATGTTTTATGCGAAGCAAATGGTTAAAGTAAAAGAGAAAGATTTGATTCTTCATGGAGACGTCGAACAACATGGTCAGATAACACAGGGTGAATGGTACTTAAGAAGTCATAGAAGAGAAGTTTACGATGACTCGTTAAACCAGGACGAAAACATACGGAAAGAATTTAAAGAAGTAATCAGCTCCCTGAGTGCTGGAGCAGTCGCTGGAGCTGTTGCAAAGACGACAATCGCGCCTTTGGATCGAACGAAGATCATCTTTCAAAGTAAGTTAGAGAGATGACTCACTTGTTCGAGCATGAGAACCAATCAGCGATTATTGACTTATTAAAACTATAAAGCTTTTGGTTATTACTATTAAGGCTTTTCCCTGCATTATTTACTTTGAAGCCCATACATTTTTCATTTTTTTTCGGTTGTATATACTTTCTATTCATGAGAAAAATTTGAAAGGTGTATAACAACTGATAACAAATATATATATTAGCACGTCTTAGGTTTAGAGTTGTTGTACACGTGCATGTTGGGACCAGTGTGTATGCTTGTTACGCCTGGACCAAAAACGGATAGGAGTTGACAAAAATTAAAAAAAAACAAAGCTTGAGCATATGGAAGTGAGTGAGATTAAATAACGACTTTTGAAGTTCTGTTTTCCCCAAACATCCTAATGAAATCTCAAATGAAGAATCAGTCTCTAAGCTAGAGTGTGATCTTGATTGAGTGTCGGAGATTGATTTTAAACTCTCACCGGCTTTTGTTGTTATTTGGGTCATACTTAAAGGGTTTGCTAGTGCCTTGTGGAAGCTACAGCCATTTTCGAAAATTTCTGTCACTACTCAGAAAAAATAGTAATATTTGTGGAGGAATAAATCATTATATTTTGTCTTATTTGTTTTTCAACTCTTAATATTGTTCAGTACAATGTCAAATGACCCCTAGCTTTCTCCTCACCTCCATGTTAAATCCACTGATGCCTGCAATTATTGTGACAGTTATTTTCTTCTTTTCTAGCCTCCAACAGACAGTTCTCAGTAAAGGTAAGCCAGTAAGAAATATGAAAGCAACACAAATGCAGAGATGCCAACAACTAACCCCCCCCCCCCCCCTCGACCCTGACCCCCCAATAAGCACAGTTAGAGCCAGTCTCTAATTTATCACATGGGAATGGCTTAGGACATTACATGAAGTCTTACGTGAGGTACAGACCATCCAAATTCCCTATTATTATGGTAATGGTAAATAATCATTGTCAGTGATGAAATACATGTACATGCAAAAATGCCCTAGTAACCAAACTATGAATAAAAAATTTGAATTTTGGGAGAAAATGGGATAAATTCCAAATTAAAGCACAGAAAAGCTAATAAATCAATTTTATGTGGGAGATTTGGTGTCCTGTACAGGAGACTGGACGATTAATGCTGTTTCCAGGAGACTCCCATATAATCCGGGAGAGTTGGCATATATGCAAATGTGAGAGTGAATTTTACATCATTAAGTTTTGAGGGTATCAGATCCTCTTGACAAAATAATAAACAGCTACTTTTGTCTGCCATAGTATGGTAATGTGATTTGTGTTTCTTCTTCAAAAGTTGATGAATGTTGTACTTGATAGCTTCACAGAAGTTAATCTTGCTAGAAATAAAAATTACATGTTTATTACTAGGGTATCTAAAAGACAGTAATGCTGCGGCACATTCTGTTGATACTGGCATTAGTTAGGCAGTGAGAATTGAAAGAATCGAAAATGATATTGAATGTCCTATTTACATGTTGGAAAGTACTAGAATAATTACTATCAGTCTATAGAAAGTACTCGTGGGAACGTTGTTTAGAAAATGATCAAGTGGTTATAACTCTGGTTTTCCCACAGTAAATTGTACGAAATAATAGAAATTCAGATTGTTTATCCACTATTTAATATACGGTGCACGATATTTTCTCTGGAAACACAATACTTTTGTTGCTGTTTGTTGCACTTTATTAAGTAACAGTTATTTAGCTACATATTTATAGAAAACAACAACACAAGAAACGGAAAAAAAAGGAAAGAAGGAATATAGAATACGGTAGGACTCGAACCCTGCACCTTCGACTCGACGCGACTACACCTAACTACTACACCAGAGAGGCTAATTACGTAATTTTTAAGAAAAGTCTTGATTTTTTCCTTTTCCATGAAACTTCCGCCGGCAAGATGATCGCCAGCCGCATTAACCGAGCTATTAACAGTGAAAAAACAATGTAAACGCATATTCCATGGCAATGAATGAATGAAAGAACATAATTATGTTTTTCAAAACGCCGATACACGTCCTCGTCTGCAAAGTAGGACACAAAACACATGTTTTGTTATCTCGATTTCCGCTGTTATTTTGAAGCGAATGGTCAAAATCACTTCCATTTTCCGCTCATACAGTTTCTTAAGAATAGCACTGCATGACATTTTCTCACTTTCACATCACCTTCTAGCAAGCTGAAATTTGTATATCCCCCGTGTTGTTGAGTCGAAGAGCAAATGCTCATCTTTTCGTCAGGTTTAACGCCTGGACGAGTCAAAGGCTCTTGAATTGAAATCCAATCCCCAAGTTAACCATCGTAGTCATCTGAAAGACTCCTGCGTGTCTTAAAATTTGGTAAGACCTCTAACCGTGCTGTAGAAAATTTGTCACAAAGAAAACTCTAAGTCTGAGCAGCGAACGATGCACTCTCTCACCCACCGAACTTCCTGGTGTTTTTATTTGAGTTGTTCGTGGCGCAATGCACTCTGGTTAAATGCAATGCATTGTGGTTAAAACTGTGGTTAAATGCAATGCATTGTGGTAAAAAGTGATGAATTCGAGAATTCGTCGTCCCTTATATATTTCCTTTAAATCCTGATTATGTTGCTGCTCGCTCCCTTCGGTCGCTCCACAGCAATAATAAGTAACATATAATATTGGGGAAGGAATGCAACCAGTAACAATGTGTATTTTGCAAAAACTTCCCTACCATAATGATACAACTCTAAGAAAGTGATCATTATTATTGTAATAAAGTTCATATGTAACGGGCACTTTGATTGGTTAGAAAGCATGCTTTATGAGAGTATAAAAATGGAGCTACATGTAAAGCTGTCACACCATCTGCCATTATATGTAGTTCATTTTGAAATTACAAGAAAAGTGATGTGTGGGGAATTTAATGAATTCTTCATGAGGGGGACATTAGGGAGTACCCAGTACCACAAAACTGTAAGAAAAACTGTCAAGCACTGAATTACTGTGTCAAAAATCAACGAAATACTGATATCGCATTTATGATCGGTCACACTCATAATAATTAACCCATTCGCCCATGAGCTGCCCGTAACTGCCCATGTGGATCCACATCCCTTCTATTGCTTGTGACATCATCAGTTTTAATGGTCAAAGACAACTTTGTCCACTAACGTTTGCAGAGTGAAGAGATCTTCCAAACCACATCAGAATGAGCACAATTCAGTCAAGGACACTGGAGAAAAAAGCAAAAAACCATGTAACATTGACCCTAAAATTACCATGAAAATCTTGTTCCACTACCCACCTACCTTTCCTTTCAGCTAATCCTAAGATCCTAAAAGCTTTCCTAAAAACTTTTTCCACCAAAATGAAGCCTACCAAATGCCCAGCAAAAGAAAACAAAAATGAGGCAAGAAAAGCGAAAAAAAAGGGGAGGAGAGAAAGTGAAAAGTAAAATTCAAGACTGCTGAAATTTTGCTTTCTGCGCATACCTGAACTTTGCAAGCTAATATTTTGCTTCTGGATCAGAAGGCTGCGAAGTGTACGACAGGGTTGTCATTAAGAGCCGGGGGCTGGGGATTTTCCCCGGCTACTAAGAGAGTGGCTTCCGGCTTCTTTTATTTGAAAATAGAAGAAAAATAGAACCAAAAGAAATCCCTAGCCATTTGATTCCCCGCCTACTTGTTGTATTTACCCAGCAACTTGAAATCTTAGTGACAACCCTGGTACGACCTGCAAATGGCTTTGTGGTAAGTTTTAGCTCTTTATAGCATGACAGTGACCAGAAAACCACTCGACTAGGCTGCTTCAAAACGCTTTTTTCCGCAAAATCTGTAGGGGCGAATGTGTTAAAGTTTTATCCATCTTGTGTGTTTGTTTTCCCCAAGCATGTACCAGAAATTAACCTCACCCATAATTCAAGAAAACATGAGAAGACTTTGAATTTGTCGGTAAACACAGATTGGAAAGCCTGGTCATTGGATGCAACAGCAATTCCAATGTAGATTAACTGTCAGAAATTGTGTAATCATTTACCATTATGTCTGATGCCTTAAAAATATTAACTCCTATTGACCTGAAAAGCTTACTGTGTTGGTGGTGAATATTGTATTGACCTGTGTTAGACAGCAGTGTGGAAATAAACAGTAGTGCAATACCGTCAAGGATCTTCTTTTACCAAATACAGTCAGCCAAAAGGTTGAAAAACTGCATACCACAGGGCTAGATGATACTGGAGTACCTCACATTAAATTGAAAATTACCAAAATACCACTTGTAAAAAGCTCAATACCGTAAAGCCCCATGTCCCCCTCCTTTATCATGAAATAATTAAAGAAGCTTTGACTGTACTCTGCTCTGTTGTAAAGCCCTTAGGAAGCAGCAAGAGCACTCAAGAAGTAGGGAGAAACTCTCAACTACTTCTCATGTTTCCACAACATTTCTTTCATACTCTAGCCACCTCCTGCGGGCTTTACAACAAAACAGAGCTCAGTCAAGGCTTCTTTATTTGTGAAAATGATGTGATTCATATTTTTGTTGTTGTTGCAGTTGTTTAACTGCCGTACTCTTAAGTTCTAATGCTTATTTTACCTCTGCTTTCTTATAAAGGGAGCTGTTAGTGTGTTAAGACAAACTTTTGTAGAGAATGGATTTCTTGGTCTCTTCCGAGGAAACAGCGCAACAATGGCACGTATCATTCCATATGCTTCATTACAGTTCACTGCACATGAGCAGTACAAAATGCTTTTGAGAACAGACAGCAAGAAAGGGTGGGTAGATTTGTTATATTTTGTTTACTACATACTTGTACATGTACCTCTATCAGGGATACTCAGCCAAAGAAAAGAAGGGAAAGAAAGTCTAGTTGAAATGGGGTGGGGGGGGGGGGGGAGATCTATGCACTTCCTGATATTTTGCAACAGAAAAATATGGTAGTTTTTGTCTTTTGGCCAGATGAAAACCAGAAAAAAAAAACAGAAAACCAGAAAACCACTCAATGAGTGTAGCTTCAACCCACATCTTTTCACAAAATCTCTACTGCAGCACTAAATTTGTTGCATTTTTAGAAATCCCTTTTTGTTTGGCACACGTTGGAATACTTTTCATCTTGTGCAAATTTATTAAATTTATTAAATTTATGTGACTAGTGGTACCAAGGTCTCAGTCAAAAGGAAGTCCAGGCTTCACCCAGATGATGTGATGCATATATCTATTGTAGCATAGGAACCAGGCTACTATCTTGTTAACATGACATTGTTATGAATGGCTTGAGGCACTCAAAATTTTGACTGATTGCCTGATGTGCATTTTGTATTTCAGGCCATTACCTCCTGTGCGTCGATTTTTAGCAGGATCTATGGCTGGGATAACTGCTGCATTGTTTACATATCCACTTGATTTGATCCGTGCCAGATTAGCCATCACACAGAAAAACAGGTAATATTTTATGCAAGGTGTAACAAAATCAGGATCCACCTGCCACAGTGGTTTTGGCCAGTGAACAAGTTAGGTTATCAATCTTACTTTTCTGTGAACAAGATAATCTTTAGAAAGTAATTTTGATTACATGGTTCTTATAGTTTACAGTTAGGTATTTGCCAGAGTAAAACTGATCGCTGTTCATAAAAGCAACTTACATTACCTAACAAATAGAAATGGACACTTACAGTGAAGGGAAACAAGCAGTGAAGGGTGAAGGGTGTTCAAGCAGTACCTTTTTAGGTGTATACCGTTGGGTGGAATGTTGCAAAGGAAAGTACAATCATAAACATGAGATCAAGGTAAAGAAAAAGGTAAAAGCCAAGGAAGCCCACATGGCCAGAGCTTAACTTGGTTCCTCTAGCATGAAGTACCTTGAAGTCTTGTGAACTCCCACCTTCCCCCGGGTGGAATGTTACTTCCTTGAGGAATTACTCAAGGGGTGTGTCACCCATAACTATTATGCACCTATCAATGTAAACCCCGTGGGGGGGGAGTAGTGCGGGCAAGGGGTGGGGATTTGACAAATTTTAAAATTTTTCGATCAAATTCCCCAGGGTGGGAAACGAAAGGTCAATCAAAAGTGTCAAAAAAGCCCCCACCCCAGGGGAAAAAATCTAAACAAACAATGCTATAATACTATATAAAAGGAATAAAAGAACATTTCAGACACGTTGTTACTACTTTTATTTACGGTTAACGGAAGCTCCATTAAATTACTCGCTGTAATTAAGTATTTTCTCTCTCCACTAGCATCTCTTATCTTGAACAACAAAATCACTCCAGGAAGATTGACCGTGCTATATAATATTAATAAAACGTAAAATGCTTTATAACATCTGCTCAACATGTCGGAACAGGTCGGATCAGTGACCTATAAAAAATCCTCTGACTTTCATGGTGGAATTCGATTTCGATCGAGTTTTACAATCAGATGGGAACTTGAAGATAAAAACTTCCTCAAAATAGACATTATCTGTTTAGATGACAGTTTAAAGTATCGGATTATGGCGATTAAAACAAATGAAAACTTCGTACCTTTCCCCAACAACGTGACTTTCAGGAAGCCTCGAGGGACGGACTTGGTAACTGCTCCTGAATTGATACCAGGCTTCTGTCGGTCAAAGTCAAATGTCCCGACCCCGGGGTCGCTTCGCACGATCAAAAGCCCGACAGCGGGGATAGTCCCAGGCATCAAATCCCCTCCCCTTGCCCGCACTTCCCCCCCCCGCTACGGGGTTTACATTGATAGGTGCATTATACTCTTGGGTGGAAAGTGACAAAGTGAAGAAGAGTTTTTTGTTAAATAAGGCGAACAATGCAATAGCAAGCTTTGATTTCAAAACTACAAATGTAAAGTTTGAGTTGTTAATCGCTTTGCTGCCATGACTCCACCATATTTGACAGCCTTCTATTAATTCAGAACATGTCTTTGTGTTTAGGTACAAAGGACTTATGAATATTATAACCAAAATCTACATAGAAGAAGGAATCATAGCATACTACAAAGGACTACTTCCCACTGTCTTAGGAATTATGCCCTATGCAGGAATAAGCTTCTTCACATACGAAACACTAAAGAAGCTCTATTATGACCATTTTCAAGACTCTCGGCAATTAAATCCTTTACACAGACTTTCCTTTGGTGCCTGTGCAGGACTTTTTGGCCAGTGTGCCACATACCCATTAGACATAATTCGCCGGCGAATGCAGACAAATGGAATTTTGGGACCTCCGAGGCCGGAGTATCGTAAAATGTGGACCACAGCAAAGTATGTGTATACCACTGAAGGATTAAGGAAAGGCCTTTACAAGGGTCTTAGTATGAATTGGGTAAAAGGACCTATTGCTGTTGGAGTTAGTTTTACTACTTTCGATTTGTTGCATGGCTTCTTCCAGAGACGTTTTATCCAAACCACTGATGAGTGAGAAGAAGCGGAATGCTTAACATGGAATATATCATTGTACCATGGATCTCGAATATAATAATGATTATTTAACATCTGAAAACAATGTTTGAATGGAAGTCATCTCTCCTCGTAGTTGGCTGCACAGTAAAAGACAAGAACAATTTTGGAACAAGTCACTTGCTTCAAGAGATCTTATGAAGCCTTGCTACCTTGCTCCTACTCAAGGAACGATGCAATTGTGACAAGTAAAATCAATTAGGCAACATTGTTTATTTGCAAAGTTAATATGTTTCCCTCGAAAATGTTGACCATTTTGCATTTTGTCTTTCTTGATGTTCAATTAATACCTCTTTTCAATCAATTTTTGTGAAGCTACAAATACGTACGTGTAGTAAACGTTTTATAAACATTTTTTTAAGCAAAACAGAGCAGCATTTAGCAAGACAACATTAAGGAGTCAAGTTAAGTTTGTTGACTGCCATTTTGTCAGAGGGCAGTAATAACTCCAATCACCAATGACAATCACACAGATCCCTTTGAGAAGTTGAGAAATCAGGTTGCTATCCCCGTAGTGATTTGCGCTGTCTCTAATTTCAGCCTGGGTCATGCGACTCTCCAGGGACTCTTCTGGTAGCCTGTTTCGGGCGTTCGGATAGTAGAGCGCGGGAGAAAAATTCACGAAGAAAAAAAAAAAGCGGGGAGTTTAGAGGGGGAGGGATTGCTTTTCCCCCCCCCCACTCTTCCGCTCCCGGTGTACAATTTAACTCGCTCCCCACTGCCGCCGCGCTCTACTATCTGAACGCCTGAATCATGGTTCGTTCGATTGTCTGTTAATCGAGAATAAAAACAAACGGAAAACATTGTAAAAAAAATCCTTTATGTAAAAGAGGATTCGGATATTGTATGTCAGCTATGGTCTTACATTGCAACGAACTCCACTGACGCCAACCAACATTTTAATGTTAAAACTGATCTGTCAGTGGCCTGCCGAGTAGCTGGCGGAATTGTTATGCATGCCCTGGGTAGTAACGTTCTTGAAGTCGAATCACATAAGGCATGCTCCCAATCTTATCACTGCTGATACTGACGAGAAAATTAACACCCCGAAAAGCTACCGTGTACTTCGCTTCACCAGGAAAGTTAGCAGGGTCATTGTTATTGAAGGCGGTTAAGCTGTCGACCGCAAAAAGATAACAACTCTGAACATTTGATAACTTGTTTCCGTCACTACGATTCTAAAACCCGTAGTAGAATGACAACGGCTATCACGTTTCCCGCAAAATGACGCTGGTTCACGCGCGAGCACTGCTTAGTATTGAGAAATCTCCTTCTCCTAGTCGTACTCGTCTTGGAGTCTAAAAGTCTCTAATACTTAAGCAGTACCCTACGGAACAGGCTTCAGAGGGGCTTGTATGGGATGTAAACGGTTTTTCTTAAAACAGAGAAAAAATGTTATGTTTTTAAATAAATTGGCTTACCTTATTGCCTTGTTGTATTCTTTGCTGTTTGCCCGTGTCTCAGGCCGTTTTGAAGCGTTTTCGGCGAGTTAGCGCTATTTTGGTGTTCGACTGTTAAGAGCAGTGGAACACCAAAATAGCGCTAACTCGCCGAAAACGCTTCAAAACGGCCCGAGACGCGGGCAAACAACAAAGAATACAACAATTAAGGCAATAAGGTAAGTCAGTTTGAACTCAAAAACATAACATTTATTCTCTGTTTTAAGAAAAACCGTTCACATCCCATACAAGCCTTTGTAAATAACCGTTTGTAACAGAACACCGCTCGCAAGCACGAGTCACGTCCGCGTTCTTGTAGTGAGCTTGGGCCGCCTGTGCGTACAGCTGTAAATGACTGAACAAGCGAGCCGGAGTTAATCTGTTTCCCTCAATTGAAGGTGTTCTTAATCTAGTAGCTAGAGGCCATAGATTATCTTGCTAGTTCACTCTAAGCATGCAGTTGCCTAATGGAAAAATCACATGGTATCCCGGAAAATATTTACACCTCAACGGAAGAAGCTGTTCTCAAGGTAGCTGAGGCTGTTAATGTCCCTGTTGCTGCGGAGGACATCGAAATCTCTCACAAGCTAAGACGACGAAATGGCTATATAAAGAGCGAACGAAATTGAAGTCAGTAAAGATATCAGATTTATATCCCAGCTATGCCTCAGCAGCAACAAAGCAAAACCGTATATTTATCAACGAAAACCTCACACCTTATAGGGCAGACTTAGTAAGACAAGAGAATGATATGAAGGCTGATGGACTTTTATCAAGTGTTTGGACACTAGACGGAAAGGTCTTTGTTAAAACTTCACCATCAGGTAATCCTGTTAGAATTTACTCTGAAGATGATCTTGATGAATTATAAATGCTTAACAAACATCCATGCAATAATTACGGGAGGTCGATTTCGCCATAGGATTAGATTGTACGAAGGTTAGTCTCTTAAGCGTATTTTTCTCAAAAAACTTTTGTACTTTATTAGTTTTTGTTGTAAGTTAGGTTTTTCTTTTTGCTTTTTCTTATTAATCTATTCTGTTGCTTTTCCTTTGTTTGTTTTCTTTTTCTTGTTTAATTCGTTGCTGCTGAGTTTAGTTAACGTAGCCTAATATTAGCATAACTATTGTGCATTTAAGTTTAGGTGTAAGATTTTAGTTGATAATACAGTATGACACTTATCAAATTCCTATGACTGAATGTGAGGGGATTACGCAATCATGTCAAACGAAGGGCATTATTTTCGTATCTAAAGAATCAAAAAGCTGATTTCTATTGTCTCCAGGAAACATTCTCACTGAAAGGAGACAAAGTCTCTTGGGCTACGGAATGGGGTGGGAAAGTATTTTTCTCACACGGTACAGAACTCTCTAAAGGTACTTGCATATTACAGAGACCAAATTCTTTGCTTTCATCTAGCGTCCAGCTTATTGATCCAGATGGTAGACTAGTCATTGTTAAAATTAGGGAAGGCGATGAGGATCTTTTTTTAGCCTCTGTGTACGCTCCTTGTGACCCTCAAAACCAATGTTGTTTTATCCAGAATTTATGTATTGTTATTGTTTCTAACACAAACACGTCCAAAGTTATTATTGTTGGTGACTGGAATACTACTCTTCACTCAATAGATAAATAGGGAGGGCGCCCATGGCAAAAGTTATTGGTCAAAGAACTGAGTCAACCTTATCTTCGCTCATACATACTGATCAAACAGGCTTTGTTAAAGGTAGATTCATTGGCCAAAATGTTCGGCTTTTGAATGACATCATAGAAAACGCAGATGCTAAAAAACTCCCAGGTATCCTTCTATTCATTGATTTTCGAAAGGCTTTTGACACTATTGAGTGGAATTTTATTCACAAGTGTATTGAACTATACAACTTCGGCCCAAATATCAGGAAATGGATATCCATTCTTTACAACAATGTTGAAAGTGGCGTGCTGAATGCTGGATTTATGACCAACTATTTCCAAGTTTCTCGTGGCGTCCGTCAAGGGTGCCGTCTGAGCCCTCTATTGTTTGTTCTATCAGTTGAATTGTTAGCCCTCAAAATACGCCAAGATCAACTCTGCAGGGGCATTCCCCTTCCGGATGGACAAAATGCCAAGATTTCACAGTTCGCGGATGATACAACGCTAATTCTTGAAGATACCATATCTCTTAGAAAGGCTATGAATATAGTTAATTCTTTTGGAGCACTGTCTGGGTTGCAATTAAATAAAAAGAAAACTAAAGCCATGTGGATTGGTTCGTCAAGCAAAAACAAGTCAATGCCTTTAGAATTCGAGTGCCCAAAAGAACCTATCAAATTTTTGGGTACCTTTGCTCTCCCACGACGCAGTTAGCAATAATAAAAATAATTTCTTTATTAAAATAAGGAAAATGGAAACAAAGCTTAATATATGTTTTTCTCAATTTACCAACCCCAGCTTTCAATCTTTCCAATAAACAAACCAAGGATTTGTGTCTTCTTCTGTTATATGTAAAGCAGTACCACTATGGATGTAAATCAATGCAAAAGAAAACAGACACCTCTGAATTTATATCTAAATTTATTATGCAGCTTGAAATAGAAGTTTGACATGATAGTGCCACCCTCCTCTCCGCTTTATATGTATATTAATGTAATACATTAGCTTTAATATGTGTAGTCGATAGAAGTATTTTAATGGCCAATACAGGAACATTTATCTAAGTGCACAATTGTAAGTATTGTAACGGACTTTTGTTTACTAAATAAAATTTAAAAAAAAAAAAAAAAAACTGGGAAAAGAAGGAGAAGACTGTTTTCAATAAAACTTCATCATCAAACGAGCTCTGTCATAATAATTGAAGGAAACCTCGATAAAAGTTTGGGAAAACTCCCGACAAAAAATATCAGGGGGTAGAATAATACTAACAGGAATTACAAACAGGAAAACCTGGAAAATCAAGAAGTGTCTTTCCCTTAAGTCTAAGTTTAAGTGACCCATAAGTATTATATTTAAATGGCAAATGTGTGCGATAAGGGAAATATTTCTAACTACTAAGGCCCGGTTCAGACGCCGAACTTTGCATCAGCCGAACCTAATTCGAATTAAGGCCGACCCAGACTATTTAGACCGCCTGAGTTGACTCAGACGCCGATCTTAATTCCAGCAGAACTAAATTCAAAACGACAGAAAAATGCTCATTTGGTCTAACTGCTTGCAAAATACGTTATTATTATTTATGCAGTAGGTTCGGTACATGAAAAGTTCGGCGTCTCAATCAAAGCCGTACCAAAGTCGTACCACAGTCGAAATTTCCGCCCGCGCTAGGCGGGAAGAACGGCTGAGCCATTCCAAGTTGAAATAGGTGTTCCTGATTGATTCACACCCCGAACTTTTCATTCACTTAATTCAATGTATTAGGTTCGGCTCATGAACAGTTCGGCGTCTGAACTGGACCTAAGTGCACGTAGAGTCGAACATTCTAAGATTCAAGACAACAACAAGGTTATTTCCTTTGGCTTGACGCTCGCGGGTGAAATATTTAGTGGATATCCTAAGAGGTCGAAAAGCCACACGTATTTGAAACTTAGAGAGATGAATTTCAATTGATATCTTTTTCAATAAATAAGCCGACGTATTTAATACCTTTATTGAATATACGATTCGGATTTCAATTCTTTTGGGTGTGCGATTATCTTTATCCTCTATTTAAACTGGGCTTCCCTTCTTTAATTTGTTCTCTGGAAGAATAATCGAGAAGATGGGAAGAATATGTTTCTTTATGAAAACCGATTCAAGATTGCAACTCCATTTTCAATTTTTTCTAGTCTAAAAAGCAACAAGGGATGTCTTTGTTTCCATTCAAATCTTAGAATATCAGAAGGAAAAAACTGTTGCGCCTGAAAGGAAATTTTAGAGTTAAGATTCGACGTTTACTTTCAATCATGGGAATTCAAACAGCATAGAAATTGTAACAACTGTTTATATAAACTTCAGACTTAACCTAACGAGCTAATTCGTTACTGTTTGCTCCAACAACAGATGTCTTATTATAGTTAGTAAAAAGGTCGGTCAAGCTATATACGCTTTCATTCAACTTTAAGATTTCATTTGACGAAGTTTGTCATAGAGGACTTAACCATTAGAGTAGACAATTTACATTGTAAAAAGGTTCTTATTCACAGATCTTGTTCACAAGAGAAAAAACAATCGTTTGTTGACCAGCTCCAAGGATCATCATAATGGGACCCATATTCATGGCTCTTACCTGCTTGCAACATGTTAAACATGCAACAATTACTGTTAGTTTTGCAAGAACCAAAAGACAAACTGATTTAGATTACACGTCATAAGGAGAAGATTTCTCCTCAGCTTGTTTTTCTGTTTCATTTTTTGCTGAATCATGCTGACGTCCCACGAATAAAAACTCAATTTTGATTCGTCATTGAAAATGGTACACGCGTGCTTACAAGTCTATATAAGATATGGTAAAGGCACTTTAAGTCAGTGAATTCTATTTAATACATAAATTAACAAATGGGCAAAAAAGAGAAAAAGTAAATAAATAAATTAAAGTAGAATGTACTAAATGGGCAAATACAGACTCAGATTGTCTTTGCCTAGAACAAGGCATGAGTGAAAAATAAACGCGACTTTGGAGCTTTTAATTTTGATTTTTTTCAGTCGTTATAATTTTATTTTAAAGCGTCTGTTATCGCGCTCAAGGCCAAAAGGGAGGCGTTTGTTCAGACTCTACCTCAGTGGTCGTTGAATAAGGTGCCGGCGCCGTATTCGAAGCTGCTAACTTAACCCCGCTTCCAAAGTAAAACTACAAAAGAAACCGAATCCTGTTTTTTGTCAACATCTTAATGATTGCCTATTATTTTTGGTTGGTCTTAAAAGCAGGTGCTTTTATTTAACGCGCAGATTGTTGTTATTTACTATAGAAGAAATGATGTTGTCTATTGTCATTTTATTCCGACTAAGTAAATACTTGTTGGTCTTCAATTTGCCAAGCAATTATTCCTTTGTTTTGGCCAATTAAGAACTGTTCAACTTTGCGAAGGCTAAATTTTAGGCTCACGGGTATAAATGTAGCCTCTGAAGAGAGAACTTTTTACATAGACCCAGCTCTTCGTCAAGATGATATTCTTGCCAGTGTTGTTTCTGTTGGGAAGTACTGCGAGCACAAATGGTAAGATTTTCTTGAAACTTTTTCTCTTTAAAACATCTTTTGAATCCAAAGTTGCTGTATTCAAATATTGTATAAAGGCTTTTTTTCTGACTCTAGTCTATAAAGTTTGCTAAACATGTTTTAGAACTAAAATCTTTTTATTTTATGGCGGGATGTAGGATTTTCACTCTTTTTGAACATCTTTTATCTGTTTTATCTTCATCCAGTTTCCGTGTATTTTGCCTTTAACTCACCAGGGGTTTTGTCTTTGCTAAACCAGGGAAAACTCAAATCTAAATGGTCGACATAAAGGCGTGTGACTCTTTAGATAATCCTTGAGAGTAGTGACAAAAATTAAACCACAAACTTACGTTGATTCCAGCACAAAAAAATGAAGGCATTTCTTGAAAAATGGGCAACAGATCCTGCATAACAGCTTCTTCTAAATGACGCGCACATGTATTAGGGTTATTTTCCAGCGACTTTTTTTATCAAAAAAGGAAAAGATTGTTAGTAAGAAAACTACAGTAACTGTGAACTAGCACATTTCCAATAGATATGATGTCGCTAATAAAAAATTATAAATAAACAAATTAGAAAGTAAAAACTAAACTTAAAAAAGGAAGGAGGAAAAAAATCAAAAAAAATTACCACATAGGCACTGCTATTCAATTTGATAAAAGCATTTTCAGCCAGGGGGCGTCAGAAGCCTTTGTGGGCGAATTTTTTACTACCATGCTAGCGTTAGGCTATGGCTGATATGCATCCTTAGCTCTTTAGAGGGTTTAAAGGGTTTAACAGTGCAAATCCAGTGAAGGCGGGACGAGTCTCGAGTCACGCTCTACCGCCGTTGAACGCGGGAGGAAAGACTATTTTCAGCATTTTTCGTAACGTATTTCTTTTTCAGAAAAACCAGCTGCACTCTGCTTTCCCATTGAAACGTCCAAAACGATGCAGTGCTGCCTCTAAAATCCCAGCAAAGATCGCCTTATCGTCGTTTTTACCAGAAAATCTCATCAGCAAAACTTTCCTTTTTTTCTTTTAGGGCAACAGCTGCCCTGCGGAAGTACACCTATTCAACAGTCACGTGTCATCGGAGGCCAGGATGCCAAGCCAGGAGCTTGGCCGTGGCAGGTGCTAAGCCCTTTCTTTTTATTAATTTATTCACCGCAAATTGACTGTATTATTCCCTTGGCATAACAGACATAACATGAAGTTATCCTAATTTTTACTCTCTGAACCAGCAGGATTCAAATATTTTCTTTTACGCTTGCTTTTCGCTGTTTAGATCCAACTCCAACGTTCTGGGCGCTTTATTTGCGGGGGTTCGCTGATATCTTCCACCTGGGTTGTGACTGCCGCACACTGTGTAGCGGGAAGTTCGTAAGTATTTAATTAACTTAATTATAAATTGTACTCACTATCGGTTCTTCTCATTGTCTTAAATCCAACAGATAATTTTGGAAATGATTACAACGTACAGTTAGTCTGTTATCTGCTAGTTAACCGAGGAATCTGTACGTAGGTCGCGCGTGTAATGCGTTCTGATTTCCAAGAGCAATGTCAAACTATGTTCCTTGCAAAGAATATTGTTGATTTGAAATCAGTTAATCAGTGAAGTTAATCAGTTTTAATTTTAAAAAACATTTTTTCTGGGTAAAAAAAAAAAGAAAAAAAGAAAACAATACAGAATCATATAAACACATGAAGGCTGGCTTACGTCAAGCACTTGCCTATCTGGCCATATCTACCAACGTCTCTACCAACCTATATGAACCCTGTCGGATGAACATCATATGAGAGGCCAAAACCTAATATGCACGTCCTTTCCCCCAATTTTTTTTTTGATCGATCAGTTTTAATTCATTTTCATTCTTAACAATTTTTTCACTTGCTTTAACTTATTTCTTGCTCGCTTGTTCGCTTTCCTAAATTGGCAACACTTAACTATTGTCCTCTACTTTAGAAACCCTTCCAGTTATAAAGTCGTCGTGGGAGATCACGATCGCAACGCAAATGAAGGAACAGAGCAAACAATTGGCGTTAGGAAGGTCATGTCTCATCCCGATTACAATAAACCGCGTCTAAGCAGTGACATTGCCTTGCTTCAGCTTTCCAGCCCAGCCAAGCTGTCCGCGCGGGTGAATCCCGTATGTTTGCCTTCACACGATTCCGATGTTCCAACAGGGTCAACATGCTACATAACAGGTTAAGTATTGATCACATCCACGCTTTAAATTGAACCTCAGTCTACTGCTGATAGAAGCACCCCGTGAACAGAGCCTCCTTTAGTCTTCTTGAGTGAGGAGTAGAACAGGAGGCTCTGCCTGAATCACGTCAAACCTTTGAGGTCGCCGCAGCACAGTTTTCGGGACTAGTCAATTTTGTTCTCTCCCGCCGAACTGGCTTTTTTTAGTGCGACCATCCTTTTATGATAAACCGATGGTCGTAACCGAGCTGGCTGTGGCGAGCACATGGCTATTAGGCCTGGGTTCGAAACTATATCCCAGCAACATGCCGCGCATGCTCAGCAAAAATCTTACTCCAATCATGCAGGGTATTTCACGAGTAACCCAAAATCAAGCAAGAGAAAGAGAGGCTCCGCTGGCAGCCGGGTGTATAAGAAGTGTCTCGGGGCTTGTAATGAAGGGAATCGGATCCCAGAATCCGGGAAACATTTGCTTGTGGAATCCGGAATGCTAGGCTTTGGAATCCGGAATGCTAGGCTTTGAATCCGGAATACACCTCAAGGAATCCGGAATCCCACTAACCGTTGAAATCCAGAATCCAAGTTCCAATGACAAAGACCTGAATCCAGTACCTGAAATCAGGAATCCACGGCGTGGAATCCAGAATCCAAGACTGTCTCGGATTCGCTTACATAAGGCGAAGTGCCATGAAAGAAAAAATTCAACTGTGTCAGTAATTTCAGGCTTTAGTATTTGACTAACCGCTTTTTAGAAATCATCAAACTAGTGCTACCACTTTGAACATAACCATTATGTTTTCTCTATTGCTACTCTTTGCTTTAACTGGAAAACTTTGTAGTTATCCTAATGGTGGCTCGCTAAAATTTAAAACCGAAGTAGACGATTGTCATATCACATCGTTGACCTCTAAAATCGTCTTTTCGCTTATTATTGTTAAAAAGGATTCGAATTCCGGCTTCAGTTGAAATAGTAATTCAAAGTCAATTTTCATAAAAGTAGAGAGATCCCACTATAGGGCATTAGGGTGACTAACATAAACTTCGATTCCTCAATCTTGAACATTTGAGTTATACTTCTTAACGTCGGTTCTATAACTTGAGTGTGAAACCCATGGCTCTGCATTTCGAAACTCCAAGCCATCCAGACTATGCGAATTAATGTCCTGATAATGGAAATCCATGGTTTTATCTCAAATAGAGATTTTCTAATTCTATTTCTATTTGAAACCAGGAAGACTCACATGAGAAAATTTATATCCATTTGTATGACGTCGCATTTCACATTTGGGAATCAAATTCAACTGATCAAGGGCATTAGATTTTCCTCATTTTTTAAAATGAAATGAGACGTTTAAGCCAGGCCTAACATCAGTACTTCTTTAGGAGAAACTTGAATTGGATAAAATTTATAAGTTCATTCGTCAACTTTGTGATCTTGATTTTAATTTGTTTATTTACATTTACGTCATCAGGATGGGGGAAAATCAAACATCCGGGAAGTTCTCATCCCATTTTGCAACAAGCAATGATGCCACCCATCGACAACGCCAAATGCAAACAGAGGATTCAGGCGTCAGGAGGTATGTAACCCAAGAATCATTATAATCATTATAATCATCATCATCATCATCATCATCATCATCATCATCATCTTTGTCTTCGTCGTCGTCATCGTCACTGACTCAGTTACATCAGTTTTAAAGGCGATTTGTTAAACTACTTCCTTCTAATAAATAAATGAATTTGGATTTAATGGATAATTCTAGCTGATTCTTTTTTCTATTATTATTTTGTAATTATTTTTTTATACATTACTGTTATTTTCTCCTTTTTCTTTCAAATTTTTTGGCTAAATTGTCTCGTAACTGGAAAGCCCTTTTATGGAAGCGTGTATGTATGTCTAGCCGATTTTTTGAAAACCAGCTTAAAGAAATTTGCTCGTCATTTGAGTCAAAAGGCAGGTTTTTTGCGCCTGATAAGCTCCGCAATCACACTAACGAGGGAGAAGAAAAAGAAAGGGCGAGGAGGAAGAAAGGAGGAGAAGAGAAAAAAAGCACATTCGAGATGTCAGCATCATCTTAATTATCATCATCATCATCATTATTTTGATTATTTTCTATTCTATTTCAAGGTCCTCATTATCATTATCGTCATCTTTATCATTGTCATTACTATCATTGTCAACAATATATAAGTTTAGCCAAGGCTACAGGCGAAGCTCGTGTAAATAAATTTAGAATTTACTTCAAACAAAGATGAAACTCGTAACCATTGCTAAGAAATCCACTTAAAGTTTAGCTTGCGATCAAACTAGTAATTTGTCAGCAAAGAACGCGCAACCTCGATGGATCGACAGCTGAGCCCACAATACGGTCATATGATACCGGTCAGCGGATACCCTGTCTTGACAGCTTTGTACTTTCCACAACATGGATTTGTGCAATATGATCAGGTTGCTGGTTTCCACACTAGCTAGAAAGTGTGACATTTCACATTGGTTTTCCTGTCGTGGGGACGGACGGCTGGGACGGGCGGGCTGGCGGGCGGTAACGGGGTTACCAAAATTTCTTGAATGGATGGATTACCAAATTTTCTTAACTATGGAGCTTCGCTCGCGCCCGCTTCGCGCGCGCGTGGAGCTCCGCTATCATTGACATTATCATTCCAATGATCATGATCATAGGTTATTTTTGATGAGGAAGGGGGGCTATCGCCTGCCGGACACCATACAACGGCGTTCATTCTTAAATATTCAATTTTCATCCTGTATTCTTTGTTTTCGTTTTTTCTTAGTTTCAATAGCTTTTACCTCGCAAATGCTGTGCGCCGGAGTGGAAAATACCATTTTAAGTGGTTGCCATGGTGACAGTGGAGGCCCGTATGTGTGTCTAAATGCCGATGGGAAAACGTACACTCTTCACGGAGCAGTCAGTTGGGGATCTGGACGATGCGATGCCAAACAGTTGTTCACTGTGTTTGCACGAGTGACTCAATTCCGAGCTTGGATAAAAACTCATACCGGCCTTGGAGGCGGGGGAGGAGGTTACGTGACTTTTAGTATATGTAGCTAATTATCTTCTTTTGCGTCTCGTGGGATTCTTTATTGAGGCAGACCTTATTCATGATACCCGCCTTTTTTGCATGCGCCTTAGGATTGATGGGATAGAAACAATGTCAAGTGGTACTCCTGAAGGCAAGCAAGTGAAAAACATTGCTACGACTAATCGCCCTGATCAAAGCGACACGCTGCATGCATTTTAAAGGAAGCAATTCCAAAGCTAGATTAATTGCATCTATAAGTAGTGTTATTTTTTTGATTGTTCCGTGATGTAACATTTTTCGCGCTTATTTTAGGTGGTACTCCGCCACCTCCCGGAACACCTGCACCACCGACAGGTTGCAATGGAGGTAACGTCCGTTCGTTTGAGACTTTATTACAGTGTATAGCTTAAACTAGAATTTCGTAAAGTCCTTAATTTTTTTCCTGGTTGGTTATGCCATTTTAAAGGACGCGAAATTTGCCGATCAAAAATTCTACCGGTGACGACATGAAAATTGACCAATAGGACAGTGAGTGATATTTCACGCCAATCCCGATATAGCCATGTCATTCATTGTTTTCCCGCGTGAATTTAAAATATAATTCAAATCCATTTAGGCGAAACAGGTCGACCTCGAGACTTCGTCGCTCGCTCGCTCGCTCGCTGTGCGACATCATGCATTGAAGCTCACTTCGCTCAATTAAAAAAAATTTATAATTCGCTCATTCGTTCCCACTAAAAAGTCCTAAGTTTTCAGGACTACACTCGCCGAGCGATCCCCTCACCTTTATGAGCCAATTCTGTACGATACTACAAGCCTGAAGCATCCGTCCTTGGACATGTTCACTGCACAAATTTTGAAAAATTAGCAGCGTTTTACTCTTTTCGGTTTTGTTGTGCGGGATTCGTATTCTAAATCTGAAAGTGACCGTAAAGGATAAGCTGAAGGGAACTTTTCCTAATTTCAATAACTAACTCAGACCATTTTTGTAGGTTCAACTGCCATGCCTGTTACCCCACCAACACTAATTAAAGGTGAGAATCTCTAATCGGCTTACTTTTGCCTTTTTCCAGGAACCATTTTGTCATATTGAAGAATTCTGCGTTGTGACTGGCAAGCTGATTTTCCTATAGAATATATTCAGGATATATAGGCCACTCGGGGAACGGATCGTCTGGTTTTCAATTTAATGTTTGGGCCATATGATAAACCCATGTGATAAACTCTTTATTAACCAAGTGTTTTCGGAGTCAAGATGGCTCAATATTAGCTTCAATCGAACGTTCTTCTCAGTTTGTGAATTCATGAAATTTTCGTTGCAGTCCGTAAGAGCTTAAGAAAACATATCAACAAACAAACCAGCAAACAAACAAACTTTGTCAGTATATGCAGTCTTTTTGACTGAACAGGCTGATGGTCAATAGCTGACCTGTTATTTAAACTTTAATTTCCATTTGTTTAGCATTTAGCTGCAACTTTGACCAGGACATGTGTGGCTTTACGCAAAGGACAGATGATAAATTTGATTGGTCTCGTAGAAGAGGACGGACTCCTTCATCTAACACCGGACCGTCCGCAGATCATACCTCTGGAAATGGTATGTAGTTTGATTGATACTCATGGCTAGCGAAAAGGAGGGAGAGAGTAAACAAGGACAGGGGTTGTTGCTCTAGGACAGCCTGCTATAGATACAGTCGAACCTCTTCACAAAGGGAATTTTGGGAACAGGAGAAACTGACTGTTGTAGAGAGGCGGTCGTTTATGGGGCGGTAGAGGTGTAATATGACACATGAGTAAGGTGACTCTCTCGATTGCGCTTGTAGAGAGGTTATTTTGGCAGTTGGGTGGCGCCTTTTTGTGGCCGTTGCCCCGTTTGTAAAGCGGTCTAAACAAAAGTCAATGTCTGGACTGTCCGCCGGGACAAAAAATAAATGGCTGTTAGTTGAGGTGCGATTGTACTCGTGAATTCGAAACTAACAGAATTGTTATTTATGATGTTTCGTCGCAAAATGTAATAGTACTGATGCAAAAGTGCAATAAAATTATCTCGGCAGAATGTAATGCATGCCAAATGTGAAATGCGAAAACTTGGACGTAAAATGCGATAGGTATTTAACGAACAATGTAGCAACTTTCCAACGAGTATAACTAGCTCCTTGAACACAAAATGTATATAATAACTCTTTAGTGACATAATATCAACAGAGTGCTGGAACTTGCTTCTTCGGAAATATCAGTGTTATAGATGAATGGACGTTTATCTGGTGTACAGGTTCTTTTTGTTAATAATTCCAATGAACTACGCGTCCCCATTCGCTATGGGACTTGCAAAATAACCAGCAAATGATAAGACCTCAGACTCAGTTTAAAATCAAGGAATAAGAATCAGAGAGCTACATCGTCTTCCACTCAAGCACGTTGAAAGTGTCGCGTTGTTTCAAAGAGTAGGCTGTGTCTGGAATATCTGGGTACTTATAGACTACTTATGCATTTGATAGTCCGATATTAAATACCTGGTAACTTATTATTTAATTATCTAACCCCAGTAAATCGACACTATAGCCTGATGAAGACCTGCTGCAGTATGCTGCCGGAGAGGGAAGTACTCCCTATAATGGCCATTACGGGGACTAGGCTTCGCCCGGAACGGGTACCATTTTCAGGCTTCCGTCGTAAAAAAGGGCAGGGATTTCACCAGCTAAAGTATAAGAAAGGAAAATCTCTCATTGTGGGTTGTGAGAGGACCTCTGATTTAAGGGCTAACAGGTGCCTTCTATGGCTGTGCAAAAGACAAGAAAACTTCCTGGTTCAGTGTGAGTTATTCATGCAGTTTAGAAACTGGTGCATTTACAGCAGTTAATAAAAGGAATTCAGCGTTCTAAACTAGTTTGTGTAGATGTACTATTTTCCGATGAAAGGTATACGAAAGGCCGGGCACCTTTCCTGTCAAAAACGGTACATAAACAGCTGCATAAAAATGCAAGGAGTTGGACCTCGGGTTCCCCGAATGAAATTTTGTTGATTATTCCAGGGTCACGAGGTCGACGCCTAGCAAAGTGACTACGTGAGACTAGCGATAAACAAAACTTATTATACACCTAACACGATGATCAATATCTTTCGGGACATGTTTAACCTCCTCGGCCTTTTTGTCTACACCTCCGGCTTCGTACTTAAAATGTTTACACCAGCCTGTATGCCTAACATAATGCGTTAGAGGAGTTAATCGTTACATTTTACGTTAAGTACTTTATTACATCATCCGTCGATATTACTACATTTTGCGGCATAACAATGTGCACTAATGAATCATAACCGAACCTACACACCTCTTTCATGTCATGCATGTTCTTAGATTTTCCAGAGGTTACTGATCATAATTATAAGAGAACCTACACACCTCTTTCATGTCATGCATGTTCTTAGACTAGCGGAATTTTCCCTTATTTTCCTTACCATAACAATTTACAGCCAATGGAATATCTCCAAATGGAAAGTTAGGTTTCCTGTCTAAGTAAAGAAAAAAAGAAGAAAACAACGACAGCATTTACCATTTGTCTGAAATCTCATTGAGGATGGATCAAAACTGAGTTCAGACAGTTACATCAAGTGCCAGGCTTCTAGTATTCCTCAAATATACTACTTACTTGCAAACTGTTTTTTTCCTCAAAAGGGTATTATCTGTACATAGAGGCTTCTTATCCTAGAAGACAAGGGGACAAGGCTCTCCTAATCAGTCCTCAGCTGCCATTTAGCGGGGACATGTGCCTTTCTTTCTATTATCACATGTACGGTTCGAAGATGGGAGTTCTTAACGTGATAGTTAATGGAAAAGTCCTCATTTCTCTGTCTGGAGATCAAGGTAACAAATGGATAAAAACGATGAAAACCATCAGCGGGGTCACTGGAAAAAAAGAGGTAAATACATTTTTTTCCTGCTGTGTACTTTAGGCGGAGCTGACAGAGTCCCATAGCTAAGAAAAATTGGTTATCTGTTTATCCTAGAAAATGTGGCAGGCACGTCAACTGTACGTCCTTTTTTAGTCCATCCACCCGTTCTCCCGCACCCTGGGAAACCAACCTGAAATTTCACACTTTCTAGCTAGTGTGGTAGCCTGCAACCTGATATTGCACATCTATGTTGCGGTCAATTGACTGCTATCAAAACTTGGTATCCGCTGGTTAGAATGACATGCCATATTGCCGGCTCAGGTGTCAATCCATCGTGGTTACGAGTTGTTGTTCAGTGGTTGTTGTTGTTTTTTTTTAAGTTGTCCGCTCACAAGTTACTAGTTTTCAACTGATCGTAGCCTCAACTCCTGGTGGATTTCTTTGCAATGGTGTTACAAGCTTATTGTTTGAAAGAAATCATAAGTTTGTTAACGGGAGCTTCGCATTTACCCTCGGCTAAATCGATGTATTAGATTCAATCCATGTATAATAGCTACCGTAGCATGATGAACGAAGAGCTTGACTACTCTGGCGATAGCTTGCGAAAACAGAAATTTTTTTCCTGAATGTGGAAACGGTCCTCAAGAATGCAGTGTTAAATATTTGGCAACAAAATGGACACGATAAATGGTTCAGGGGAATTGCAATGCAGTTTCGCTGCTTGCTGTCGCCAAAGTAGCCTTCGAAAACAGCCGTTTCTCCTCGCTCGTCGCCAATGGGGGACGTTTCGGTAGGAGGAAAGTCTATTAAATTTATCAGCGTCTCTCTCGCAGATCAATTAATTGATCTGGTGGCCATGCCACTGACAAAATAATCATGATGTTTTGCTCAACTTTCTCGACCCCTCCTGAACATGACCCTAAAATGATATATTTTTTCTTACTTTCAGGTTGTATTCGAAGGAATAAGAGGGCCAAGTTTTACATCTGACATAGCAATTGATGATTTCTCACTGGCCCCTGGGGCTTGTGGTGGAGGTTAGTGTAGTGGTGGAGGAAATCCACTTAGGAATGACAGGTCAGAAAAAATCCAGCAAAATGCTGATTTCCTGACCACAGTTTTAAAATCAATTTATTTCAGCATTTTTTTTTGTCCATATATAGCATATAGCTAACACGTAGGAAAAGAAACCTGTTGTAGTTTGTTTCCGCCAAAAGAGAATATCGGTTTGAAAGGTGTTTTTAAGAGTCAAAATTGGCAAAGATTTCAAACCTGCAATTAGTTATTAAAAACACTTTTTGCGTTCACAAACAAAATACCGCGTTGGGTCTTTTCTAAAAACAAAAAACACTTTCTATCTTTCACTATAAGAAATGATACTTTAGGGTGCGTGATACTCGCTAAACTGACGAAATTCGAAAATGAGAGATTTACCGGCAGTATCAGTAACAATCATTAGCAATTAATGAATGAGGCTGAGTAGGGTATGAGAATTATGCAGATCGAAGTGGATGACACCCTCAAAATGATTCCAAGTTCAAAAACATTGAGACGAGTAAAATGTTCCTCAATAACTCACTTCGAAAGCAACTCAAACTCGTCCCAGGTCTTCTCGGTTAACGGTTCAATAACCTGCAACTTTGCTGCACTCTTGACGTCATCGGTTTGATATGGCAAAATTCTTCCAAATTTGGTCGACAGTCGCTGGTTATAATGAATTATGCCTGTGATTTTATCCAATCAGAGACGGAGCAATATTTTGAATGAATAATAATGTGCAATACAACTCGACCTAGTGAAATAACACATTTATCAAACATTCATCTCGAATACCTAGTTTAAATTGGTTGCTATACAAAACCTTATAATTTGGCGTCGAGGAGTCTTTAGTGAGCGGCCCGTTTACAATGCTACTGTAAATGAGATAAGGTGAGCCGGGGGCCCCGCTGAATATGAGTGTAGACGTCAGTTTGTTTTTGGCAACAAGTTAAATGATTACTTAGTAATATACAGTACTGTTATTGAAGAGTTCACTGAAAAACGGCTTTATTTAATTTTGATATGTTTAGTTTGACGACGATAATGTCCTGTTTCATTTCTTCAGCGTTTTGTTCCAAAAAAGGTGTATTTTTAAATAAAAATAAATAAATAATTGCCGTGCGCGAAAGATCCTAGGCAGAATGAATCTCAAAGCCATGTAACGTAAGGTAGTGTAAGGTAACTTTTATGACTTAATGCAGAACGGGGAATATAAGAAAAATATGCTATGTAAAGTATTTCAAATTCTTTAGGCAGTAGAACAGTTTAGTTCACCATTTTCAAGGTAGTTTTTGGTCATGCAATTGAATTGAGTTCAAAATATTTTACCCAACTACACGTGCACTGCCTGTTTATGCTGCTAAGAGAAAATAATAAATAACGCCGCAAAATTTATTGTGTTTCTTGTACTAGTTTGCACTTAGCGATGGCCATTCAGGCTAGTAACATAAATAAATAAATAATAACATGACCCACTGAATACTCACTGTGACATTAGGGACTTTCAGATCCAACGACGCGACGGCGACAAGAACGTCGCTTATAAAGTGAATTTGCGTTCTTCAGTCTTTATAGCGATTATTCCTGCCCACTTACTTTGTCAATTGTAGGCGATCCCTCCTAAAGCTGAATTTCAAGGGACCAAATTCAAGCTCAGAAAGAGAAATAAAATTTTGTCGTTGCTTGTTTACGTCCTCAATAAAACGCGAAATTAGGCATTTTCACGTCGTAGTCGTGCAAAAACGGGAAAGAAATGTACAAAAAAGCGTGATGCACCTGCGAAGTTGTTGTTTTGCTAATTAAACCAATCGTTTTTTTGACGTTCTCGTTGTCGTCCGCGTCGTTGGATCTTAAAGTACCTATTGTAAAAACCGACACGGTCTCCTCAGAACCCTTATTATAAGGGTTCGATTGTAAGACTAGTGTCTATATACTCCTAGAAATTTGACACTGATTTGAAAGGATACAAACTTAGTCCGCGAACTCATTTGATGCTTCCTTGATGCACAATCGGGATCTGAAAATATATAAGCAGCTTCTAATTTAATCATTCATTTACTTATTCATTTATTTATTCTATAGCAACTCCGCCACCTCCAACCCCTCCAGGTGGGTATACGGTATTTATCTCTTCAGTTGTGTTGCTGATTGTCGACTCTTAGTATAGTATGTGTTATGTTAGTTAAAGAAACCATTCTTTATCGATCTTGAGCCATTCTTTGACTATCTCCACGAACAAATTAAAATTATTGGGCGGAGGTTTTAGGGAGGTTGGGGGGCAGTTTTGGGACTCGGGGGACTCAAATATAAAAGGGTCGAGAAAGGCTCATTAAATAAAATTGGAACTAGACTCCTAAAGAAGACGAATCAGGGAGTTGCTCAGTCTTTATTTAACTCCCTAGGGGGACCAATCACCAATACAGTATGACAGCATTTGTTTGTCTGTTTTATATGAATGTAGCTAGTTCAAGCTACGCCACGAGACTGTATAGCAATATGGGCAATTATATAAAAAGTTACCGAACTCGGCAAAAACAAACCTTCTTCTCTCTCAAAAAAAAAGGAAACCGTTCGTGAACTTTTGCACCACGATGCATGTTTTGACCGAAAAAAATGTTCAGCTATCCACATGACCGGCCGGTCTTGTCGTCAAGAACTCGGAAACCTTTAATTGAAAAAACCGTATAGATATTTCCTTGCGCATAACCCTGAGCGATACCTGGCTGTCCATCCTGATCGGCCCAATTTAAAATTTGCATTTTACGGCAATAAGCACAAAGACGAAAAGCTTCTCTGTGCTTTGTACCTTTCACTTGTTTTTTTGGGGGGGCGGACTTGCAGGTCTACATAGTTCATTTAAAATAGTCTAACTGGCTATTAGTTATTAATTGTGTCATAAGGCAGAGCTATACTTCGTTCTGGAAGTGGCAAGCTCTTCGTCACATAATTAATAACATTTTTGAAATTTGTTTTCAATTACAGCAACTCCACCTCCTCCATCCCCTCCGGCAGGTAGGAGAATCATTTTTCTTATAAGTTATTATTCTTGATTGTAAACAGCTCGTGCTATGCTCTAAAAAAATAGAGCTACATGCCTTAGTTGTAGTTCACACTGAAGATATGCTGAAGATCCTCAGCGTGGGCGCTAAAATAAAGCCGGCTGGTTGTACTGTGCCAACCCCACGTTTTTCAATACGAGCAAAATAACTTTGAACATTCCAAAACAAGTTTATTTAAAACCCGTGCTGAGTGAATCTTTCCGGCTTCTCCTGGGGCCAGTTGCTGAAAACCTGACGTCAGAGGTAACTGTTATTAGGGAGATTAAGATACAAAGACGGCGACTGCTACGAAAAGGTGACTTAAAAAGTGGATTCGCGCTACTTCAAAGTCTATCCCCGCCTGTTCAATTCGTCATATGTTTACAAATTTGTTGTGAGGTTGAATTCTAAGAGACTGTATCAAAGTTCAGGAAAAGAAAAAGAAAGTCGTTGGCTTGTGTTCACTTCCTCGACAAAACGTGAAATTAGGCCCTTTTTTTAACTGACGACAAAGAAATTTACCAAAAAGCGTAAAGCTTTTTTTGCCAATCTAAGGCTATTTTGTTTTTTTGCCTTTGTCGTTGTCATCACCGTCGTCGTTGCTTAAAAAGCTCCCTAATGTCGGGAGGGCGGCGGACAGGGGGTCAAAAGAACGTGCCTCTCATACCTTGCATTTTCGGCTTCCTCACCTTTCTTCTCCCTTTATTCCTTTCCTGATTCAGAATGTTAAGTATTATTGTGTAATTCCCCCCATTTCTCCCAACAAAACTTGCATGCTCCTGCTCTTTCCTCTCCCGCCTCCCGTACTCTTCCGGGCTACCACCCCGTTCCCTCCCCCACAATGTCAGGTACTAAAAAAACTTAAATAAAGAGTTTGACTGGGCTGAACGACAGTGGTTAGAAGATACGCCAGACATTACGTTAATTAGGCAACTGGCGCCAGAGAATTAGCTACTAACCCCAAGACCAGTGAACTGAAAAACTAAATATCTATGGCTAGATTTGGACAGAGCCGCCGCCAAAATATACAATTGGCGACAAAATTGTTGAGACCGTGTCCTTAAATGAGTATCTTCGGAGAACAAAACAATCCACACCCCTCCCTTCCATTCAAAGTTGGGTTGCTTTTTGTTTCTAGCTATACAGGTAGCTCGAACAGCCGCAAGTTTTGGCAAAATGGTAGAGAGGCTTTTTGGGGTAAAGTTTTTCAACTAATTTTGTCATCGATTGTAGCTCTTCCTTCGCTAGAGTTCGTTCCGAAGAATATTTAAATCATGTTTTAACTTTCCAGGGTCTTGCGGCGTTCGTCCGGCCTCCAGAATTGTTGGAGGTACCAATGCTAAACATGGTGACTGGCCATGGCAAGCTCAATTACGTACGACAGGCGGGTTCCCCTACTGCGGAGGATCACTAGTACATCCTCAGTGGTTGGTAACAGCAACTCACTGCGTTGGAGGGAAATCACCTAGCTCTATCGTAATAAGGTGAAACAAATTAAGCTATCATTCTCTGAATTCAGATCAAGCAGGACATAAGCATTTCATATCAGACCAGACAAGAACTTGATATTCCGGCTGTATCAGTAATAAATAACATCGAAATCGTAGACGAAGCTCGTTTTCTATGATACTCAAGGGACACCTAACGACTGTTTTCGGTCAAATATCTGTTCGGAGAGACAAATATTGCCTAGACTTTTCTATTACTTGGGGACAGCTAAAAATTTCTAGAAGACCGTTCCATTCATGTACAATTTTCGAAGCTTATCTAGTAAATTCCCTACGATTTTGTGAAATTTAGTTTTTCACATTTCATACCTCAGGCTAGGCTATTTTTCGTAGGAAAAAGGAAACCCTAAAATTTTCGGATTCAGAAACATGATGGAAAGAGGAATCAAAAAAATTTTCACTTTCGTAATGTGCTAAGTTGCATCTAAAATTTCTTGGAAAATAATACTAAAACCCTTGGAATTTCGAAAAGATTTAAGTTCCACTAGGATGACCGAACAGATACAAATTTTATATTTATAACTATTTCAAATACAAAAAAAAACTGATGTCCTCTTGCGACTATAGGTTGACGTAGCAGATTAAGTCCGTTTCATCGCGTTTTGATTTTTGTAAAAATTTCTTTAATAGGCCATTTGCACGATGGCGTCATTTTACTTATTATGACCAGAATCCTTTTCGATTTTCCTTTCATATTCAAGTTTGGTAATCCCAGCGAGGTTTAAATAACAAGACCCCTAATTTGCACAACAAAGCAAAACCCTGAAGGATTCTGGTCTTAGTAGTCAAATGACGTCATCGTGCAAATGGCCTATTATGAAACGAATTGAAAGCGAGGCCGTCTATTCATGCTTTTGCAGTTCTGAATGTATGCGCGCTCATGAAATAAACCTTTATGGTAATGTTGTTGTAACTAATCTCGTAATTAGCAGGGCAAACTTTTGACAAACTCAGTCTGAATCGTCTCCCTGTCTCCTCGTATTTAGCATCCGACATATCCTTGTCGATCCTTGTGGCAAATCTGTCTTCGTCAAGTGGTTTGTAGGTACCTTCAGATTGGAGTCGACGATTAGAAGATTGAACTGACGTTTCGACTAATTTTCAAATCAAATTCTTGTGCCTCGTATAAGACTTATTGCACCAATCTTTTCCCCAACGTTTAGATAATCATGTGCTACTTTTTTAGTAATTGAGAGAGTTATAGCTTGGGGGATGCATTTGGCTCGAATTCCAAAGTCGTACTCGTCCCTCGATTTCGTGATTACGCGTAGTAGAATCTGAAGGTCGCTTGTGTTTTCAAGTTAAAAGCTGAATACCAAGATTGATGCCAAGGTTGCCTTTCTCTTCTCTCTAAGGCTTTGGACATCTCTGCTTTCTTTTTGAAACCCCTGTTATGATCAGTTGTTTTTATTTTTTGTTTTATTCCATGCCTGTTTCAGACTTGGTGCCCACAGACGAGTAAACTCCGTTGGCACTGAACAGGATCTTAGAGTGAGCAAAGTTATCACTCATCCATCATATCACAAGCCAACCACGTACGGCCATGACATTGCGTTACTTAAATTGGAAAAGGCAGCTCGGCTGAACAGGTAAAATACAATGATAAATCATAAAAAAGCAAAAAAGAATGTGAAAAATAAAGCGTCTGCCATGCGCGTGAATGAACATAATGATTAGGATGTTTATTGATTAAGGTACATGTAATTATCAACCTGCGGTTAATTTCTTCTCTTATTTAACAGATATTATATATTCTACCAAAAAAAATCTGGTTTGGAGGATCAAATCCACATTTTAGATATTGTAAATAGGATTCAAGAATATGTGGATAGGGGAATGTTCTAATGCGGCGTAGACAGATCCGATCAAACTCACGTTAGTTTTCAAAAGTTAGACTTTTACGAAAATGAAATATATGAACAATTATAGTTTACTTTACAGCTGATCTATGAGATGACTCGGTACAATTTAAAAGTAATCGATAGAACTGTCTTGCAACAACACTTTCAGAAATTAAAGAGCTAAGTGTTTCTTGTTGTTGTTATTTGTAGTTGTGATTACTAGATTCTTTTTCAAGGAGTGAATTTGGTAGCACTTTGTGTCAAGGACAACAGGTTCGATCACAAAACCACTTTCAAGCAAACAACATTTTTGCATGGTGACTCGGACTTAAAGTCTCAATAAAACTCTGCTTGTTCCGTATTTTGAATTTTCAGGTATGTTAACCTGGTTTGCCTTCCTCATGCCGTAGCAGCACCTACCGATGGCACCAGATGCTGGATCACAGGCTGGGGTCGACTTGCTTCAGGAGGCGCCACTCCAGATTATCTTCAGCAGGTTTCAGTTCCCGTTGTAAGCAGAGCCCGTTGTGATAGAGCCTATCCTGGAAAAATTCACGACTCCATGATCTGCGCGGGCCTTGACCAAGGAGGAATTGACTCCTGCCAGGGGGACAGTGGGGGACCGATGGTGTGTGAAACCGGTGGAAGGTACTATCTACAAGGCGCCACCAGCTGGGGTTATGGGTGTGCCAGCCCTGGAAAGTTTGGCGTTTATGCCAAGGTGAAATACCTGCTAAATTGGCTAAATACCGAAATGGCGAAGAACTAATCCAAGGTGAAAAACGTGCTAAAGTGGATCAATGACGAAATGATGAAGAATTAGTTAAAAGAAATAACGTTTAACGTTCAAGGGGATTCTAAAGAATAAGGGTGTTCTTTTCAGTCGTTAAATATTGTAGAAGTAAAGAGAAATAATGTGAAATAAAAGGCATTGAAAATTAGCCGTCGTTGTTGTCGATATTTGTTTTACAAGACATAGTGTGACTGGCAATACAGGAAATATCGCTTAAGATTGAAAGACCTTCGATGTGAGTGGCAATGGATGCAGTCCTGGTTATCGATTGACCAAGTTTGATTACCCTGTGACTTCCATTTGTCATTCGGCTCTTAGAGTGGTAAATTGAATAATTTCTGGCTTTGTGTGTCGATCTAGAAAGAACGGCAGAGAGAATAGTAAATTAAATAAAGAAAAGTGAACAAACTCTGACTGTTACCTAGCCTCATTTCTAATCCCAATATCGTCCACCCTTTTTTTTTTATATATTTTTTATTTTTCGTTTTGCCTTCCCTTGTTGGCTAGTTCCTCATTCCCAGCCCTCCCCCCACTTTTAACAAAAACTAAAAGTAGTCGATTTCGACCCAGATACCCTGCAGTTCACGGCCGCGCCTGCTGTGTTCGGCGAAAAAAAGAAATCATTTACCTGCGGCGTTTAAAAAATAACTGTTAAGTTTTACAGACGCCCAAGAAATTTGAATGTTAATAGGACCGAGTTAGGCTATATTTCAGAATTTTTTTGGATTTTAGACATTAAAAAATATTCAGAAAATCTCGGGAAATTTAGGGGAAAAAATCGACAAATTGGAGAATTTTAGAGCAATTTGAACATTCGCCCAACATTTCGGCAACATTTCACGGCAAAAACGTTGACAAAATGTTTTTTGTTGTATTCCTACCGACCAAGAGAGGGCACAGCCCGCTTACATGCTACAGCAGTGTCTAAGGCACTGTCTAGCTACTGAGCATAACAAAACAGCAGTTTTTCATCAGAGCCGTCTACAGTACAACTTATCAGCGGTTATTCACCAAAAAGGGCTCTCGCCATACAAAAAAGCCGAAATTGTTTTACAATTTTTGGGAATTTTAGAGAGTTTTTGGAGAATTTTAGACACTCTAAAAGAATTTTAGAGCCAGTTTTCTTGGAAATTGCGGAAATTTTTAGTGCATATTTCGGAAATTATGTAGCTAAGCCTAAAACGAGTGGAGTTCATTTGCGTTTATAATCGAGATTCGAACACTGACGTTAAATTAGAAGTTCAATTACGGGTATGATTGTAGTTGATTATAGACTAATTTGGACGCCATGAAGTTTTGTTACCAATTAACCATAACCGAAAAATTGAGCAATTGCTCCCAGCGTTTGAGATAATTTACAAAAATTTCAATTTTTGGCTAATCCAATCCCACGATATCCTAAAATTGGAAATTGAATCACCGACGTAGTGGACTTTCATTTACAGGTATATGACTATAGACAATTTTTTTCCCATCGAGCATGCGCAACCGCGGGACTCCTTCGTCAAAACGTCAAATGACATTATTTCCTCTTTTCTCGAGGGACAGATTTTGACGCGTCACACTTGCTGCGCTCGGCCCGAGTTCGGGTTGGGCTGGATAAAACACATGTCGTGAGTATTTGTACAACACCAGTGGGCTGCTTATTCCTTAACAAGAAGACCAGATACGGTAGGCTCGACTGCTCGAGTTAAAGCAACAATTATAAGCGTAAGCCGATGCGCGAGAGCTTTAACTTGTTAATTTATTCGTCCATGGCGCTGGACGGCGGCTCGATCAGAGAAGCAAGCGGTCGCTCTCAGTCCTCTCTTTTCTTAGCGTAGCGTTTGGCCTGGAGAAATCACTGCTCGCAGGGTACATAACCACCATTTCGTATAGGCGTCAGTTCTCCAACATTTTTGTTCGATCGAGGCTTTCCAGGAGTTCTCTTTGACCAAGCCAGAAAATTGCCCTTTGTCTGTGCAAGTTATACTTAACAGGCGTTCGAAAAACCTATTCCAAGCCAACTGTAAAAGATATTAAGTAGTGAGTAGAAATCACTGAACTTCGCGGAAACCATTCTTATTTCTGGGATCGACTTTTCATGGTTATTTTTCTTTTTCTTTTTCCAAACTGTTCAAAAGTGAAATATTTGGGGCTAAACACAAAAAAACAAAAAATAGGCAAGAAGTGGGCAAAATTGTGAATACTGATGAAGTTAATTTGCAATAAAATCAAAATTTATGGCAAGTTCTACAAGGTGCTGACAAAGTTTAAAACCTTAGTAGAAACCGACTTATGTCCAAGTTTGCACTCTGTAGCAAAAATTTGCCAGCAAATAATCTCGGAAGAAATTTTAGGAAAAAAAGTTTCAAGCAAACTGCTTGAAAAACGCAAGGGGAAAAAATGTTTTAAAATGTTTTTTCAATCTTCGAGGCCTATTATATTCACAGTTCTGGATAAAATTTTAAATTTAAAGCTCCTTTACTCCGACGAAACTAGAAAGGAGAAATCGCCTTAATAAAGGAGTTCTTGAAACTCTCCATAATCCACTTCAGGACAAATGAAGGTGGACTCAAAGGAAAAACCGACCAAAAATAAAAACAAAAACAGAAAGAGAAAGAAAGGAAAAGATAAAAGGAAAGATAAAAGGATAGATAGGCAGACAGACAGACAGAAAAAAAGAAACAAAACGAAAAGAGAACAACAACGACCTAAGCCCAATCCGGATCCAAGGAACACACACACAAATACATTTTAAATGCCTTTATTTTTTTGCCCTTACTATTCCTAAATCTTCTTCCTTATTTCCACTGATATTCTATGATATATAGATCCCCTTAGTATTTTCTTAAATTCAGCCGTTATTCCTTTGGATTAGTTCTTCGCCATTTCGGTATTTAGCCAATTTAGCAGGTATTTCACCTTGGCATAAACGCCAAACTTTCCAGCGCTGGCACACCCATAACCCCAGCTGGTGGCGCCTTGTAGATAGTACCTTCCACCGGTTTCACACACCATCGGTCCCCCACTGTCTCCCTGGCAGGTGTCAATTCCTCCCTGGTCAAGGCCCGCGCAGATCATGGAGTCGTGAATTTTTCCAGGATAGGCTCTATCACAACGGGCTCTGCTTACAACGGGAACTGAAACCTGCTGAAGATAATCTGGAGAGGCGCCTCCTGAAGCAAGTCGACCCCAGCCTGTGATCCAGCATGTGGTGCCATCGGTAGGTGCTGCTACGGCGTGAGGAAGGCAAACCAGATTAACATACCTGAAGAAAATAAAAAATTCTGATGATGATGATGGTTGTAATTATAATCATCTCCTCTCGTCAAGTCATCGTGGAAACTGTAAATGAGCACACAAATACACCACAGTACTTCGTCTCAATTCTAGACAGAGAGATTTAGCTAGGCTGCACAGGTGAGGTTAAAATTTCTTGCTTCAAAAGTAATCTTATTGTTTGATATCAGGCTCAGTTCCTCTGGCTTTTGACAATACCGGGTATTGGTCACGACAACAAGACAAACAACCCTTTAACACTTCAGGCTCAAAGGTTTATTGAAGTAAGAGAGACATTTTTCGATCTGCATTAGCCTTAATTTGACCAGCTTTCCTAGTCTGAACATTGCTTTCTTTTTGCGATTGTAGTAAATTAAGGTTGCTCAAGGCTAACTTACTTGGTTAAGTTAGCTGGTCTTGACAGCTTTAGTAAAGCGATGTCGTGACTGTATCTCAACGGCGCGTGGTAAGAAGGGTGTGTAATCACTTTACTCACTCTAATGTCTTGCTCAGTGCCGACAGAGAAAACACGTCTGTGGGCGCCGAGTCTATAAAATGCAAACAATAATACAGGAAATTATTAAATCTAAAGCGTACAGTAAATATTAGTATAAGGGAGGCAGGGGGCTCAAACATCTGCGGCCTCCCATACCTTGCATTCCCGGGTTTCTTAAGCTCCCCTATTGCGAAACATTAAGCATTGTCGAGTGATTTCCCCTATTTCACCTCCCGCCCTTTCCTTTCCCACCTTCCGCACCCCTCCCGCCCCTTTATTTCCGGGCTGCCACCACTTCTCTTGCCCACCTATTACCGAAAATGACGAGGAAACAGTTGCTTTTTTGTTATGATTTAAATAAATATAGTTTGATTTTATCTAGCTTGATTTTGAGACATTAACCATTAAATAATAAAATTAATTATCCTTGGCAAGTATATATTTTATTTTCCCAGCATGAAATTTGCTGTCTAATTTCTCTTGTTCTCAAGCGGGTTAGATAAAACACGATCTTAGACCTCTCATAAAAGAAGCTACGAGTATTTTTGCTTGTACACGTTATGTTGTTTAAGCCTCAACAAACTTTTAATACAGTGAAACCTGTATTAAGCGGACACCCTGGGGGAATGCTGTAGTGTCCGCTTAATACAGGTTTCCATAGATAACGTCATATGAGGTGTCAAATGCCATTCAAATGAACAGTGGAAACGTTTACAATACTCCCAGTGACTATGACGATATACGTTTGCATTAATTTCTTTATCAAAGTGAACCAATTGATAATAGAACTATAAACATTGATTGCAACTCAAATTGGAAGAAGTCAGATGAGTGAAACAAGCTCTGTACAAACAAAACGAAATAGAAAACAATACAGTACGGTGAAACTAATCAAATAAGTTCGTCAACTCAAGTTTTTAAAAGTAAAAATCGAAAAATTTGTGGGTGGCAATTCGAGGCAATCTTTCGCATTTCCGGTTCCTGGCATGTTGGGTGGTGGAATTTAATTACAAGTGTCCATTTAAAGTCAAATAGCTTTTGAGGGCTAAACACTTTGGCCAGGCACGTGTCTGATGACATCTTGCAGAAAAGCGACGGAGATGTGAAACAGGTCATGAACGACGGTCTATTGTGGCGGCCAAAAAGCGGTGCATAATCGTAATCCCTGAATTGAAGGGGGAGCAATCTTCAGTTCAATACTGAAAAACAACAACTAGAAGAAGAAAAGCCTCACGAACATCAGACCTAGTCTTAAGAACAACCCTTTAAAGGTATTAAAACGCAGTAAATCCAGGATGGACTAAATAACGTTGGCGGTTTTTGTATGGATGCGTTCTGGGTCACCCTAGAGAGAGAGTCATCTTTACAGCCCATAATCATTTTTCTATTCAAATAAGGAAAGTGTTTAAAATGTCACCTGACCCAAAAAAGTTCAATTTTAAATTAAACGTTAACAATAATCCTTAAGAGATAAAGTGGTATGTTAATATCAAATTTGCAGTTGTTAAGATAATTTATCTTTGACTTTTTACAGGCCTAATATGTATATTAACAGGTAGCCTCTGGGTCATGCCTGAGTGTGCGTGTTAACACAAATAAGGAGAACAAATCTTTCACCTGATAAAGATGCTACTAGGACTCTTTCCTGTGACGCAGTGAGTCGCTGTTACCACCCATTCACGATGTACCAAGGATCCCCCGCAGTAAGGGAACCCGGATGTGGTACGTAACATGGCTTGCCATGGCCACGAACCATGATTTGCAGCTACACCACCGACAATTCTGGTGTGTGGACGAATACCACAAGAACCTTAAAAAGAGCAGCGGGTTTAGTTCAGACTCTCTAAAATAATGTACTTTAACTTTGGTTTGATTACTCCTCAGTGTTTAACCTATGAGCAAGCTATACAGCAGCTGGCTTTTGGAAAGGGAAACAGAAAAACATACCGTGTTTCCTCGAATAATACTCGGCCTAGGCGATAATTCGAGGGAGGCGATTATTTCAAATATTGGAAGTGATGCCCTAAATATTTTGTTTTATTATATAGACACGAGTGTTTTACTGGAAAATATACCACACGTAAAATTCATAAAAACTACATCCGGGATCCGAGTGGTTTATTTTCCATAATCTCACACGTGAGTTTATCGATGACGTAATTTCGGTCATTTCTCTTTATTATTTTTTCGCTGTCTGTTTGTCTATATAATAAAAAGAACATTACACGGCGGCTTGAAGATATGAATTTTATTTTCTCGTGGCAAAAACAATATTTTACGAACGAGCGCAGCGAGTGAGTAAAATATTGTTTTGCCCGCTCGAAAATAAAATTCATATCTTCGCGCCACCGTGTAATATCCTCTATTTATTATCGCATTAAATCAGAAAATGATCACATGAAATAAACTGAGCATGGGCTTTTTAAAAGTTCCAAAATTTGGTTCCTGGAAAAAATTTCAATGTCAATTTCAATGACAGATGGCCAATTAGAAACCTTGTTGAACCTGCAGATTCAGTCCCTCTGTAACATACATATACATACATACACACATTTTTTATTGTGTTTTAAGGTAAAAGTACAATTATAACATGCCGGAGGCGGGTAGCTCAGCTAAATTAGGCGGGTCATGTTTACAGAAAATAAATACAACTAAATTCAACTAAAAATAACAAGAGAACTATAAAGAAACTAAAATTGACAAAAGTGACTAAAGACTACTGATAAACTAACGGTATTACTAATAATAAATGACAACAGTTATGACAAGAGACTACTGATACACTAAACGATAAATGGTTACATACTAACTAAGAGGAAAATAAATTCAACTTAAAATAACTTTTTGGACGATTTCTGGTAGATCAATATAACAGTCTTCTGAAGCTAGGATCTCAAAAAGTGTTTGTTTTATTTTCCTCTTAAAGGCATTTTTTGAAAGTTTTCTTAAAGATACAGGCATTTCATTCCATATTTTTGTTCCGATTCTAGAGAATGAATTCACTTGAATTGAGAGTCTGCAACTTGATAGACTGAAATTCCATCTTTAGATCATTCAGTTGTCTCTTTAAATCATCATTTTCTCTTCTTAACGCTTTCACTTTGTCTCCCATCAGTCAACAAAGAAAAAAGAAATGATCTAAACTAGCCTGACAACAAATACACATATGCGAGAACGAGGAGCGCTAGCAGAAGTTTCCGGTCAGTCTCACGGTCAGGCCATAGAACCAATATAACCAATATAAGTGAACCGTATAAAATATGGTCCTACCATTTTGAGATTAAGTACTGT